ATTGCTATTGCTATTGCTATTGATGTTGCTATTGTTATTGTTGTTGTTATTGCCATTGTTGTTGCTCTAGCTGATGTTGTTGTTGCTGCTTCGCATACATCATGTATGATACATGTAACGCGAAACGTTCTTGCAAGTGCAGGGAAATGGCAAATCGACCATTAGGCGTTCCAATGACTCCCTTTCAAGGACGTATGCCTGGAGTAATTAAGGCCCGCATAACTCTGGTATGCTTCGAGCTGGCAAATCGGTCGAATGCCTGTTGATGGTAAACCCTTTGTGGTGGTGGCTGACCTACTATGCTGGTTCGATCCTCGGTAGCGACATTTCTCCTGCATTTTTGCACGGCTTCATTGAAATAACTTCCAGCCTGGGAGTCCCAGCTTTGCGTTATAGGGAACAAGCTTTAACTTACAATGGCGGGCCGGAGGCCCGCATTCTATACTATTAAAACACAACACTCTTAGCGTTTGTTGACGTTCGACCCGATTTCTGTTGACGTTCGACCCCACGGCCCCCATGTAAGGGCAGTGATGAACGCTTAATCGGGAGGAAGCGGCTGACATCAGCTGTGGGGTATTCCACGTTGTCCATTGACAGACGACTATATCACTAGAAGCCTCTCTGTTTCCTCGACTCTTTACTCGTCCAATCATGGACGCAACAGTTCAACACAGTGGCCGGCAGCGTCTGGTCAATCAGCACCAACAATTGAGTGAGTGTATACCAGCATCCCTGCAGTTACTACACCAGTAACCCTATCAGCTGCGAGTGACCTACGGCCCCCAATGATCTCTCCTATCCATCAGCAACCATTCCACTCCCGAGATGCTCATCTATATAGTTGGCAAGTATTGCAGTTGAGCGCGTCGTCGTATGGAAAAAAACCAGAGAAGTACTTGGTGCTGGGATCGAACCTGCGTCCTCGCCACTTCGGGTGGTGGAACATGAGAGAGAAACACGGTACGGTTTCTTGGCGGAGAAATTCCCCAGCTGGGAATCGTACCACCATCTCCGATAAGAGGGAAAGTGTGCGACCTAGCGGAGTACCCGTGAGGCGAGCGCTAAACAACCTGTTGTGTTGATGTAAGTGAGTGCTGCAATGATAGAACTGGCAGACTCCAAGGACTGCTGTAGGGATGTGGAGCACCCGAGCAGTACGATTTTTTTTTCTTACCCTTGATACTGGGGGACTAGAGATGAGGCAGTTGACTCTGTGACTAATGCTCGGATAGCTTATTCACATCAGTTCGCTGACTCATCCTCTGGTCAGTATTGCCCAACCCAGACCTCGGCTTCCGGGCTTCAGGTTTGAGGTTTGGTCAATACCTCTCCCATCCCCAGCGTCTATGGGATTTCTCGTCCTAGGAATTTTAAGAGAATCTACAACATTTAAACTCGTGTTATCATGTCTTTCCATGTCTATGAGCCAGTGAAATGAGTGGGCATCCCTCAAGCATTTACCTTGATGGATAAAATTGAGGGAGCGTGCGCGTCGACGTGCACGTGCGTGCCAGGGTGAGTGTGCAGGTGGCGACACACGTGGCGGAAACTTCAGTGGAGGCGCTGACCGACCGACCCCCTCCGTAGAGCTATAGGTATTTTCGATGAGATAACGCGTGCTTATGTGAACTCTGCCGGATCCGGGAGTTGAACCGCTGACCTCCGTTGTGATCGCCACGTCAGGACCATTCAAGTCAACTCGTAACATGAGTGGTACCAGCCTCAGTACCACTCACTCCATGGGTTTTCGGATAGCCATGCTCCGACGAGTGCGGGAGCTCTCGATAACCCATGAGTATAAGGTGTACAGTTCTTCCATGATGACCAAGAGTCTCTCCGCCAGTCCTCGAAACTGTCGTATTGATTAAAAAGTGAACTTGCCCTCCTACTCAATGGACCCTTCTGAATGATCGTTACTCAAATACGAGACACAGCTACGTTAGCCATGTATGACGCACTCATACCTCCCGAATACACTTCTGAAACGCAACAAAAGCTTGGACTCTTACACGTTCAACTGAATGGCTACACGATGTATTCGGTTATGAAGCGAGCACAAACGAGTAAGATGTGATGATCATCAACGTCACCGCCTGCGGTTCAACAACTATTGGTTCACCAGCTAAGCGATGCCAGGAGATCCGTTTATTTTAAATCATTATTGCATATCATTTTCAAGAACTACGAAGTAAAGCGACAAAGCGATATCAACCGCGCACAAAAATTAGCATAACGGTGATACTTACGATAGGACAGTCATCAACAACCACGACAGAAAGGCGATACGACAAGATTCTCTTAGCAGAGCGAACATTGGCTCTTTTTCAAATCGTCATTATCGTTATGGTTAAGGTGGTGTTAGAGGTAGCACAAGGAGCTCCCTGAATTGCAGAGATGCTCTCATCAGAAATTATTACAGATAGCTTCATCGACAAGAGAGAAAGAGAATGAAAACATATTCGATTTTAGGCATACGAAATCTGAACCTACAGATAGGCCCACGAGATGGCTGTAGCCAAGTCATACACGGTCATAAGTCTCGACCTTGATTTCGACGTCCCGTAAGACACGCTGGACGCTGCCATAAGCACGGGCAATCAATGCATCAGTGGGGTCTGTGAAGACGACAAAACCCGTCTTGGGCGGTAAGGGCTTGGAGTTTCTGGCATTGTAGCGAGACTTCAATGGCAACATGAGAACCATCTCTACCGCATCCTTTTTACCGACCAGTTTATCAAAATAATCCTTGAGCAAGACGCTCGATGATAAACCAAGTTTATGACAGCGTTTGACCAAGAGAACTCGACTCCTGCAGTCCTCCTCATCTTGAGGTAGGAGGGACTTAACATCCGTCAAGGTCATGCTGCCACATAAACCGGTTCTCCCATTATCGAGAGGGAAGACTTTGTCGATCTGCACCAACTGCTGGACCGAGGCGTAGTCGACATTACGAGCATCGGCAGTAGTAACAGAAGCATTGCTTGGAGAGAAACGCCCACTACCAGGACGTGACGTAGCATACCAACTTCGCTTCTCTGTAACTGGGAGACGATGGTAAAGTACGGCTTGGAGGGAAACTGCTCACAATAACGGAACACTGTCCCTTCGTATCGTCACTAAACCATTGGTGCACTCCACGAGCAATCTCAGCTGTGCTCATAACGAAAACAGCAGCTGCAACAGTCACAGTATCTTTTGTCGACTTCACCGGGTTAACAACAAACAAACCTCTCGTAGCCCCACGAAATTGTTCGATCAGCCAAGAGAGGGCAGGATACGAGTAGCCAGGAGCAGGATGGACAGCAATCATAAGATCCCTCCAAAATGGAAGCATTGCTTGCACATCCTTAGCCAGGGTAGCCTTGTCACTGTACAACTCGACCTCGGGCTCATCACATAACTCCAGATCACGACTCCTTTTGATCGGTGTCCACGATGCGGGAGAGGTACTAGAGACAGTAGAAGCAGTCCTTATTGATGGCGTACGAGGGGTCGAGTAACCCGACACAGTCGAGATCGGTGACTCACAAGAACAAGCAAACATAACAAGCTTTTATACCGATTATTATAGTATATGGAGCAGACAAGGTTGTCAACGCTAAGCACTATTCAAAAATGATAGCGGCGGCTAGAATGGGAGTGCATCAGAATATCACAATGAATGTCCCTGTCAACGTTGTACACAAAGTTCTCGTCCCGTTATCTGTGCTCTTTCCCTGCTGCCAATCTAGACTTTCAACACGAAGGCCAAACATAATGAGATAACATCATTTAACATGCGAAGAATGGGCAGTTGGCTGAGTTGCTGTCTTAAATCTGTCCACCACCGAATCGAGCTCTCTCAGACCAGCCGCTTCGCCGGAGCGGGTCCATTTTGGGAGAGTAGCTGCTTGCTCCTGCGGCACAACCTGAAAAGACCAAAGCACCTTTGACATAGCGTGTAAGCTCCTTGGACTTTCGGCATCCCAACAGCCGTTGAGACCGACCTTTGTATTTGGCATACAGTGCGGGGTCCAGCCTACCGTCGCCTCTCTGGCAGCGGTGCAGTGCTTTACACTTGCTGGACGGTTGGAAGGAGATTTCACGATTATCAGACTGACAGAATTCGAGAATATGATACGCTCGAACGACGACATGCCGAGATTTACCATCGAGCGTCGAATAACGCGCGAAGGTATCCGTCCACGATCGAACGAACGCGTCCTCGTCAAGAGCTCCTTATGACCAGCGAGTAGCTCTTCAAGATCTTTGTTCTCATACAACGGCTGAAGATTCGCCAAATCAAGGAGGGATTGACACGGTCGGAGCAGAAGCATGGCACCAGTCCAGCTTGGCTCACATTCAAGTCATGCCTGCTCGTACGATTGATGAGGGCGGAGCGGAGCTGTCCAACACTACTGGCCGAGGTCCAGAAGCCGGGACCGATAGGGTCTACCATGAAGCCTCATCGCCTTATCTTATCATTATGAATTGTACTCCGTTGAAAGACGGGATGCTCAATCAGCCGGCCCGCTATCTTCGTGGCCGCCTTATGAGTGACACCATACACGTCGGATGCGTCCTTCCCACGAATCGTCCCGCCATATCTGAGCGCTTGTGCGAGTTGGCAAGACGCCGTCCCTCCTTCCTACCCTGCCAGAGGCGTTCCAGAAATGCGAGTTTTACCTTCACTCTCGCCAAACGACCTGATATAAAGATGTGTATACGATATCAATGATTAATTGATCGGATTACATTCGGGTGAGGGGCGGACCTCGTGCTACCTGTGTCGCCCGAAGATTTTCTTCCGAGTGCGTGTGACCATAAAGATTCTCAGCCACACGACCAGGTATGAAGCCGCCGTAACCAACTATACCTGAAAACTCCGGGCTAGATTCGATTCAGCAACTTTGGGCTATTTCGAAAGCTACGATCAAGCGTAGCTCGATAGGGGCAGATTACACGATAGCGGCAAGGGTGCGGACTCCAAGGGCAGGTGGCCAGCCTGGAGAAGAGTAGGCATCGAAACGCCTCGACCTAGCCGAATCTTAGGAGTGGCTTCAGGTTCATAGTTGCATCGCCGTCGGATGATGGACATGAGCAGTTTTCACAGAGAGACTGCCAAAGCAGGGCTTCCATACCAATGACGACCACAGTTTCTGCTAGCGTAGAGATCTACCCTCCCCCCCTCCCCCTCCGACTTGGTCTCTATCGTCAGAATTAAGGCCGGAACCAGGCCATCTCATCGCACAGGGGCATCTGCGGTACACGGAGTATCACTATTCGCAGTCGCCCGGCTCGCGAGTAAGAAACTATGAGAACACCGCCGGGCTAGAGATGACAACACAACAGTCGTAGTGTGATGATGAAATTGCGTCGTTCCCCATGCCAATGGACTAGACATTGAATTATCGATGTAGAACACGCAGTACATGCACAAGAGTATTGCCTGAGACAAGCCTTCTTCAGAATCATACTCCATCATTGGGCGGTGTATGTGGTAAAGTGCTACGACCGCATGGACATCCTCTCCTCCTTCTCTCGCTCCCATCGGCAATGCCCATCCCTCGCATAGTGCCGCATAGCAAGACGCTACGGATTCGAGAAGGCTTTCGAATTCTCGACTTCGCCGGTTGCCGATCAGCCCTTCTCCTCGAGAGGCCCGAGTCACCGCTAATAATAGAGGATTCAGGCTCTGATATCATCACCTCCCGACTGGCCTCCACACCACGACCAAAACGCCGCTTCGACTTCGGCCAGAAGAATGCTTGTCTGCGCTCATATGCCTGAGCTCAGAAACGGATGCCTAAACGAACAGAAGAGCGATGATGTTAACTCGCTGGTCTTTGGTTCGATGCAGCTCGATGAGGTCTGTCATCTCGCTCAAGTGGGTGTCGTCAGCTGAGGAGTCCCTCAAGACAGTCGCAGTACTTCCTCGTACACAACAGAGGGAATTCCAGCGATCCCTCAGCTCGCCTCCGGACAAGACTGAGTCGAAGGCTTCCGACTCCGTGTCGGATCGAGCGGACGCAGGGCGTTCGATCGGCTCAGGACAGCACATCGCTTTCGGTAGAGTTAGTCGTTTTGGAGGGCCTAACAAGAAATTATCCTAACAGAAAATCCGCGCGAGCATCGTTATTCCTAATTAAGATACAATGTTGACATGCTTCCATCCCTAGCAATGCATTCACACTAGAATTATTGAGTTCATCATTTCGTCACGAAAGTTTACTTCCATGACACATAGGTGATATAGGTGTAGACGCAGCACAATCACTGAGGAGGAGTTTCGATACCTCTCAAAGCATGGTAGCTAGATGAGAAGATTTCCCAAGTCTCATTGCGAGCGAGATATTCAAATTGTTGCCTGAGGAGTGTTCTTTCCCCACCAGTCTGAAATGCTTCCTTCTTCTGACGTTCAGAACTCAACTGTTGGAGTCGCGATCTCTCGCACTGTAGTGTATATTCCAGCTCGTTGATCTTGTCATCTAGAGCGGCACAAAACTCCAACTCATCTCCGCTGTCAACTTCGTCGAGCACGATATCAGATACGCAGACCGGGGCTCCTAGGCCACTAAAGATTCACCATAAGGTACTCTCCTCATCTTTCGAGGAATACAAACACTACCCGTTGCCAAGTATAGAGGTCGGCGTGTCGGTGGTTAGGGCGCTCATCTTCCTCTCAGGTCGTATTATCACCGTGACATCAGGATACAGCAGCTGATCATGAAGTTGGCCAGGCTCCATATCACGGATGATAGGCCGTGCCTCCGCAACACCTAAGAGCAGGGCGCCCTTGGGGCCTCCAATACAACTCTCGACTCACTTTCCTTCAACGTGGTAGTGAGCTCTCTGAATGCCGTAGCCAAACTCTGAGTTGCGCCCAGGGCTACTTTACCAGGTACATCATCAGTGATGATCTCCAACAAGTCTCCCATAGAGCCGAGACCAACCGCCAGCTGTGTAGTCATCTAAGAGGCATCAAACCATAGAATGGGGAGGAGTGGCTCAGCTGGAAGCTACTTCACCAACGTTCATTCGCACCACACGACAGCCCACCGCATGAATCGCCATCAGAAAGACGTAGAATCAGCGAAACCCTCACCTTCACCAGAGACGCAGTTGCCTTTTCAAAGGAGCTCTCTCCTTCTAGCCTCAACAGCGACGCTTCGTCTTCTAACGCGGGCAGTAGGGCCTGGATAATCCTCAGGGTGGTGGATGCTACTGATCCCACATTCCCCCACCTGTTCAGCTCTAAGGGATGCCCGAGCGATGCCAGCTATAGTCTCACAGAGCCTCTCCTCTGGCGCCACTTGTGACGGTGCATGGTGGAATATCATGGAAAAGGGCGATCTTTCTCGAGGGCATCTTGTCCCTGAACCTTGTGCCTACCCCCAACTCATGTAACACAACTTCGTGTTTATTTCACGACTGCTGCTCCTTATTCAAATTCAAGAGCGGCATGAACAACATAGTGTAATCATAACATGAGCCATCACTGCACCGAGTATCGTGTCATAGACACTACCCGTTGCCGAGTATGGATGTCGGCATTAGCCAGGAGATCTCACCTCACGGGTAAGCAGTTACCGAACCATCCGCAGCAATATGTGAGGGCCTCAACGGGGAACATGCGACTACATGCAACCCGGATTCAAAGTTGAACATCGTCGCGCTACGCCAGTATACATGCTAGTCGAGCTTGTGCCGGCCTTAGGGACGAGCGATAGGTTGGGCACAATCTGCCCGGCAGATCCCGCGTGAAACGGGAGTTGGCCTCCGCCTAGCAAGTCCCAGGAATATCAGGGAGGGAGCTGGTGAGCCTCGGTGACACCACTCCGTGTTGTCACCACGGAGTGAATGTCATTCCCCGTGTTCAGCTATTGACGGTAATCACAACAAGAGATACTGTACTAGCCCCGAGAACTCAACTCGAAGAGTGACGAAGATTAGAAAGTGTTTAAAACACTGGAATGGCATCATTTGATGACGATTTAACAATTTAGATGTAAGAGTTCTACGAAACCATCATTGACTATTAGATTATCCATGTATAGTTTTACATTGAAAATATATGTACTTGCGTGCACATCGATCGCGTTTTGTACATAAGTATTGTCTCCATTTTAGAGACTCCATATAGGCTCCTTGTACCCGTGGGCAATCTTCGACAATACATCACGATATTGAGTGAATATTCCTTCGAAGTGGATAGATCGACCCTGAGCTCATCGATCCATGAGAGCAATTATCCGTTTACCCAAAACTCATCGATCAGTTCACGAAGCCTAAGGCTTTCAACCGCAACGCAAAGAACATGACAGGCCCGTATAGACAGGCGTTGTCAACTTGAAAGAAATTGATATATTCCAAATCAAAGATCATACCAGAAGCAATGTTATTGATGTCACTCAGCTGAGTATCCATCAGGATATCTGAACCAGCGTCGAGCATATCTAATACAGACTGAGTATTATACTGCCAGTGGGCCTGGATGGTGAATAGCCTATCAGCCCTTGGCTCAGCAGAGGCCGTCGCCCTGATGTAGGTGAGCAATTCCTGAGTTATCTGCTCACTTCTGGGTGAGCCACGGTGACAATTGCCATCAGCACGATAGCAAGTGAGACTGGAATCCCAGTTGGCATCAGAACACATGCCCTCGCCTTCCACAATAAAGACATGACCACCTGACACGTTAGGTTTTAACAAAGGGATCCACTACAATACCGTACCTCCTCCCGTTCTGGACAGTTGCTTAGCATCGCCGACAGTCATACCTCTCAGCTGCTCGCACGAACCATCAGATCCGACAGATCGCATGAGCTTGAGATTGTTCATCAACTCCCAGACCTTATTCCTACAGTCAGCGTTATTGGGAGAGTAGTGACTATTAGAGACCACCACCAACTCCTGAGGGTTTCGATTAGACCAAGTTATGGTTTCTCTCATAGCATCCTCGAGTCTATATGAGATCCTGAAACTCCCATGACGCATAATTATACCATCATCGGTGCAGGCAGGGCGAAGGTCAAACGCTCTAACGCCGCAGTTGAGCTGTTCTGTGAAGTTTTCATTCTGATTCTTGGCAACTTGCCATAAAGGAACAGCTCTCGATATATAACCAGTGCCGGCATTGTGCGATCTGAGATGTAGAATAGCCAAGAGAGTAATACTAGGCTTACCTCAGCATAGGCCATTGATTGAGAGGTATATCATCTATACAGGCACAGGTTACCGATCCCAGCAAGCATACGAAGACTAGTGAGAGAGACATTGAGAGAGAAAACTAAATTGATAATAGTCAATCTCACGGTAGATGTGTGGAGGAATCGGATCCGTTGCCGGCCATATAGGGAACGCAAGGGTAGCCGATGGATCAAACTTGAACTATCTTGAATACGGATATTATCCGTCGGATAAGTCTAGACTAGAGAAATGAAATGATAACACCAGTAGTCTAGTTCACTTGACAACAATGCCGGCAACGCACGCATGCTCACGTTCCTAACTGGAACGAGGTGACGCACACTGCGTGGCGCACAACTACTTGTCTACGAATAGACAGTCAGGGAAAATCAGGAGCCCTCATCATCGACTCCTACAACATGGTATTGCTGGTGATGCAAAAGATCCATAGTGAATTTAATTAAGATAACACGATCACTGAAAAACTACTACCACAGCCTCTTTACGTGGGCTGACACGAAATAGGCAACCAAAATGTGCGTGAGCATATTTGGCAACAACACGAACACGGAAGAACCCCCGTGGGAAAGAAAACGTAGCGGTGGAGGTAAGTTGACGTTGGGCGCGGGGGTGGCAAACAAAGAGGGATCATTTTCTCTTCTTCCAGCTGTTCTTAGCCGCCTTGCTCTTCCGCTTCACCTTGTACGGTGCCCTCAATTTCGCCAGGGTTTGAGCCTCGCTGAGACGACGGCGAGTCCATGCTTGGACCGTTGAATCCTCGAGAGCATCCGTCAGAAGTGAAACGCCAGAACCTCAGACAGGACTGGAGTTGTCGAACAATGCCTGCTGACCCCTACCTCAAGAAGTCTTATTGCCCTCACCTTGCCTCCCCCGACTTCAACACCAATGTGGAAGTGGGTAGGCAACTTCTTGCTATCAAGCCTTTCCATGAATTTCATGGGGTCCATGTAGGGCTTCAACTTGAGTATCTACCACCACTTTCCCTGTCGCGAATACAGTTCGACGACGACCCCACCCTCAGCTCATTCCTCATCTGAGGCGTCAGTTGTTGCCGCGGCAGGCCGAACCACCCACCAAGACGCGCATCCTTCTCCCGCTTGGCCTCCTTCCTGCATACCACAACTGTATTAGACTCCTATACACATTCCCTCATCACTCTGCGACGGCCAAGACGGCATCGGGAGCAGCGCCATTAAGTGGCAGAGGAGGCCGTTCAGGCAAGGGTTTAGTAGCACTATCACCGACGACTTCCTCGGGATCGACATTCCAGTCACCTACAACGGAATCAACACTTTCTACGCTGCTTCACGTCCTATCCCCATTGAAGTAGTCTCACCTGCTCTTGCCTTGGTATCCAACCTTGCCAGTGTGATTATCACAATGAGATAGCTGTGCTCTCGCTAGTGCCAAGTCGAGACCTTCGAAGAACTCATCTCCCGTTGCTCCAGTGCTCCTGACCACACCCGGCCGAGGATTCTCCGCAGAATCTGGAATGGATCACTCATTCAAGAATGCGAGCGTGCTTATTAATTCTCTTACAAATCACTCACCTTCCGCTTGAGCCTTGGCCTTCAACCGATCACTGACGAACCTCATAACAAAATCATCATCATCATCACTGTCGTCCGGCAGACTCGCCGACGTCTTGCAACACAGTGAAACCAACTACTACAACGACCAACGACAGAACAGACCCATCAACGCAAGAGATAGAGGCAGAAGGCCAGTAGAGGAGGAAGTGAAGCTTATATAGCAATGGTGAACTGATACTGGTACAGTAGGTACTCCTTTATGAAGAAGCACCAATAAATAGTCACAACACAGTGTAGCACTGAAGACTTCATCGCCGGCGACCACCACGACCTAACAACAAGGCCTGCCAGCCTCCCTCTCGATACTGCCTACCCTTGCCCATCATGCTAGCCATCTTGGAAGGGTCCATGCCCATGTTACGCATCATGTCCTGCATTCCTTCCATACCACCCATTTGCTCCATCATGCCTTGCATACCGCCACCTCCTGCCAAACAATATCCCTACCAACCCACCCGGCCACGCCCACGTACCGCCGCCTGCCCCACCAAGGCCCTTCATCATGTTCATCAACCCTCCTTGGCCGCCCATCTGCTTCAACATCCTAATCAAGCCATCACCCAGGCAGGAGCCCATAGACCTACTTTGGATCTATCATCTTGCCCATGTTCTGCATCATCTGATTCGGATTCCGCATCATTTGTTGCATCGTCCTCGGATCGCCAAGTTTCATCTTACCCATTTTGGACACCATTTTCGAGTACTTCCGATACTCCTCCACCAGCGTTTCAACCTAACAACCATCACCCAAGCAAGTGACCACGAGCAACAACCTACTTCTCCCACCGCATGACCCGAGCCTCTAGCTACCCGTAAAATACGACTATGACTACCGCAGAAGTCCTGGTCCCCATCGAGTTCCCTGAGCATCACATGTCATCATCAACCGAAGAGCCCCCCCCATACTCACTTGTCAGTCATGGAGTCCATCATGGTGAGATACGCCTTCATTTTCTTCACGCCCTCCTGCTCAGCCCCCGGTGGGAGCATAGAGCTCTGCATCCCGGGTATCATAGACATAACCTTCGACAAGGGGCCCATCCTCATCACCTGCTCCCGCCGATATCACAACAACAACAGCAGCAGCAAAGCGTCAAGGGCAACCCACAGTTCCAAACTGCTCCCTCAAATCTCGCAATGAGAATTGCCCCGATTGCATACGAGCCATAAGATCCCCTTGCTTGTCCAGCGGCATCGCTTCGCCTATAGTACCTTCACAATAGGTCATGGACTGTCTACAGGCAGTGGCATGATATAAGTTATACAGAGATTGGCCTATATACCACATATGTATCGAATATTATATAAATGTAAGATGATATCAGTTTATCAAAAAATGGAGTTCCACCCGTGAAGTGGCGTAATACTCTGTGAAAACCCCGAAATTCGTGCTGTGCAGTGGTCGTGAAACATATTTTTCACTAGTGTTTTTCATATCACGGATAAAGCTCCAACATACTAAAAGTGCTCTAGCAGCAGGAGCTTACTCATGAGGCCCTTGATATCCCCCAGCCCTAGAAGTCTCTGTACGAACGATTGAGCATCAAAAGGCTCGAATTCGTCAAAGTGCTCACCAGTGCCTACAAGCCATCAGTATCAACGAGAGGCGATGCTGATAACCAACCAATGAAGATGATAGGAGAATCAGTTGCCGCCACGGCTGAGAGGGCCCCTCCTCCTTTAGCATGGCCATCAAGCTTCGTCACGACTACACTCCCTACAGACACCTGTACAGGGTCACACATAGAGCCTTGCGGAATTCGAACAAATTACGGTATCCTTGAAAGCCTTTGCTTGTTCGAAGCACGCCTGCCCTATATGGGAATCCATGACGAACACTATTTCATCAGGGTTCACAGCCTTGGCGACTTGCGTCATCTCGTCAAACAGAGCAGCTTCCTAACACCAGGGGTACACCACAGAAAGCACCCCATCCTTCTCCCACCTGACGATGCCGTCCACTCGTATCCACTATGATGATATCATACTTATCCATCTTGAACAAGTCCACACCCTCCTTGGCAATCTTGACAGGGTCCGACTCCACATAGGAACCATAGAATGGTATCTATCTCGCATATATACACCACAAGGAGAAAAAGCCCCTTCCCTCACTTCCCGACCTCACCTTCACTTTGGTAGCGTTTTGTTTAAGCTGGTCAAAGGCGCCAGCTCGGAAGGTATCAGCACACACCAAGGCCACACGCCATCCCTTCCGCTGGTAGTAGTGAGCATACCTACAACGACTCAGCTTAGCCCGACAATGGGAAAGTCCCTCATCCTACTTCGTGCAACTCGTCGTCTTTCCACTACCTTGCAGACCAACAAACATGATAACATTAGGTTGGCCTGCGAAAATTCCAACAAAGTTTACATACCACACCGTCGCCACTTCCTACCCTTCTTCGGCTTGTAAGGTTCCTTATCAGGACTCAACATCTCAACAAGCTGATTCACAACCGCCTTCTGAATAACCCGCTGCTTATTCGACCCCGGCGCCGCCAACTCTTCCAAGTCGACCGTCCGTTTGATATTCTTCCGCAGTTCCGCTACGTATCGTACCTACAAATCCACGAGCCCTCATCGCATCCATGATGAGACCCCCGTAGACCCCTCACGCTCCCCCTGTTACTACATTAACATCAGCCTGTAAAAGGGCTGTAGAGATCTCCTTCAAACACTCGTCCAGAACAGCCTCGTCTATTACAGTAGCCTTACCCAGCTTCCGAAGAGCTCCCGAGATCTGCTTACCGAGATCGGCCAGGACCATTATAACAAAACTTCCACAAGTCGCCCATCAACTCGCATCAGCAACACCACACCAGAGGCAGTGCGGAAACATGCTACCTAGCAGTAAGCAAAATGAGCACTTCTAAATAGAGCCCGACTAAAAAGCTGTTCCCGGATCATCACATTTCATCATGGACAACGCCGACCCTCCCCTCGATAGCTCTACGGACTGCCTCCACCGCAGCCTCCACATCAACTGCAACCTTCTTTTTCCCCATAGCCCGCTCGTCTCGGCCCGCACCCTCCAACAGGACCCTCTCATAACTCAGCCCGAGAGCCTCAGCAATGTACATGTAGTGCCGCACCAGAGGGTTCGCAAATCCCAACTCGATCACTGTAGTCCCCTCCGAACAGAATAGGATGTTGGACAAGCCAGCTCCATGGACCCCAACAACCACTGCTGCTCTCGAGAACATCGCTACCGCTCTTTCCGCTCCTTCCTCAGCTCCATCGAACTCCCTCACATCGACCCCTTCAATGTTCCTAAGGGCTGCTACCAACCGCCGTTCATTTTTGAGTATTCTCGACTCATCCCGAGAGGCCTTCCGAACGATCCACAAAACCACAGGTCTATTGGAAGCCTCCTCCCCTCCACCAACATCACTACTGCCTTTCATCATAGCACTCCGCAGACCCCGCAACAACCGGCTTGGAGGTATGCAGTGCAGTGGAAGGTCATAGGCAGGGTCCACCATAGGAGGCCAGGTATAAGATACGACCTCAGACAGCTCTACTCGGACCTGTCTCGTGCCCTCTGTCGGGTAGTAGAGCCTCTTGGCATTCTCAACGCCCAACCCTCTAAGCAGGATATCAGTGAAGCCATCAACAAAGGGTGCCCAAGGTAAGAGGATCTGGAAGCGTACTGTTGATGGCTGATTATCTTGAAGACTCGCCTGTGGGTTGGGAGTACTCCTTATGTCCTCCTGCAGAGCCACGAGCCTCGGCAAGGACTCCAACAGGAAATGATAAAACATAGTCGAACGGTAACCTACTGTTACAAACACCTGAAAAGACACCATAACACATTCATATACGTGAACCATAGCAATTATGCAGTACGCGCGATCTGAAGACCCCATTTCGTGTGGCAGCCCCATCGGGAAGTCGAAAAAGTCCAAAAAAATTTCCTCGAAAATCGAATCCGTGGCATATATCAAACAATACAATCATGTTCGGAGAGTTGATCAATATAAAATTTCAGGTTGATATGAGCAGTAGTTAAGAAGTTGGGGCTGCCACACGAAACCGGCTCTTCAGATTGCGCGTACAAGCAATGAGCAAAGCATTTACCACCAGCCTCAACGAGGTCTCAAGGGAAAGCTTCGCTACCAAAGACCACATCTACTGCCGACACTCGACCCTCTCAGCCGGCGGTATGCCTCGAGGAACTGACTACCTTCCCCTTGAATACTCGCGGACGCCCTTCCATAGGCGGCATCGGTGTTCCGTGAATTGGGTCCGGGAAGGGAAGATTCTGGGCGAGATTGAGGTAAAGATGAGCCGAGACCCTAAGGTGTTGGCAACCCGTCGCGAACAACTACAACGACCTCTCTAAACTACAGTGTGAAGGAGCAGGCCGCCTTATCAAACATGACCGCATCCTCTCCAATGAGATCGATCCTAGACGAGAACTCTATCCTGCTCTCCTCCGTTACTTCATCGATACGCCCTACACGTCGGAAGTCAGGAAGCAGGGCACATTGCCATTCCCGAGGTACCACCCTCCGCCTTGCATCCTAGTACTGGGCTAGCCAGTTTTACAGCGGTCACTTGAGAAGCCCTCAAGTAGTGGACTGCTAAGGGCCAGGCCCCACTAGGGTCCACCTCTGTTCGCATCATGTACATCGTACCTTACCAAAATATGCACATGTGTTGGTAACATTATGAGAATTCTGAGGAAATTCTGAGAGTAAACTTCTACCCAAATTCGTATGTATGGGAGAATTCATAAGCTCAACTGAGGAGAGCGAACACATTCCAACACTGTCTTCCAAGGCTATCAAAACACGATCATGTAAAGCTGATCCACCGTACCAAGGTCATGGAGGTTGGCTGGGTGTTCCGGGACGAGATCGATTTGCCTTTTTGCCAGTTCTATGCTCTTCGTGATATTACCCTGCCCTGCACGATACACCCTATCACGCTCCATAGACACCTTAAAGGGGACCCAACTCCCTCTACACTTGGTCACAGCCCAACACTTACCTTTCCAATCGTTGCAATTCTCCTACGCTCTCCTATGTGCTGTCTCAACCTGTCGGCTTCCTCCACAGTAAGCGTCGATCCTTCTGATTTGTCCACAGCTCTGCTCGCCTCCTGCCCAGTCACCCTTTCCCGCCTCCGCTGACCGATGCCCCCCCCATACTACCTCCCACAGGGCCAGACTCTTGTCCATGAAGTTCGCATGCATTTCGAGATTGGCCATAGTAAGGTGAGCTTGTGGATCGTCAGGGCGCAGTGTTGCCGCCTTGGAGTACAGGCCCCGGACTTTTTGCAGCATTCCTGATGGCGTGTCTAGTTTCATAGAGCCACAGTAGAGAGCCAACGAGAATTCTCACCAAGAGCTTCATCGAATCGAGACCGGGAGGCCGCCAGAGAGGCCTTCTCAGCCAGGGAAAGCATCCTTTCACAGATGTGTTCATAACGGTCTCCCACTGCTGTCGCGAGCCATACTAGTAGTACACCAGGTGAAACAAGGCGCATAGAAAAACGCTGCTGACACTCTATATAGCGTCATAGAGGGTATTCAAAGCGTGTACAAGGAGACGACCCTGGCGGCACTACTAGCCTCTAATAAGCCTTGTAGTAACTCTGTCCTAATCCCCATGCTCGGGCAGACCCTGTCTCGTCTCCCACCTCCAAAACGCTCTTTATAGACCCCACGATGGACCCACTACGGCAGGTTACCCACCCCCTCATTCCTCGACAAGGGTGATGTGCACGGCCTGCGAGACCCGCCGTGATTTAGTTACTAAAGGACAGTGGTCGGAAGTGCTCTTTACAGGAATTGAATGGAGGAGGCGGGGATCGAACCCGATACCATTCTCGTGGCCGCGTTCATGCGTGCAGTATTAGAGGTTGATTCCCCCAACTCTGACGATACCAACAGTTGTTTACTGCCTAGGCCTACTCACACGCGGGGAGGTTAGATGCCAGAGCCCCGTCTTATGAGTCGACCCTGTTTCACGAACAGTATGTTCCTTCTACGCTCATCCTCCCGCGCTCAATCATATCCAAGGCGGATAGTGCTAACTCAACACTGTACACGCAACTAGCCTCTCCTCTTCCTTGGATTTCAGCGGAGGCGATAAACCTATAGGTACAGGGGGCGGCTTACCTCATTATCGGTCTCAACGACCCCAAAATGGCGACAAGTTCTCACTGGCAACACCGGCAACATGTGTCAATAGAAACCATATTATACACTGTACGTTGAAGATAGCAGTGATTGTCAGAGGTCATCAGCTTAGATACTTCCGTTCTATCTCTGCCCAGTCGTCCTCTTCTGTTTGATACGTAACGTGCGAGTTGTACGCTCGAAACCTAAACCGCTAATAATGATAAAAGCGATTGTCTAGACCCATTACGCCGCAGCTATGCCTTGAAAGCCGTCAACTTTACTCATGGGGACCTGAAGACGGTGATGGCCATGATGAAATCTCCAAGGCTGGTTTACATATCCAACAGTTGGTGCCTTGTGAAGCGGTGACAAGTCCAATGCATCTCGCTGCTGAGACACCGCTCCATCAGAGGCGCTGAGATTCATCGTCCGTCCACCAAGGAGCAACTCCGGGCTCAACTTCACCGTACATCTTCCGACACCAAGCTTCTGTAACAGCGAAGGAGTCCACAAACGCCGAGGCTCTCTAGGCCTACTTTGGGGTCACCCCAGTCGGCGATAATCGCTGCCCACCACTCACTGAGGTCCACGGCATCAGCGAGCTCTGGACCGGGGTAGTTGGCACTTTCCTCGACATAGTAGCATGCCACGTCATCTTCTTCTTGGGGATCTTGGGAGCTCGTGCTCACATTAGAGCTGACACCGAAACCCGTTGAATGTCCCAACGAACCAGCTTGAGTACATTCGTCGCTTCGTCGACCGTCTGATGCTGCCTGAGTCCTCGAGGTCAACGTCAATGATATTAGAGCGTTGAGCGCTGGTGAGAGAGACTGGCTCCTCTTTTACCTACACTGAAGGCCTGTTGGGTGGCAACCGGTGGGCCAATGGCGTCTCCGATGATCTGCCGAGTATAGCGCCGTCATGATCACTCACCTTGCGAAAAACTCGAGTTCGTTTCCGCGTTGGCTCACCAGCAACATCATCAGGTTCGTTCACAACTGAGATCCCTTCAATGACGAGAAAGCCTCTGAGCAACTTGTCTTACCCACACCCGAGGGAAAAGAGCCCTCTTCAGCAAGCTCAAGCGAGGGCGTTCGTCCACGTTTCTTGAATCGAAGTATGAGTGGTTCCACCGCGAGCATTCGAGATGGGAAGACAAATACACACTGTTGGGAAAGCGATGTGTCATTCATCATAGAGGCAATACTTGCACTTACCAACTACTGAGCAATACTAGGCTATCTTTTCTCCCATGGGTGAGATCACATATTCTAAGCGCAATGGTACAATGCCGGGCAAGCACCTCCTGCTGATACTCGAAGTCATTCCGTGTTAGACTATAACAGCTCGATTCCTGATTGTTCTCAATCAGATAGTACACCATAGCTACTGTGGTCTCAGTCGCCACATCTTAACTCCAATTTAGGTTTGAATCTCACGTGTACATATCACCAAGAAAGCCACTACGCACAACGCAATATAGAGAAGATTAGAAAGAAATGCTGAGCTAGAATTGAAAGACATTCCCCAAAATATACACCAACAGACAATCAGCGTAGACATACATTCAAAGCAATCCCGAGTGGTCAAATCAACATTCAGAGAATGAGTCTAACTTCTTAATTCTAGGGGGCGTCCTCGCGGGAGGGGGAGGGGATCCTCCAGATGACGATGTCGATGTAGCCCCGGTCAACTTGACTATCTCCTCTCTCACAAACTCCACCACGCCTTCAAACGCCGCGAACTTCTTCTGCAGGAGACGAGAGTCCCAGCACTTCACCGACAAGGAAAAAAGCTCTATCTCGACCGGTCGCAGCTCCCACGGCTTTCGACCAGTTCGAACCAGTGGACGGGCCCACTCAGCGACATAGCAATCCAAGACCTGCACCGTGTCACCGTCGATCAAGGCCGTGTCACCAGCCCTGAGCGCCATATGGAGGGACATGGCCGCCCGCCCAGTCGCCTCCAAATTCCAATCTTTGGCAGCGCATGGCGAATCCGCTGCACCGTAGTCTGAGCCATCCACGTCTAGATCGTCCAAAGGCTCGAATATCTCATCGATTGAGTAGCCACAGGCCGGGTCACCATTTGGGGGGCTCCTCTTGGAACCAGGCTGATAACACGTAAAATAAAAACCACCTACATATTGGTGACCGCCACCCCCGTAGGCCGTGCATATCTAAGAAGAACAAGGGGATGCCAACAGTCATAAGAAGCCTGCTTACCTCGGCAACATCAACGTCTTCTCGATCTGTGCTGAGAGACACTCGATAGCGTCTTGTTGTGTCGTCGAAGAAATATATAACAGCCAAGTCGGCCTTAGGCTCCAACTCCTCATCTGAGGGTTCCACCCCATCTGGTCGAGGAACCCCTCTACCTCTGTACTCGAGCATCTCCCACATCACTCGCCCCTTCAGTGATTGACTCGAGCAGTTCACCACCCGAGCCAGCAAATTAGGAAACAGTCTCAGTCGTCGCAGTCGAGAACGCCACACATGCTGACGAACGTCATAGTAGAACTCATCGACCTCTCCAGAGCTGCCAGCTTCAATGCACTCATTCAGGAACTCGTCACCACGATCAACACAGTCGGCAAAGGCCCGGAGGCACTGCTCATCCACCTGGCCCGGCGTGAAGATTGGTGGCTCATAGTCCGCTCTCTTGCCGCGGAAGCCCGTCTGGAAATAGCTAGAATTGTAGTAAGTAAAGCGCCCAATATCGCAGTCTTCTATATACCGCAATAGCAAGGGCACGCGAGCGTTCCGTCCCATGAAGTAGTCCCAAGTAAGAGTGCAGGCACTCTGTCGTTGATTGATGATATACTCCACGCCCGGTACCGGACTAGTCATCCACTGGGTCGCCGTGGACTGGTGATGATCCAGGATAATGCACCGCTTACAGTGCCGTCCGAGCTGCTCCAGAATAGCTCTGTTGGTGTACACGAAATCAAGCAATACCACATTCTTCCCCTCGTAGTCGTACTCGATCTCGCTCTGACTGTGGACTTCTCCGAAGAACTTGGGGAAGTGCTCGTCGCCACGAGCCGATTTACGCCCTCTACCAGCCTTGTCCCCGCCGCCGCTACGACGGGCCCGCTTGTTCCTGTCGTTGAGCAAGCCTTGATAGACCGAGTAAGCAGCACCCATGCCATCGTTGCAGGAGGCGTGAAAGACCACAACATCAACTTCGCTGGCCAACAGACGACCTGATCGACATCTCTAAAAATCGATAATACGGCGTGTGAGAAAATATGCACATGGTCAACTCCATGCATGAGCGACGATTTGGAAATTCTGAGAGATGTCTTATTGTTTTCCGTACACTTCTACTCGAGTTCGTATGTGAACTTCTATAGTAAGTGAGGAAACTCCTGAGCTCAGCTGAGCAGAGCGAACATATATTCCCAGACTGTTACTAACAATACAAATCTCTTCAATTCGCATCTCCTCCCCTTGAAAGAGAGCCCCTCCCCCTCACCTTTGTCACCGTAGCTGTGCCAGGCCTTCGACACCGTCCCTTCGCCACTGTCCAACATAGCATACGTCCCCGGAGGATCGTGAAAGAACTTGGCATTCTTCGAGACACCCGGTGGCGGCATGTTACAGTCATAGAATATAGTGCGCACAGTAGAAGATTCCTCCCCCCACTTCGGACCAAGATAGACCTCAGTCGGCTCTTGTTGCTCCCACTTAGTAGACGTCCAAGAAGAATAAGACCAATCCTCGACCCGTCCCTTCGCCTCACCATCCGCCTCCCAACCACTACCTGAGTCCCACGTCCTCTCCGGCCTACCTCCTCCTTTCCTCCCAACCAGGCCATCACTATTGCTCTTGTGGTCCTGGCTCCAGTAGTCCCCCCTCCCCTCCCCTTTCGTGGGCTTGGCTCCCTCATAGCTCACTTTCCCATCACCAACAGATCCTCTGAAGTTGCTCCATCGTTTACCCCCCTGCTGTGACGACCTCCCGACATGCATAGTTACAGGAGTCGGTCGATCAGCATAGCCCGGTCTAGGCTGGAGGACCACCCTACCACTACCCTTCCTCCTCTCACCAGAACTACCACTGTTCTCGACTGACTCCCCCGCAGTAGTACTGTCAAAACTGCACTCACCCGACGCCATCACGGGAGACCGCCCCCTTCGCCGCTCCGGACCACTCCCCTTCGAGCCGTTCAGCTGCCTCAACTTTCCCGTGTCACCATATCTCTGTCGAGCCGCAGGCGTCAGTGTCACCCTCTCTTCTCTTGAACTATCACCGTGTTCTCTCCCGCTGCGAGCTCCACGGCCTCCAGCTGGAGTTCCCCTCCCCGTCCCTTTCCCCTGTAATACCACTCCTTCCCCAATTCCCCTATCACGAATATCCCTCACCTCTTGCCCTTGAGTCGGCTTAGCAGGCTTCCACCGCAATCGTGGAGCCCACTCTGCAGCTCCCTCAGCACCTGACCGGCTCCCACTCGTGGCGGTCGACTTCATCGACAGGTACAGACCAAAACTACACGCGAGGATGCCGCCCCCCACCATCCAAACTACAATGCCCAACGACACAAGACAGGAAAAGAGAAGAAACGTTACCGATGAAGAAGTGCTTCACTGTATTCATCCACGTAGTTCCGCAGCTTTGGTAAGGACCTCCTGAGGAACATCAACCATCACATCACGACCTCCTGTCAGCACGCTCACCTCCACAAGAGCTCTCTCCTCGCTCTCCATGTGCTCAACTCCTTGTGTCAAGCACCTTCGTAGGGTTCGTAACTGATCCGATCATATGATACCACACTTCGGCCACTTCCTGCCGACCTCTTGCGGACCCCATGTAGCCCCCTCCCTCGCCCTCAGCGCCTCAACATCGTCTCCTACATCGCCCTCCACCGAGCCTTCCGGTCCACAGCTATCCAGCAGAGCATCCAAGTACCAGTCCAGGAACCTCCTAGTGCTGCCTGTGCCCCCGGGCCTTCTCAAATCACTGAGCTGCGCCACCTGCAGACACGCATCATCATCAACCAGAAATAACATGTGATGTACTGAGCAAGCCTACCGACTGCCCGGTCTGCTTTACGCCCCAGTAAACTCGCCGTTGCAGCGACTTTACTATACGGCCCAATGGCAGGTCCCTCCACGCCTCCCCAACAGTACCAACGTCCTCTCCACTAGGCTCATACCTAAACGAGGAGGAAGAACTGCGAACTAGTGACCACGCCCACTTTAGGGAATTAATAACCTAACGCTACTAGTGATAGCCTCTCCCCCTACAGTGCCGCCCACCACATCATTCTACCCTTTATCGATAGCCAAACCAAAGCCAGTTCCCCCGTGGTCGATCTTTGAATGAAAAGACTGGCACTATAGCTACCACTGATTTGAGGAATGTACACGGGAAGTGAAAAAGGAATGGGACGAGATCGCAATTCGACCTAGCCTCTACTACTTTTGCGCTCCTTGGACCTGTGCTAAAGCCTTCTCCTGAGCTCGAGTGGCCGTCACCAACATACTCAACAAGTGTTCTGTCACTTGGGCGTGGCGACGACAGAACTCCTCCTGCTCCTTCGCAGACAGAGTCCCTTCAGCCTACAAGGTAATCGACACCCCCGAGAGGACTCCCATTCCCACCTTGTTCAAGTTAGGTAGGCTGAAGACCTGTCCTAGGGGCTTGGCGGTACAACCAGGAAAGTGAAGACCATATTGAGGTAGCTGCTCCGAGCCTGATACCACTCCATGGGATACTCAGCGAGGCATCGTACTACTACTACCTATGCCCAGGGACTTCAACGTCTCCCCCACAGCCTGCCAAACTGCCTCCAAGCCCTCATCCACCTCGGAAGAAGCTTCCGACATATCCTCCTGACACAGAGGAGTCGGAAATGAAGCGACACAATGTAATTTGGTGATACTACAGCTAGCAACCAATAGATACTGTTGATTCACATTCACAGATCTTCGCAATTTTACGGTATTACTACTTCCACATACTACAGCTAGCAACCAATAGATACTCTTGATTCACATTCACAGATCTTCGCAATTTTACGGTATTACTACTTCCACATACTACAGCTAGCAACCAATAGATACTGTTGATTCACATTCACAGATCTTCGCAATTTTACGGTATTACTACTTCCACATACTACAGCTAGCAACCAATAGATACTGTTGATTCACATTCACAGATCTTCGCAATTTTACGGTATTACTACTCCCACATACGCACTCCCTGATCTATATACTCCTTACATTACTACTGCCCATCACAAGATCCAATTCATAAAATGCTTATCCCCTAATACTACATCTTCCTCCTCTCCTTCATCGTCAGACTCCCGCACCTCCTTCAACGAGGAGGACGTAGACTCCTCCATTTCGTAATCATCCGAGTCCTTCCGAGTCATTGATACTACAACAGTAACGATAGCTGCAGTGAAGCACTCCACTAAAAGATCCCTTCACACATCGGCAACTCAGCACACTCCCAAACGTGGAAATTGGTAAGTTCTTGCAATATAGTTCAGAATAACGAGCGAAATTTTCACTCGATATTGGAGACAATCAAACGATACCGTCCCATAGTGAGAAGGGACGAGAATGAGGCTGAAGTGGGCCTGAATGCTGGTATCGAATTCTCCCCTCAAGGGAGGCAAGTGACAACTATAATTAGTATGATCAGTAACTAGCATAGAAACACATGAGAACGACAGAAACCACAAGGATGCTCACCAGGAGTATTAACGCGATCCGCTTGGAAATTTTCCAGCACTTTGCCATTTTCTTCTTCTTGCTGTCAGGGCGGCTTCTGGTAGACGATGACGATTCCCCTTCGATCGCCTGTCGACACCCATACGATGCTCAGAGGCATGTGTCTCATTACATGGTCTCCCGCTGTACCTCCGCCCTGCTCCTCTAGATCAGTAGTGTGCCCCTCTGTCTGATTTTGGTTTTTGTCCTGAAGTAAGGGACGCCCCTACTAGGAACACTGTCAAGGTACAAAGCGAACGAATCAGGTTCAATTCCAAGTGGCAGACAAATCTCCATACAGAAACGCATAACGCCATAAACAATTCTCTTATTACCACCACCACAACAACAACAACAACTTCTTCTTCTTCTTCTTCTTCTTCTACTACTACTACTACTACTACTACTACTACCTGTGGGGCTGTCATTGTTTATCGATATGACTCAAGTACGGTATGGGGTCAAGCAACGGGATAGGGTATAATAGGCGAGGAACAAAAATACATACTGAGCCCTCTCCTGTCGCTCCATCAACTCAAGACGACACCTCGGGGGGGGATGCAGGAGAGGAGACGATAGTGAATATCTGCGTTATTATTATTATGATGGGATCACAAAGAACACCACTATCCACACGATGAGGATCTAAAATGAACAACAATCTTCGCTCCGCCGTCGACGCCATCATCCGACAACTATTACCAATAGTAGTATAGATATACATGCCACTTTGCGCCAGAAGTTCTTCTTCTTGCTATGGTGGGTCTCCTGCAGCTCCTCCACTACCTACATATGCTCTTTTGTGAGAAAAACGAACGTCCATTAATATTCAAAGAGGACAACACTAACCTGCCTCCTCCAGTTACTACCTTCCCCGTCGAGTCCTTGGCCTGTTCTATTTGTTCATCAACAGCATCTATAGTCTCTTGCTGTTTCACTACTTCACCATGCAGCTGATGGTACATATCCTAATACGTTCAAACTCCCATCACAACACCAAATTAGCTTCTGTCCTCTACCACCTGAACTACTCCCATATTCTTATCGACCTTCCTCAAGTCCTTCAACTTCTGCCGTTGTAGAGCTTCATCTAAAGACACGTCCTGATCCTGAGGACAGTAAACCCATCGATCAAATCTGAGGCCACCACGACCACGCACTTGCAATAATGGATCTCGCAAAGAAGAATACGAACTAGATGCTGTGAATGGATTCAGCGATTCTGGGTAGGGCTGCCGCGACGGAGGCCCTAATGAAAATAGAAAGCATGAACATGGTCCGCCGCATGCGTAGCTGCTATTTGCGGAAACTCTGAGGAAATTCTCAATGGTTTCTGCACAGTTACACCCGAATTTGTATGTAAACTTCTGAAATTAGTGACAAAATTCCTGGACTCAGCTGAGGGAAGCAAACACTGAGATACAGCGTCACCACAGGCAGGTGTCGGCACTTACTCTGAGGAAGCCCAGTGGAGCCGGACACTGGCATGGAAGCTGGCGGAATCAGGGGTATCTGCTAAAGAATCATCCTTATACTACTCAACACGACCAAGGGGGCTTCAGAAACACTCTCATGGCAATCAGTGCAAGGATTTGCTACTACCAGGAAGAACGGAAAGACCACCAACTGGAGGGCTCCTCTTTAACGGAGTTCAGTACTCGCTTGGGCTCTTCCAACTCTTAGACACCCAACTATCTCAGCGGACTCTAGCATCACCATTGCCCCAGCACCTCTAGGAGTGCTCCTTGCTTCCATCAGTTACTGGGATTGAGAACGGCTAACTACAATCAAGCCATACACCACCACACCGAGAGCTTCTCATCGCAGGTCCACCGGTTTTCATAGCAGACGGCAATCAAAATCTGTGTGGTGCATGCCAACACCCACTAGACACATCTCGTTACAGCCCCGTTACGTTACGGAGCTAGACACCTTAGGCCATTGTGGCACCCCCTGTCAGGAGACTCTCGAGCGGCAGTTACTGCAAGATCGACGGTGGCCTAGCCAGGGAAGGTATGTCAGTGGAAGGGCGATGAGACCGACGGTACCTTCCATGCACGGCTTGTCTCGAAAAAGGCTATCCCAAGTTACCATCGATCGAGCGTGTGAGGGACACAGACTGCAGTGAGAGCCCAAAGACCCAAGAATGGCGTCGGGTACAGTAGGGACTCTATTGAATGATAATACCACAACTACCCTCTGTATATCTCGAGGGTGACGATTCACGACAACTAAGGTAGGTAAACGATTACACTAACACTCTACTAGGACAGTCGAGATCTACATCACTACAAGTGAAATGCCCCCTGTCAATTGTTTGGAATCCCAACATGGACAGTTGGGTCGAATAAGTGTGGGTGATTCGGGAACCTGCAAGGCTTGTTGAACTGGTTTGGCGGATGATATTCGCGTTGGCACTCGGGAGGTCGCAAGATCAGTTTTCGGGGGCCAGGGGCAAGCTGTGTCCGATGAGTTCAACGCTCCCGAGGCTTACTCCTTGAGAACGTCAAGTAGCGGCTCTCAAGTGTTACAAGAAACAGCAAAGAGGACCTTGAGTGGGGACCTCAAAGTCCTTACTTATAGGAATCCTGACGCTCCTTTGCCTCCTAAGTTTAAAGAAAGCGCTCCCTCCCTAAGGAAAGCTTCCTAAGTAATAGGAAAGTTAGCTTCGTTATCGGTATCATATATTCCTGTTAGCGGTTAGCTACGTTGCATTGGCTGAATTTCGTGGCGAGTGACGCTATCGTGCTAAGTCGAAGCGTGACATCAAGTGATGCCAAGGTCCCCCTAAGAGGGCCTCTTGAACAACATAAACTGTATTGATGTCACGCTAATAACCCCTCTGTCCCTTTTCGGTGGGCTGACCTCGACTCGGACGACCTATGTGTACTGACTCCCCCAGGGATAGCCTTGTGATGCCGTAAGCCTTGGGTGAGTCACGAGGGTGGTGGGCAGTCGCAAGAATAGTATTATCGCGAGGCCGAGGACTGTGTTACATAGGCTTAGACGTTTTTCACCACGTTGTGGTCACTCAATGGCTGACATTTCCCCGGACAACCTCTTCAAGGCCCTCACCGGTTCCTTCTCCCCCGACGCTAATCAGCGTCGAGAAGCCGAGAACATCATTACGGCTGCCCAAAGGCAGCAAGGATTCATGCAGGCCCTTTGCCGTGTGTGGATCGAAGACAAGGTATTATTGTGGAGGTCGCCCCCGCGTTGTTGGCCGTAGTGGTGTTGGTCAGGTCGAGTCGGTCATACGCCAGTCAGCGGCCATCCAAGTGAAAAACGGCATTAAGAACTTCTGGTCTCGTAGAGTGCAATATGATGGCAGTGTAATATGGCGTCGGGCTCTGGTGATTCGAAATGTTGCTTCGACTAAGACTTCAGTCTCTGTCGCAGTTTCTAGTCTTTCATCGTGCCAGGTGCAGCAGATTACTGAGCCTGGGCCATCTGGCTATGAGCTGTGTGATGCCGATAAGGCGTTTGTCCTCAGTAACATAGTTGACATTGCGGTTCATGCTAAAGGAGATGCGAAACTCCGCAATTTGGCTATTGAGTGTGTCCGCGAATGCATTCATCGTGAGTAAGTACCCTCAGTGATAAGGCTTGGTGCTGACGGTATCGCCCTGCTTCCCCTAAGGTACCCAGCATGCTGGCCTGACCTTCTCCCTCAGGCTTTGAGCCTCATTGCTGCGATCGAGGATCCCAACAAGGTTGGTGGCCCTCTGAGATTCGTGGCATTTATTGTGACCTGTGGTAGGTCATGGTGGGCCTGCTAGTAATAAGGAAGATTGCTCGCGAGTTCGAGATGAAGGCTCGTGGTCGTCCCGGTCGTGAGAGCTTGGACTCAGTGGTATCACTCCTCTTCTATTACTCTTGTTTTGGAGCTCTCTGGGTTGGCAGATAGTACAAGCCCTCCCGCAGCTGCTGGCGTTAGGGGAGAAGCTCTATCCAAGTGCTGAGGCAATGGACACTCAAGCGGTAATGAAGTCGATGTTGGACTTGGTCGAATTTCATTGGCTGTGTAGGTTGATATGCTACGTGTTATCGCCAAGACATTTCATTCCTGTATTCAAACCTCTCTGCACGAGAGCCTTATCACGGACCATGCTTCATGTAAAAAGGGAGGGTGCGGGGATTGAACCTGTGAGGGTCTGTGTGTAGGTGGTAGATGGATGGAGTTGTTTCTCAAGTGCTCTACGATGTTGTCCGTCCCTACGAGCAAGTTGCCTGCGGATCACGATCAAAGGCAGCAGATCCCTCTCGCTAAGGTGAATTTTGTGGCGCGTGACGCTTTCTTTGCACCCACCTTTCGTCTACCTTCAGCTGCAGAAATGGACCATGAGGAACATCCACCGATTCATCGGTCGCTTTGGCAATCCCCGTTTGGTAAGGGTGCTTCTGTTCCCCAAGCTGATGGCTGCTGGTCAGGTGGCGGCCCATGAGGCGGACCAGAACGTGGCCGTGGTCATGACCAATTTCGCTCAGTGGTGGTTGGACACTTTCGGCCCAGGCATGACTCAGCAGATGATCGAGCTCCTCCAGAAGAGGGTTACTCAAGGGGCATTCGTGAGCGACCAGGTAACCTCCTACTAGGCGTAGTGGTCGGGCGACATTGGCTGTAGGTGTTGTATCAAGTCTTCGGCTTCATCGCAGAGGCCGCACAGCATTCCATCACTTATAAGGTCATCAAGCCTCATCTACAGTAAGCTCAACTGATGACGACGGCTTAGCTGGAATGGCGGTTTATTACAGATTCCTCGTCCACGATGTCGTCTTGCCAGTTTTGTCCTTCTCCCATGAGGACCAGCAGTTGTGGGAAGCTGATCCCGATGAGGTGACTCGTTGCTGCCCTTCATTGTATTAGAGTGAGGTTCCCTTATGCAGTTTATTCGTCGTCAAGGAGCATGCGAGACCATATTCTCGGATCCTCGTAGCGCTGCTGGAGATCTACTACGTGTAGGTCCTTGTCTGAGTCTGCCGGCATTTTTCGTTTGTACTTTATTACTGTGTGTCAGTCGTTCGTGAGCTACCGTGGTCGCGACAGTCTGAGCATCATAATGGCTTCTATTTCTACTGATCTAGAGGCTTACAGTCGAATGGGAGATAAGGTGGACATGGCCGCTTGCTGCAGGTAGTTGGACGGTTAGGTCAGTGAGGTGGCAGCTCGTGGTGGTGCTCAGGAAAGATGGTGCTCTCAACGCGCTGGAGAACATCGCGGAACAGCTCGCCCTAGCTGCAGTAGAGAAGTCGGGTGGGTCCAGAGTCGTGTTGGGAGAGGAATGGTATGGATTGTTGTTTAGGAAAATCGAAGAAGTCCAAGAAGGGCAAGAAGAATAAGAAGCCGTCTGCTGTTGAGAATCAACTGCCTGATGTGAACGCCCTTCAGCAGATGCTGGTCAATGTGGTCCTGCCGGAGTACAAGTCCCGATGCGCCTTCCTCCGCCTGAGGGCATGCTCGACCTTTGAGGCCTTCGTCACTGAGAATATCGAGTTTAGCGCGGAGGTCTTCGGTGCTGCCTTTGTTGCTACTAAGGCTTGCTTGAGCGATACAGAGCTACCGGTAGGAGGAGGAGGTGGGATGGTTCTGTCGGGTCAGCGAGGGAATGGAGTCGTGATTGATTGCGTGTCGCGAGCCCACTCGAATCTGGTATTGGTATGGTATATAAAGGCATCTTGGATTATCTCTAAATCGTCATACATGCTAATGATATCTTGGGGACCCGTCCTTGGAGGATCATCGTGCCAATGAGCTCCTCTATTTAGATAGATAGTGCTTGTGTACTATAGATTGTCTTACGAGGCCGAGGCGCTTATGGTGTGTGCATTGCTTCCATGCAGGTTCGAGTGCAGGCAGGGGGTTCCATCAAGCCATTCTTCAACAACTGCTCCCCGACTATGAGGCCCATGGTCGCCCAATCAGTACGTCGTTTGATAGGCTGAGGGCTGTGATGTTTTTGGCTGGTTCAGGTCCCTGAGGTTATTGACAGACTGCTTCGTCTCACCCAGGAGGTTGATAGTGAATCTCTTGCGGCAACTCTGGAGTCGATGGCGACGGAGTTCTCAGATGCAGTTGGACCGTAGGGGCGGTGCGATCGCTGTGATCACTGGTGTTTACTAAGACGGCAGGTACGCGTCTCAAGCTGTGAACCATCTTGTCCCGACCTTCCTACGACAGATGAAGGCTGAGGAGACGGATGACGATACGTCTATGGTAGTATGTTCATTGGCCGTTGCGGACTCGTTAGTCGTGTTGGGGGAGTTGTCGAGATTATCATCGTTCAACACCAGCATAGGAGAGAAATCAAAACTCAATCTTGCTTAATTGTTCATGCTGCTACGAGTTAGTATAGAGCAAAACGGTCGGGCAGGCGACGACCGAAGATATGAGAATAGTATAGTGGGCACGTTGAGATATTTGGCTATTGGTATTGGTTCCCTTCAGGCTGCTATGGGTACTATCCAGACTATATTGTCTTTGATGGATTCAGTGTTTAAGAACCCCGCTGCCTTGGGGCAGTGTGAACAGTCTGTTTGTAAGAGGTGGGGTAGGTGAGGGCCTGGACGGATCTCCTCGATGGTAGGCGGGTTATTGGATGCTCTGTTCACTCCGGATGGCATTGACTATTTTGAGGATGGCTTGGAGATCCTCACTGGAGTTACCTTCACCGCGCCTCAGCCTTTGCCAGAGTCCTTGTGGAGGTAGTGGTCCTGGAGGTTGAATGCCAGTTGGAGTGCTTGCGTACAGATATTATTGTTTGATCCACCAAGCGGTGTGTGGCGGCAACCTGCCTGGTCATGAGCTCACTGGTCCTCTGTCGGAGGTAGCACGCTGGAAGGAGGACTTATTGTGATGAATGTGCATGTCAGGGTTGGGCAGCTGACTACTTGGAGAACATGCTTGGTCCTCTGGACAACTACCTTTCTCGAGGGACTCAGACCTGGCTAACTGGGGTCGGACCAACAGGCATGCGATACACGGAGATGCTCTTTGCCATAGTACGAGAGCTGGCTTTGCCGTGGGGTTTGTAGACGGCATGTGGTGTATGTTGGTGGTGCTTAGGTGAAGAAGGGTATGGAAATGCAGGATGACTATGCAGCGGCTCAGTCGGCCAAGATGGCTGCGCTGGTGTTTGAGAACTGCAAAGCTGGTCAGGCTGATGATTGGCTTGAACCGTACGATAGGACGATACGTGACGGGAGACTGTATGTTGCCTCTCTGGTAGTTACGTAGGGCTCCTTGCCACAGCGATGAAGTCTTGTGATAAGAGTAAAGGGAAGCAGGACGAGTTGAGATGGATCATCTACGCCTTTGTTATGATGTTGTGGTACTCGCCCAATGCTCTGGTTGCTGTCCTCGATAAGCACAACCTCACGTTGGACGTTCTCTCGGCTATCATCCAGGTGGGCATGCGTGCTAAATTCGAACCTGAATTGGGTCTATTGTGGATGTGTCGTTGCTCAGGGCGCTGGCTTGCTACGATCCCATGATGAGAAGAAGGCGTTGATTCTGGCCCTCGGCAACCTCCTGCGATCGATGCCGCAGTTGCCGGCCCATGTTCAAGTAGGTTGGGGTATGGGTGTTGATTCTCGATCATATGAGGAATGTAGGGGACCTGCAAGAAGGTGGTGCAGACGGCTTATGAGCAGTGTAAGGAGGTGCACACTATGCGGCTGAAGGCTAAGGAGAAGGCGGCCCATCGTGGTGATGATGATGAGGATGATGATGATGACAGTGATTGGGTTGAAGAGGGTAGGCAGTGCTTGGCAAAGGGAGGTACTGCTGTTAGTGTTGTTGGCAGATGATGAGGGGCTTATCCAGGACCTGGGGGATGACGAGGATGCTTCGGCGTCTAGGCAGGTGAAGCTGATGCAGGAGGTGAGGGCTCAGCTGATGGCCGTGTTGGCTGGGGAGGCTGATGATGACGATGAGGATGATAGTGATTATGATGACGATGAAGATGATGATGAGAATAAGACTAGTGCTTTGGTAGGCCGTGGGGAGTAGTGGCTGGAGGTAAGGTGAGCTTGTCCCTTTAGGATCGTTATGACGAGTTCATCTATCTCGGGGAGACCTTGTCGCAGTGTCCTGCCTTGTTGGAACATTCAGATCTGTCGCCACAGGATCAACAAACTTGGAAGAACATTATTCAGGAGCGCGCTAATCAGTTGGCGCAAAAACAACAGCAGCAGAAGTGAATGAACTGGAATTAACGACTCGGGTTTACGATGTCTGTGTATGGCTACTGCACTGCATCATATGTTACTTCTAATATACACATCTCTCTATGCTCACGTACCACTCCTTTGCCAAATCACGGGGAGGATTGATACTGGCTTGGTGTCCTCTGCACTTAATCGACTAATGTACAGATATACGTAGTAGTTCTCTATGGGAAAATAGTGTTGTGTTGCTGCTGCTGCTGTTCGTCGTCGTTGGTGTTGATCCGGAGGCATCATTAGTCGTTGCCTATTTCGCGTGGAATATGTCATCTGCACCTCCCAAGGTCGATCCCACCGTCATCCCTAATGTCGTACAATACGATCAGTTCGCGAGGGAATGGCAGCAGATACTCAATCAGGACAACTTTGATGGTTTCCGCATTGAGGCTGGCAAGACTGTGACGAAGAACATGCAGGCCAACCACTCTCTTTTCTTGGGCACATCTCTGAGCCCGAACCAGTACCTCTATCAGTTTGGTCCGACGTATGCTACGGATGATGGGCGCACTGTTATGGTGGGCAGGCTGGGGATGGACGGCGGTGTTAACGCTCGGCTGATGAAGAAACTTTTCAAGGGCACTGATTTGAAGATCAACGCCAACTCGAACCTCCACGACCCTCAGAGGAACATGTACGAGTTCACTGTGGATCAGCAAGGGGAGGATTGGGCAGCTAGTGCTAAGCTGGCCTATCAGGGGACCTGGATATCCAATGTCAGCTTTGCCCAAGAGGTCACCAACAACCTCTCGTTGGGTGGAGAGCTGACTCATGTCGCAGTTAATGGTGTGTCTATTGGAGGCTTGGGAGCTCGTTATGTATGGGGCCCTAACTACTTGAGCTTCGCCTTGGGCCGACAACCTGATTTCAAACAGGGGCCGCAGGCTAATGTACACTCTGCTAAGATGCAGTATGTGCGTAAGGTGTCTGACAGGCTGGCGATTGGTAGTGAGTTCGAGTATAGTCAACCTGAGCAGGAGAGTCAGCTGCGTCTGGGCTATGAGTACACCTTTCGTCACGCTAGAGTTCAGGGCTTGTTGGACACCTGTGGAAAGGTCTCGTGCTTCGTCCAGGACTTCATGGGCTTTGGCATCAGCGGTATGGTAGATTTTGTGAAGGGCGACTATCGATTCGGTTTCATGATGCATATGGTGCCCCAGCCGGAAGATGCAGCAGCGGCTGGTGGGGCTCCTACTTCTGCGTGAGCAGGACAGATGGTTGGCTTGATGGGAATCTTATCTTAGCTGTTGTTGTTGTTGGTGATTGCTGTTACTACTGATGCTGCCACGCCTTTTATGCTAACATTACAGCTCTTCAGTCATCGTCCGTTGGAAGTTTCAGAACAAGTCGTAGTACTGGTAGTAACAACACACTGCTCTTTATATGGTAGAAGCCCATAATGCTATTGCGTTGAGTGTTGTATAGTGGTCAGTGGAGGGCGGGGATGAGGGCGCTCCAGCCGAATGAAAGGCCGATCGATTCGGTACTGCCGATGACACGGGGATCAGCGGGTTCGGGAATTGTGGATGAAAATCACCTATATGGCTAAGTGTGTCGAGGGCCTTGTGATGGTTGTACGAAGGGATGTATTGGATCGATCTAGATGGCCAATAACCCTCCAGGGACCCCATCGCAGCACGGAGCACGTTGCCGCCCAACTGACGTCTGTGACCTGTTGTTGGACCATATAAGGCAGGTAGTGTTGAGGTGGTGGTGGTGGTGAAGGGTTACTGATGGGAAACTATCGTGCTGGGAGGAGGAACTTTTTAACGCGTTTTTCTCAGAATTTTCACGCTTATGAAGCAGCGGGGAGAGGCCAACATGTAGGGTTCAGTGGAACGGGGGGGTTTGAGAGTGGCTATGGGCGGACCAGGTCCGGCAGTTGGCGACCGAAGCCAGCAACTTGAAGCAGCAGCTGCTGGCGCATGCCCTGCAGCCTATGATGTCTCAACAGCGGGTGCTGACATTAATGCAGAACACTAAGGCCATCTTGGGCGAGAATGTGGGTGGGGTGTCTATGGTGGTGGTGGATGGCACTGTTGTAGGCATACCATGAAACGCTACAGCGAGCAGTGTCGATGATTGCTACGGGCCCAGTGCAGCAGAATGCAGCAGCAGCAGGGGCCCAGCCTCAGAATAGCAGTATCATGCAGGCGTATCTGAGGGCCCAGGCTCAGAGTAGAGGAGGGAATGCACAGATGACAGGGGCCACTCAGGTGATTCGTATTGTATATATTCTTTCGTTTGTGGACTTGTTTACTCACAGAATTCATCGGCAGTGGCGGCTGCTGCGGCGGCGATAATGCGACAAGGTGGTTGGATAGGCATCGGGTAGTGTGTTTGTATTGTGGAGTGTTAGGCCATCAGAATAGCGGCCAGGCTGCCACCCCAAATCTACAGGGGCCTGCTCAGAATCGATTGCCAATCAACAATGCCCAGTTTATCCAACAGCTCAGGGCTCTACAACAGCAGCAACAACAACAACAGCAGCAGCGGGTAGGGGCTACACTGCTCAGTAGTAATAGTCTTATATCGGGTTCACGTGCAGGCTGGACAACAGAGTAATATGCCGCAGCCATCGACAGGGCAGCAAGCGGGTACTGGATCGGGGGTTAGCAGTCAGTTGGCCAACACCCTACAAGATCAGATCAATCGGGTAGTACTCGGCCGGGGTGGGGGCCACCCTGTGTGGTATGGCTGTCCGTGGTGATTCTCGGCGATATGCCCATTAATCTCTGTGGATGGGCTCATATTGGGTGTTCAGATCCTCTCGCCAAGGCCGAGCCCAATGGGGTCACCGTCCTCAGCAGCAGGCAGTGAGCCTGTAAAGAGGCCCCGTGTTGAAGCCTCAGCATCGCTAACACCATCACGTCCCACTGGCAATCTCCTCTTGCCACCTTCCGCCTCCCCGACCACTGGTGTGTCGCCGCAGCGGCCCACTACGCCGCAGACCCATGGGACGCCCTCCCCTGTGGGTGGTGGAGAAGTGGGGGGTGCGACGGGGGATGCCCTGGATGCATTGGAACAGCTCATCATGCAACAGCAGCAAGCCCCGACTGCTCCTATGTAAGTACGGATGTTTTTGGGTATTTTATATAGCTTTCATGTCATCAGAGCATCTCCCTCTGCGTCACCGCTTTCTATGGGCGTAATGCCTCCCAATGCTAGCCCCGGATGGGATGCTGGCTCGCCATCGGCTGTAATAGTATTGACTCGATCACTCCGACCAACTACCCCTCAGAGTCCATCGCCCCTCTCGCTGGCATCGACACCGCAGATCGACATTGAGAGTGTTCGAAGAGCCCATAAGGAGCAGATGGTAGTAGTAGTAGTAGCCTCAAGGCAGTGGTATAGTAGTCACCATCAGTTACTGAGGATCAGTCACCGTGTCCAACGACGTGGTGTGGCGCTGGCCAGTGAGGAGGTGCTAACGGCATTGGGAGAGGTCATGGAGCACTGGGCTGAGGTGGCACAGCAGATGCTGCATCGGATAAGCAAACACAGGTTGGACCTAGGCGAGAGACGTATGTCCATGTTTGTTATCTAGGGCGGAACTGTACCCATCGCAGATCGCAAAGCATCTTTCCCAGAGTAGAGATACGTCCACCGAGGAGTGGTATCGGCGGAAAAAGGTATGGGCGCTTATGGACTCTCGAGATGGTTGAGTGTTCGCTCTACCATCGTAGGAGCAAGCCGCTTACATGGGCGCACTATGCAAGGCAGTGGTAGAGCATCGAGAGCGGGCTACTCAGGAGGCGGCAGAGGCCCGGGCGAACCGGACAGGGACAGGCCAGGGAGCCAAGTCTCGAGCGGCAGCAGCGGCGGCCTCTCGAGCGGCCGGAGGGAGTCTACCGTCCCCGGAAGAAATGCGGCAGCAGGAGATGGAGCAACAACAAGCTATGCAGGATCGATTAGTAAGTTGTTCGGTGGTATAACTATGGGCGGTGTTATGTCCACTAGGGTTGTTACCGCACGGGAAGATGGGGGGTCTATAGTTTAAATGCTTCTACACCTATATCGTTCGATTATGTGTAGCTCACTCTATGAGAAATCGCTTTGACAAAGACCGTATATGGTTTGCGGTGTAGGTGACGGGGGCTAACAGGTCGTTGGTAAATGCTGAGAGGATGCTGTCGACGGAGAATCAGCGGAAGCAGATCGTTGCTGAGGCTCTGGAACAACACGTAGGGTTCTTTTGGGTAGTCGGGACGACGACCCATGGTAATCAGGTGACTAGCATACAGGATGTGCGGAAGGTAGGATTGAGGGATCTGATGACGTTATTGAAGATGCCTCCTCCCAATGGCCATAGCACTTGGATACACGGAGTTCCGGTAGGTGCCACGTTCCCGTTGCATCAACTACAGTGTTGGGATACATCCTCGCTTTGTTCACCTGAGCTCGGGAGTTTTCTAACTGACTAGACAAGTTTACATACGATTTCGGGTAGAAGTGTGATGAAATTTTCCAAAATTTTCTCAGAATTTTCAGACTGTCAGCGACATATGTAGTTAATCATATGCATATTTTCCAACACCGACGAACTATGTAACTCCTATTGCTGCGGTGTGATAGAACCTACAAGGGTAGGGTCAGGCCTAGGATGAGTCATTGCTCTGTCCCTATAGGTTAGCAATTCACTTTGTCAGATGCCGGAAGGTATGAGACAGCGGATGCTGGTGGAGATATCCCAAGGGGCCTACTCGAGGGAATATAACGTGAGGAATGAGCAGCGGTCCTCGGGAGGAGCTCGCGGCTGAGTGGTGAATGGTTTCTCAAGACTTCTCGTAGTGCTTGCGTGTTCCTCTGTCACTGCTTGTCGACCGTTGTCACTTGATTGTTGCATTGGTTCAAATGACGGCTGCGGCCACAGGGGTTTATAGTGGCGTCTGCCAGTGTCAACGCCTTGGTGCGGTGTTGTGTGTGCTGGTCCTGCATCTCGTGATAGCAGGCTGCCTCATACTGTCTGTACCGGACTTGCGGGATTTCGGTGAGTTATGGTATGTCTGCAATATTCGTACAAGAGACTCAGGTTCGTACAAGGGTAAGATATCCATTGCTCTGATGGTATCAGCCCTACTCCTGTACCTACGGGCCTCCCTGTGCGACCCTGGCTTCTTGCGCCCGGACTACCGTCCGTTGCCTAGCGACTTTGAGGGCTCGGATGGTGTTGATCTTGAGATGGGAGCGATGGTGAATGAAGAATCAGTGTATGCCGGGTGGGGAAGGGCCGTGGTATCTTCCGTAGTGCGTGATTTGTCCATAGCGGCGGCTGGGCTCGTTATGGCAACGCGGTGCGGTATGGGCCTTCTTAGCACAGGAAGGTGTGGGAGATTGTCGATGCATTTTTAGGATGGGCAAGCCAGCATCCGGTCCATCGAAGGAATCTTCGTCATCGGAGGCACGTCAGCGAACGCCCGATACGGACTCGGGGCATTCGGATGGCGAGCTTAGTGAGCCGGTGCCCAGGCAGTTTGGAATACCACTACGCTACTGCAAAAAGTGGGAGATCATGTGAAGGGGTTTTGTTGGACTTGTTCAGTGGTTCAGATGCGACGCGTGGCAGCCTTTGAGATGCAAGCACTGTGCTGATTGCAATCGGTGTGTGAGGACCCATGACCATCACTGCATATGGTTGGGTACTTGTGTAGGGGAGAAGAACCGAGTATGGTTTTACTGGTACTTTACTCATTAGCAGCTTACAAGGGTAGTTGCTCTTTATGATGGCAGGTACCTATGGGCTCAATGGGCTGAGCTGTTGTGGTACTTCGTGGCTGGTGTGAGGAGAGCTCTACAGTTCCCTACAGAGCTACAAGACACTAGCTTTGCTCAGATGTTTGGAGTAGGGCGAGCTCATAGGCTTATTGATATTACACCAATCCTTGCGTTATCCCTATTGCCGCCGCTTCGACTTGAACGCATGGGTTTTCTCTCTTATTACGGATCATCTGAACCTCTTTCTTGGCAGCTGTGTGCACCCTGTAGGTGCTTGTGCTGGCCGATCTGATGGCGTTTCTATTCCTGGTCATGCTCACTTGTCTAGTCTGCTATCACACATATCTAGCCTGCAGAGGAGTCACCACATGGGAGGATATATCTTGGTAAGGATGAGTGCTCATTGGGCCATCCCTTTCCCCTACAAGTCTTGTTACACTGTAGGTATCGGATATCGTATTTGAAGCGGATAAGGCCGAGTGACGGTACTCCCTTCTCGCGGTCATTAGCAGTGAATCTCGCAGCATACTGCTGTCCACCATCGGGTAGGTCCAGTGGGGCCTGGAGTTCCGGAATACCGTGTCACAGGTTGCTGCTGGAATCCGTGCCTGAGAAGGGTGGAGAGAAAGGCGTCTGAGCTAGTAGTGTACGCCCCTGGCGGGGAGGCTCTGTGGAAGGCAGGCACCCCGACTTACCCGTGCATCTGCTCGGATCGGGTTTGCGGTTGCTGTATCGAATAAGCATCATCAATTGTCCCTTCGCGCGCCTTGACCATTAGAGTAAATAGTGACACTCTGGACATTCCTTTCCCCCGAGAGTTTGTAAACTTATGTTGTGGTTATCATTGGAACTATACGCTACCATTTCACCCCATTATACAGTGCCTCGTACGGGAGTGTGACAGAGAGTCGGCTTCCCTGAGGTACATTGAGTTTCTGTACAGTCGCGATGGCATTCGTTTCGAGTTCATCAATCACCGGAGTTGGGTGGTTAGATGCCTTCTTTGGGACGTACGTCGTAGATGAATCTTTGGATGAAGCCGGGTCGTGTAGGCGTATTAGGTACGGTGATGCCCCCTCGTTATTATGATATACAGCAAAGCATGTAAGGCTCTCGATGGTCTGTGCAATAGACTTGTTATAATGCTGTGTGTCAATGTAGTCAAGGATGAGTATAGGGTGGAAGTGTGTGCGCGGCGGCTTTAGGTTGCCGATGTAGATCGAATATGTCATCTTCTACTGTTCTGGATGAAAAATAGCCGCCCTGAGGTCAAAATAGACTATATGACTCAGAATATCTACCTGGCTCGAAAAGCCCTCGTGATTTCGTAATTGGAAATTGTAGCCTTTCTGGCGACCAGTCACGAGCCCATTCTTGTCCAGCAGTAGATCTTAATCCTTATGTAGAGACGAAAACCCCTCGATACGCTGGTCTGACTAATATCTGGTGGATGGGTTGAATAAGTTGTGGTGTGTTGATCTCTACCGCAATCAGTGTGGGATAATATGCACATGGTCAACTACATATGTTGGTAAAAATATGAGATTTTGAGGAAATTTTGAGGTTTTTTCTGTTGGTTTCTGTACACTTTTACCTGAGTTTGTATGTAAAAATTTATAGTTAGTGAGGAAACTCTGGAAATCAGACACGTATTCCGATACTGACTGCGATATGCAGAGGCCACCGCAATAGGAGCTGTCGTTGTGACAGTAGAAACCGTGCTTTCGGCTGGGAGTCGCTATTATGGATGCAGGCTAGCCTTGAGTTCTTCGATCCATACAATGGAAGAACTATCAACTGTAGTAGACCAGGTCGAGAAGCTCACCAAGCTGGCGGCTCAGCCATGTGCAAGTGTCGAAGTACTTACGAGGAAAAATTTCTAGCTGTGGATTCATTGAGCCTCTAGGTGTCGTACACGAGAGCACTACAACGCATCAGAAGCCTCCGAGATGAAGTCGTTCATCTTGAGAGAGTTACCTACCTCGAGAAGTGCTGCGTAGGTTGGGATTAGCCTTGACTGATTTACTCGTGGGATGGTATTGCTCATTGCATTGGTGTTCGCGTTTTTCGCGCGTATTCATCCCTGTTGTTCCCAGGAGTGTGACGAGCTGGCCGAGGCGGTGAGGTCCCGCCAGAAGGATCTCGAGGAGGCATTTTCCCAAGCGAGGGAGAACCAATTCAATCTTTGGAATACGAATCCTAGCGAGGAAGCCCCGCTGGAGAATACAGAGAAGTAGGAATCACATCGATGTACCTAAACAGCCAGTGTTGGTCTTTATAGGAGAGAAACAGAAGCCTTAGAGAACATGACGTCATCAGCAGGGTCTGCACACCCCCCCTGCCATCAAAGCACCGAGTCTCTGGAGATCAAATGCCAAGCGTTTAAGGATGCCCTCGGCTTGTCTCTTGAGGTGGGTGCTTCGGTCTTCTGTGTATCCATGCGGGCGGTCGAAAATCCGTTGTGTTTCCATCACTAAGATGGACACAGTGAATCCAGTGAGTCTTCCTCTTGGAGGCGTGCGCAATCCTGATCCTTTTTCACTGCTTTAGTGTGGGCAACATTCGCTTGTGAGGTCCCTCGGGTGCGTGTCTGTTCCATCATCTGTTCAGTAGTGATGGAATAGTAAGTCATGATGCATGAGTCCGTGCATGGTTAGAGTAGCAATATATTACACGATATCATGTCGATATCATGGGTGAATGCTTGGTGTCTATGGCAGTTCATCGGACCATCTGTGGCAAGGGTCCGCTTGGATGGTGTAGACGGTTGCGATGACCCTCTGGTATTTGTCCTGGCTCGGGATGGGAAGACCAACAAGTACTCGATACCCAGTTGCACGCCTCGGGTGAGCGGATGCATCCTAAATTGCTATTCTATATATTAATAATAATATAAGTATAACCCCAGGTTACGCTGCTTGACAAACTTGTGGCGAATCTTAACTGCCGGATGCCGCCATGCACGACTCTGGGAGGCTTCTTGGTGACTGTAAGGGAGAAGTACCGAGCGATGTATGGCAAGAGATGATGATGGCTTAGCATAGCATGCTGAATTCAACGGCTTCAATAGCACTACATTTCCAATGGTCAACTGAGAGTGATGTTGAGTATCTCTATACGGCCTTCTCTGACTCGTATCAGTGGCGGAGTTAAATTAATCGAAGCATGTTCTCCGTCACCCCGAATGAAGTCATCGAGCTGGAGCCGACCACCCCACCTCCGGCAAGCCAGCGACGGAGTCCCAGCAGTCAACGGAGTATTACCAATGCGCGCCCGCTTCCTGAATCCACGATCGAGAGTAGGTTGCCTTTGCTCTTTTGTGGAGGAGCATCTCATGCGGTTCAGGTTTCTTCTACAGTCCGAGTAATCTCAAGGCGTCGATGGGCAAGTCAGACATGGAGAGTATGGAGCCCCCAACGAAGCGCCGGACGATACCATTCTGGATGCAGGAGGACCGAGGAAAGGATGCAGCACCGTGGAAGAAGCAGCGTCGGGTAACGGTATGTTGGTGCTGACCCTCCACCAATGGCCTTTCTCTCGTAGACTAGAGGCCCGGCTGTATTCGAGGAGGAGGGCGAGTTGTCTGACCAGCAACGTTATGTGTTCGATCTGGTAGTTAAACATAAGAGGAGCATATTCTTCACTGGTGAGGGGTCGGATACGTCTTCTTGTAGTGGAGTGCGTTGAAGCAGGTAGCGCTGGTACAGGAAAAACCAGAACCCTCCGAGAAGTCATTAAAGCTCTGCCACAGAAGTCTACCTTCATAACGGGTGAGAATACCCTCCTCCTTGAATCATCACTGTACTGTTCTCAGCCCTCACGGGTATAGCGTCTACGCTGCTGGACAGAAGGGCTACTACCTTGCACAGCTTCGCAGGAATCGGTCTCGCGTAGGTGATTCGATGGTTGCTTGTGATCTTATTTTGCATGCAGACGCGGGACCAAGCATGATCTGGTGAGGTTCGTGAGGAAGAATGGCAAGGCTGTCCAGAACTGGCAAGACTGTAAAGTGCTGATCATCGATGAGGTCTCCATGATGAGCGCGGATCTCTTCAACAAGCTGGATTATGTCGCGAAAGAGATCCGCTCCGAGCGTACGAAACCCTTCGGAGGAATTCAACTCGTACTGGTCGGCGACTTTTACCAAGTACGTTTGGTCTGCGCATGTTGTGCTACTCATCGCTGAGTAGTTGCCGCCAGTCTTCAAAAATCGGCAGAGTGATGCCAATCTTGAGCAAGGCCTCAAGTGCTACGAGTCACCAGAGTGGGACAGAGTCATCGAGATGAACGTCCGTCTCACACAGGTGTACGTGCAGTGATTCTGCATAGGGTGAGTGTGACGCATGGGTAGGTATCGTACCAAAGACAAGGCGTTGAAGGATATGCTGGATGAGATACGCGACAACAACCTCTCTCAGCGGTCTATGAACTTGCTCAAGAGGCTACAGAGAGAAATCACTACCCCCAGCGGAGTAGGGCTTGAATGACGCTCGTTGTGGATGGTGGTATGTAGGTAAGGCCGACGATACTGTACCCGATGAACGAACAGGTTGACCGCAAGAATGCTGAGGAGATGAGTCGGCTCACTGGCGAGAGTGAAACGTGAGTTTCTGCTTGCCATTACGACTCCTCTATGCATGTGCGCGGGAGATGACAGATCCAGTCTGGCTCGGATCAGGTACGAGGCTGAGGACTCGGGCCATCCTGAGGACCTCCAATATATGGATCGCTATACGCTCTTCCCTCGCAAGCTCACTCTGAAGATCGGCGCCCAAGTGGGTTAAAGCGAGGCCCTCGGCCCGAGGCTATCCCTCTTTCGAGAGCTTCATTGCTATCAGGTTATGCTGCTGAAGAATCAAAATGGTGACACGGGCACACGGCTGGTGAATGGATCGCAGGGGAAGGTCGTGGGATTCGTCTCAGCGTCTGGAGGTCTCTCCCCTGGTTCTGAAGGTGCGTGCTCTCACTGATGGTTCGATGCTGGGTTCGATGAATGATTGCGGTTCCGCCTCAGATGACCCCGAGAAGGAATGGCGAGAGTCTCCTTCTCCGCGGCTGCCGATGGTGAGCTTAGTGGTGAGGAAGGGGAGTGGACAGGGTTGTTGCTATGATAGGTGCAGTTCTCTCACATGGGGGAGATTGTCGAGCAAGTTATAGGCTTTGAGAACTTTGAGCTGGAGACGAAGAACAGGAAAATGAAGAGGAAACAGATACCTCTGAAGCTTTCGTGGGCTATGACCATCCACAAGGTAGGGACTTCCTAGTCCGTGATGGTAAGTCCACGTACCCTCTGATCCCTCCTAGGCCCAGGGCATGTCCATCGACTGCGTACAAGTGGACATCAGCCGAGTGTTTGCTGAGGGCCAGGCGTAAGGGAAGGGAGAGTACTTCGAGGACTTCCGCGTTGGTAGGTATGTTGCGCTGAGTCGAGCGCGGTCGATCGAAGGCTTGCAAGTGTTGAGTTTCGATGCACGCCGTTTCGGCTGCTCTCCTGAGGTCGTTCAATTCTATAAGACTCATGTTAGAGACGCCCCGTTGGTCTATAGTAGTGGTGGGGACACTACCGCAGCGGTAGGGTCGTCGAAGGATTCCAATGAGAGCGCTGCCAACCGAGCGTCAGTGGCTTCCAACTCTAGCCAGGTTGGGGTTCCGGGAAAATGGAACAAAAAAAGGGATCTCAAGAAGCGAGGGATTTAATAATTTGCATTCAGAACTTTCCAGTGAAATTGTGTTGCTTTGCTTGAATCATGTTTCCCCGACGCGACTGGGAAGCAGGGCTTCGGGGAGAGGGATACGTGAGTGGGTTGGTTGTCCACTATATAGCGACATGAGTACGATATTCCCGACGAGCGATAGCGTGTCTTGTCAAATTCAACCAAGAGTCGCGGCAACATACTAGAGATATATGCCATCGTATTACCGCAGAGTTGAGCGCATTCAAGGCATGCGGTCTGGCTTCTCGTTCGTGTCGTTTCAGGGGTTGACAGTCCAGGGTTGTAGATGCTTGTATCTATTGCTCATCTCTGAGGAACTTTCTTTCATTGGACTATGTTGTCCTCCGGCGGGGTGGAATAGAGAAATGATGAGAGCGGACGCGGAAGAGCAGGTGAGGTTTCTCCAGCCATGATCTCAGCAAACTCGTATAGTAAAATCTCCGTATATCTCTTGTTTCAAGATCTTGGAAGAACGGGTACTACCTACTCCCCACTATTGCTAGGGAGTGAGTAGTACCATGGCCATTGCTAGGGATTGCAATGGTAGTCCTCATGGCCATTCTGACTCAGAATGACATCGCGGGTAATTTCTAAGGATGACTCTCTCCCATTTATAGATGCATTGCTTTCCTAGTCCACTCAAATAAATGACGCATCCGAAGCTATTTGGATAGTTTGTTGGGTTTCCCCGACAGCGATGCTGATTCTACAGCTTGTGGTACCATGGAAGTATCGACCAGCGCTCACATTTGAGCTTTAATTCATAAAGGTCGGACCTTTGATCGGCTGATAGAGATCGACCGTTAAGCGGGAATTCATCTCCTGAATTCTTTCTGGGGAGCGTGTGCAACTCATACTAGGGGCAGTGCTGACGAAGTGGGCTGTGGATCTTCTCTGCCCCCACTCTTTCCGATCGTAGATTTAACGAGGTTAGATATCATCGGATTATGACTGAGATATCTTCGTATGGATATCATCGGATCATGGCCTCCTACGCGTATATAGTCGCGAGTTGAAAGCCACTCAGCCGTCTTTCTTAATTGAGGATTCCACGTCACTGTCATGAAAAGTCGTGTAAGGGGACTTTCGTATGACACACGCTAAGCGTCAAGGCGAGATTTTTTTGGAGATTTTTTTTGAGATTCAAGACGGTTCTCTCGCATCTCGGACACGACGCTCATCACGGAGCCATCAGAGCATGCTAGTGAGATATTCCCCGGTGTGAGTCGGGGGATTGAGACTGTTCAGTGACTGCGGCTCACTCATAGAGATATCTTTATAGGATTGTCGGCGACAATTTGTCGCAACAGGCTTTGCTGAGCAAGGTGTCAGTTGGTGTCGGTGATCTTTTCACCTGGCTCTCACTAAGAAACCTTCAGTCATCTCCTTCAACTGCGAGAAGCGCGGGGACGCGACGTATCCTCCACGAAAAGTTGGCCTGAAAACGTTGTGGCTGCCCACCATACCCGATTGCAATTACTAGCCATCTATGTGGGATAGTTCCTTGCCTTGCCTTGCGTTGTCTCTGTTGTGATCCATGTCGTGAACTTGACAGTGTAAGACTGTACCTCCAGCATGAGGTTACGCAGTGCGTAATACGCACTGTAGGCGTGCGCTACAGGCTGAGTAAAAATTCGTGTACTCATTGCAGAAAATATGCGGTAGAGTTCACGGAGTAAAATGAGCTGTCTGGAAATCTCACGCTCAGATTGGCTAGGAGGGCAGCATCGTGCTGCCAGCACGCCTGCTAGTCTTCGCATGGATATTGAACAGAGTGGGGATCGTAAGAACCAAAGTCATCTCTTTGGCCAATTTTCCAGTTGAATTATCGGACATATCATCCATTCGTCAGATATATGACCTACTTCTTGCGAAGTTCGGTATCCACTCTTCGGTATCCACTCGCAGCACTACTCTTCGCTCCTTTCTTGCTTGCTATCACACACTTTTGACAGGTTACACAGTGTGATACGGGGAAAAGACTCTGCAATGGCAGATTGCATTACCAGAACGCTTTCAATGAACCGTGAGCCGGCGTCGAAGCTGAGCGTTTACTCTGACTCATCTTTGTCATCGTCGGTTACTCCTGCAATACTGTCTCCTCATTCGGCTCTGTTTCTTTCGTCCTTTCTCTTGCGAGTTGAGGGGATACCATATTCTACTGAGTTGTTTCTCTAGTCCGCAGAGCAGTGAGTCTGATTCATACCTCGCTCGAATGCAGTCTACCTCACCACTCAGCCATCAACTACTCCCTGTACCTGGCGGCCATCGCAAGTCTTCCCGCTTGCAGCCTCTAGTCCCGAAGATTCTACTGGGAATACTTTTTGTGGCTGCTATTGCCATCGTGGGCATATGGTCCTATCTTGGCGATCATGGTAGGATGAGTTCCTCGGAGGCTAGATCTACCTCACGGCAATCAAATCATATCCATTACATCGTCCGGGTGTGATGAGATGGTCGCGCGGAACTACCGTCTATAATTGCCTATACATTAATCTGGCCTCTTCTCAGGCACAAGGTTAGAAGGTCAACTGCTCCGAGCAGGAGATCCTACTGAAATGAATTCCGCTGCTTCTCTTCTGGCTGGAGAGTACTCAGCCCGACTGAATTATGCCGGCTCCCATCTGCTTATCAAGAAGCCCACTATATGTGATTCGACTGTCAACCAATGGAGTGGGTACTTCGTCGTTAATGCGACGGCGGACCGAAAGTGAGAGTCATCGCTTAGTCATTCTATCTGCGACAGGCTTGCTGTGTGTCAACTCTTGCTCTCAGATACTTCTTTTGGTTTTTTGAATCTAGAAAGGCACCAGTCAACGACTCCCCCACAACGCTTTGGCTCAGTGGTGGCCCGGGTGCAAGCTCCATTCTGGGGCTGCTGATGGAAAATGGGCCCTGCCGTCTACTGTCCGACGGCATCACTACAGAATATAACCCTTACTCATGGAATGAAGTATCGAATATGATATGGCTCGACCAACCGGCTGGCACTGGTTACTCGATGGGCGAACATGAGCATAACCTCGCCGAAGTACGGGACGATCTCTACAACTTCCTGCAGGCCTTCTTCCATCATTTCCCGAAATTCAACAAGAACTTCCACTTAGCTGGAGAGTCCTTCGCCGGGCACTATATACCGGTCATTGCCGATAAGATAATACAAGAGAATAAGAGAATGCTTGATGGTAGCAGGTTCATAGGGCCTGCCCTTTGAAGATGTAGCTGCCACCTCTATATATAATCGCTTTATCATCAGGTGCGGCATCAAATTCGGAGCAGCCCATCGACTTACGCGGTATATCGATTGGTAATGGAGACACGGACACACCACATTCAGCACCGTACTTGGCAGAAATGGTGGATAGCAAGTCAACTGCAAGTCGATGATAATTTGGTGTAGGCGTTGAAGTCTGGGGCTGTGAATGAGAGCATCTACCACCAAATGCTTGCATCGGTACCAACAACTACTGAGCTCATGTTGAGGTGCGCTGAGATTTCGGAGAAGGTGCGTTGGATGTGCCGAGAAGAATTCACACTGTCATATGTTCCGTGTAGTCGAAGCAGCCTGTAAGCCTGTCGAATATGCCCAAGACTTGCTGGGACGCTAATATGCAATACATAATGAACTTCATGATCCCAGTCCAGTCTACTGGTCGGAATGTGTAAGCAATTGAGGAAATTGGATGACTGAGAACTTCATCCGAATATGAGTCCTCAGTTGATGGCTTTCTGGGATACCAGATAAATCAGTGCGGGCTGGCATACTACTTTTCAGATACGACTTGCGCCTCAACGGCACATACAACTTCAGTCGGTACGCCAAGTTCCTCAACAATGACTCCATTATGAGGACACTCGGCGCTGCCCAGAAATGGACCCCGATTAACCTAGGAGTAAGGCAACTCGTTCTTGGTATTCCCACAGAAGCAAAAGTTGAGGTTGAGGACTTTTTGAGGTCATCTGCGAGTGTGTGATATACTCATCAGTTGGAGACCTTCAAACTTTTTCTCACAACGCAAAACGATCACAAGGTTTCATTGAGGCGTATTCGATTTCGGAAGGCCTGTGTGGAACTCATAGCTTGAGAAACCTTCTCCCATCATGTCATGATTCAGGTCACTATCGACTTGTACTTCGACGATGCGTATCGGATGTACAATCCTCAAGTCGAGCGCATTTTGGATGCGGGTATCAAAGTATTGATTTATGCGGGGGATAAGGACTATCTCTGCAATTGGATAGTGAATGATGCGTGGACGAAGAGATTGCAGTGGAGTGGAGCCCAGGAATTCCGTGATGAGGACTTCGAGCCATATCAACCTTGTAAGCAGTGGTTCAGAAGGGTGCATCGCTAGGTTTTACTCTAGCGTACGCCGATAGGGATGGCTTGCTCAATGAGGTAGCAGAATCTGTGTTCGCCTGTCAGATACTGGAGAGGTTGTTGGTGAAATACGTCGTGCGCGGAATCTTGCTTTCATTCGTGTCTTCAATGCAGGGCATATGGTGCCTCATGATCAGCCCAAGAACAGCTTGATGATGATAGAGGAGTTTCTGACTGGAAAGTTGTTTAATCACGCCTAGGCCAAATTTGTTCGTCCAGAAGGGATTGAGTTGCAGTCGTCACTTTCGAATAAGAATGCATGAAGACAGATTTGCTTGGAGCAGGGCTCATTGGAATTCATCCTCGTGACTTATGGAGCGAGATCATTATGCACTGGAGCGAGTAAGCGGTTCTACATATGTGATTCTAGTAACATGAGTGTCAGCATCAATGGGGCTGGAGATCATATGATATATCTCCTGTAGCTCAAAGTATCATTCATGTTGACACCGCTAGTGGGAAGGTTGACGAAAAAGTCGTCGTTTTCGGTGGTACGCAATTTTCCATCATAATCTGTTTTGTCTGTTAGAGTAATAGGACTCCGTCCACGTATGTATTGCTCTTCACCCTGTCGTTCGATTTTGAGCGGGAGACCGCCCGATGTGCTTACCGTCCCTGCATACCTTCCGTGAAATCTCGCGCAGCTGTTGCAAACACTATCGTCCTGCAAACCACCATGAGTTTCGTGGAATGAATCATGCATTTTTAGTGGAATGGTTCGCTGCCTTACGCGGTTCCTAGATCCGTATCCATTCTGGTGAGAAGTTGGTCTTAGTTATCGAGGATCGCCTCACCACGAGTCGAACGCCCAGTTCCGACTTGGGCCATAGGTCCTATTCGACTACCAGGGCTCTCCTCTGTCCTGATGACACGACATTCTTGTAACAGTGACTGTTACAAGAATTTCATGTCATCAGGAGAGTTAAAAAAAATACGTTAAAAAAACTGTTAAACAGTCTCATGAAAGACACTTCAAAAATACGGTAATGTGGTTCATGTGTCACACATCTGCCATATTGACCAACACGAACAAAGCAGGAGTTAATTTAGCAAGCGAAACATCTCGCAAGCAATCAAATACTATCGTGCACATATCATCGGCCCGCGCTACTCATCGTCCAGCTTAGGAGCCAGGAAGTAACGGACGAAGCCTTTCTCGGGAGAGTCCGCCACACAGTAATCAATCTGAATATCAATTAAACCAGTTTAAACGACATCATCCCGCTTTACCATGAGGGGAGCTTCCGCTGAGAGGCGGAGTGTAACATCATCACTGAGTGCACAAGCTTTATTAGTGAACAAGAGGAGGTAACGAAGAGAGAAGCACAAATTGTCCACCGCCTCTTTGCAGTGAGTGATCTGCATAGGAAAGGAGACAACTAGGACGTCTCGGTTCCCATACCTCGACATCGTGCTCCAACTTGATGGAAGATGACTTCACATGACCGTCGCCTGAAACGCATTCAGAGTGTGCGAGATCTACATCATTTACCGATCTCTAGATCACTCACATTTCATCGAGAATTTCACCGAGTTCTTATCACAGTCGATCCTCAAATTTTCACCGCCACAGTCCTTCAAGTCGCGGCAGATCTTCGCGAACTGAGAGCATTTCATTTTGATCTCGCAGGAGTATCTAACGACCGAGTTACACACAGATGGATCGGCTTCGTCACATCAGAGAACTCACTCGCAGTCAGGCACGCCAAGCTGTTCGTTTTCAATATCCATCAAGTTCATATCACACTCCACGGCTCGACCCTCCCCAGCGGAAGTGATAGTGACCGTGTCGCAATCCTAAACAGGTGGATGACAGTAGCAGTGTAGAGGATAGGGTACCTCCTCTTTCTTCAAAGACAATGAGTCGTCGTCACGGCACAGCTTGAGCAGCTTGGTGAGGGCCTCGAAGTTGATGCCAACACAACTCCTAAATGGAGAGAGGCTCACACGACGTGTGAGCGAAGGACATCCGTACTCTCTGTCGCATCTGAACTCGTCGAAGGCGCTCTCCTTCAGTTCCATCTGGACCAGGGCGACATGGGTGGTGTCCATAGTCTGAACCCGGATACCTGATATGAGCAATATAACGCGGTAGTACAAAGAGAATGCTTACCTTCATCGCTCAAGTCGAAGTTGCCCTCTTTAACGATGTCGAGGACAGCAGCGACGACCTTCTTGAAGAGAACAGCTTGCTCAAGCTTGCACTCGAACATGGTTCAACGAGAGAACGACTGCAATCTAGTGCGCGACTTGGTACCGTACGGGACCCGTGAAATTGCGTTTTTCGTTGAGATCGCGTTCGCCCAGCTGATCGATATCGAATACTGCTTGTTGATGAGATCGAACCAGGGGTCTCCGGCACGAAAAACGTGTACTCTATCCACGCGGTCAAATGAACGAAGGCAATTCGACTTCGAGAATTGCTTCGCTTTTTTGGGCGTTTTGATCGATTTGAACTAGCGGCTCATCGACGTGGGAGTTCAAGGTAGTCATCTTCCATCATGGCTGACGTTGAACAGCAATTAGAAGCCGAGCATTTCGACTTCGGTAAGAAGAAGAAGAAGTCCAGTAAGGAGAAGAAGGTTAAGAAGGAAAAGAAATCCAAGAGCTCTCATGAGGGCGAGGTAAATCATCTTCTTCTGGTTCCCGTTTCATTGTCGATGATTCCCTTTGGAATCTATAACGAGATCATCTCGTGTCTTATGTGTGTCGTTTATTAGGATGCTTCATTCGAAAGAGGAGTGGTCTATCCCTATGAGCAACTCCTGGCTCGTGTTCACGAGATGATTAACGAGAAGAACCCTGCTCTCGGTGGTAGCAAGAGGGCGATGAGGCTGCCTCCTCCGAAGATCGAGCGAGTCGGTTCCAAGCGTGTATCGTTCGTCAACTTCGGCGAGATCTGCATCAGAATGAACCGGTCTAAGGAGCACGTTCTGCAGTTCTTCCTCTCCGAGTTGGGCACTACTGGTTCTCTTGCTGGCGACGGTCAGCTGGTCTTGAAGGGACGGTATATGGCTAAGCACATTGAATCTTTATTGCGGAAATACTTGAGTGCTTATGTTACCTGTCCGATGTGCAAGTCACTGAACACTGAGTTCGTGCGTGATCCTGCCACTCGTCTCTACGCTATGAAATGTAACAACTGTGGTGCATCCCGAACGGTGCACGCTATTAAGTCCGGTTTCCATGCGACCACTCGCGCTGACCGAAAGGCCGCGAAGCTCGCTAAGTAGTAGTCGACCACTACTGCGATTCTATCTATTGTAATCTCTCTGTTTGGTAAACGGCACGGAAAGCACGGCTTTGGGGAATCTTTCGAGCACTGCGTCTCTTTACCCCAGGGAAAGTCCTCGTGCGAGTAGTAGAAAGTACTGCCAGTAGACTGGTTACCCTTGGTCATGCCACTCTTGTGTGACTGGGGTTGTTGCAGCAGCAAAGTTATGCCGTGGGTTGTGCTTCAGCACGACTAACAGAATGAGGCTTACTCTTCCGCTGTCGTTCATACCTCTACAGATTGGTTACAGTAGATATGGAGACCTCTGTAGAATTTGCACATTTTTTCTCGACCGTCTGTGGTTTGAGTTGTTCAGTCACAGTTGATCAGGCCATACCTCGTTGATATTCGTTGCTGAATGTTTCATGGTTGAGAGGGCCATGGGGGAGACTTGAAAATTGTGGAGAAAGAGAAGGGTTATCTTGCGGCTTAAATCTCGAGAATTGTATGATAATGTTATCAGCCTCTTGGTCCAGGAGTACTGGGGAGAGTAAAAATCAAAACATGGAAGGAATAACTTTACGACAACGGAGAATAGGAAAGAGTCAGGAACTGCATGTACCACTATTTTGACAGTCGATGTAACCAAAATGAATAGTATTTTCAACGGAACGCAATACCTCGCGGAATTGAGAGTGTAATTTACACAACCATGCACTATTTCACTCATGAACTGACATTTCTATATCTCCCTCTTTGACGACATCCATCCGAACTGAGGGCAGCCCATACTTCTCATGGAGGGCTCCATACACTGATACATAATCGTATGCATCTCGAAGAGTGCGGGCAGACGGACTCAACGCCGTGATGATGTATGTCACTGGTCTCACAATCAAGAAAGGATCACGCCACATCAGCATCAATGACGCTGCGCCAATCAAGAACAACCCGCGGTGTGGATCACAAGGCGCTAGTCCAGGCTCAACAGTAGCAATAGGGGCTAGTCGATAGTTCATGATGGCCGTGACATTCCAGGGGAGTTCACCCAAGATGAATGTCGTCGCGATGATACCGATGCATGGTAGAATTATGGAGGCCGACGAGAAGCCTCCGTTTATGCGTCGCGTAAGCACAATAGAGAATACGAGGACCATCAGTGCTATCTGACCTGCGACTGCATCCACAGCAGCTGAGATGACAGCGAGCAACATTGCAGCCGTGAAAACAGCGCTGGTTGCAAACAGCCCTTTCAAGCATGCTGTTGTATCTCTCTCTGGCAGTAGTATCGCGCGAAGCTCCACAGTAATACGGAAGAGCCGATTTGCTAGGTAAACGTAGATGGCTGTTGTAAGAAGGAGATTACAAAGCGGATAGTCGGGCAATAACACTAAAGTTTTCTTAGCATTCTCAGTGAGCCATATGTGGTGTTGCAGTAGGTAGGTCTCCAGAGTGACTTTTCCCATTTTGGCGAGAGGCTCGAGGTAGTGCGAACGCAGCCTGAGGGGGAGCTGAGAGCACAGCAAGTGACATCGTTGTCTCACCATGGCGTTATATTCCTGATATAGATGAACGTGAGGAGTGGTATCATGAAATAATAGGGATGGGAGTGATTGTAGTCAGACTTCTGCTGAGCGTGGATTTGGGCGAACCACTGATAGCTCAGTATTCCCATAACGGCGAGAACAGCTAGTTTCACGAGCCACTCTCGCGTTGGTGGCAGCTTCTCCACCATTTCCATCCACTTAGTAGTAGACGGGTAACTGTAAGCAAAAATCATCCCCAAGTAGGCAGACCAATGATCCAGACCGGTCCTGAAGTGCCACTCGTAGAGCACTCCTGCCTTGGCGCCCTGAAGGGCAGTGGAGGGCAAGATGGGCCCAAAGACAACATCGAACCAGGAATGGTCAACATCCCATATGAGATAGATGGCCAGCCCCAACGCTGTCAATTTCACTTTCATCAACCAACGATGATAGTTGGCGGATCTGAAGGCCCCCATAGTGACATAGGTGAGCAGGAAGTAAAAGGTATGCAACGGTACAATATAGTAGAGGATGTACGTAGTGTTGAGGGCCAAGCACAGGAGGACAGCGGACATATTCAGGCGCCATAGCATCGACACTAGTCTACCCAAACTGTAGTCGTTCTGAGTGTAGAAGTAACTGAAGTTGCCGAAACCAGTCATCCACACGTAGGCGCTGACGAAGACTCGTATCATGTTGTAGACATCAGTGGCGTGGAAGTAGTGGTAGGCGAGGAAGAGGAACTGCAACCATCCCTTCAGCTCTTCCGAGTTGTTGCGGCCGAACACCACCAATTTGGCTTCTTCAGGACGCCTCTCAGTCTTCCCCCATGACAAGCAATGGAGGATGAACACAGCGAATAGAAACCAGAATATGTCCCGGGAGTATTCCCTCAGCCCATGAGGGTACACAGGGGCCCACTCACATGCAAAGGCATAGAGTAGTATGGCACCTAGCTGAGTGCTTCTCAATAAGAGTTGTTTCCACGAGTCCATCGAGCCGTTGAATGATGACGTCAATCTGTCATCAGATTGCTTCGATGCCTCGCCGTCGCTGATTCTGGTGCTAATGGGAAGGTACTTGGGATTCCCGGTCCATGCGGTTATCTTAGCAAAGATATCACCTCCATGAAGACCCAGGCAAACCAACGCGCTAATGCCAAATACGAAGACACTAGCGAGCGTTGTCGTCGGCAGGAGGGCTGAGAGACTCAAGTCTTCTGGGTCGCTGGGCATTGACACCGCCGAAATCTGCTACCTGGGGACTTGGAAATCTCTGGAAAGATGGTATGACAACGCGAAAAAGTCGAGCCGCTACGTAGAGACATCATCGTGCCTTTGAGAGCTCATCGTTGAAGAGCAGTGCGGGTATGAGCTAATCTGAGTCAAAATCGAAGCTCACTTTGGGCACATATCCTAATACATGCTCCTACAACCACAGCGCCTCAAGAGCACGAAGTCATAAATGCTAGTCTCCCTATTTCGATATCAATTGACAACAACACTACATGCAACTAGAGATTGAAACAGGTCCGAAACATGGTGAACCACAGCATGCTACAGTTTCTCTACTTGCCCGCAACAACAGCAGCATCACCTGCCTTGGCAGCCTCCAACGTCGTCTGCTGACACATCTCGAAGAACGAGACGCCCCTACAGGCAAACACTGCTCTGTGAAAGCAGAAGAGAGAGGGGTTACTTAGCAAGCATCTGCTGGGCTCGTCGGAACTCTTGTCGAAGCCGTGTATGCTGATTGGGTAGAACCTTCACGGGGTTCCTCCAGCCGCGTTCATACGGAAGGACCAACTTACATTAGCAACGTCCTTGCCGACCTCGAAGGGATTGTCTACGAAGAGGTATACACCCGCACTAGGAGAGGCGACTTTAGGCTGGGCGCCTGTCGCTGCCACCACATCTCTTATGGCGATATTGCCAAACTTATACATATACCTTAGAACAGCGCAGGGATAGGGGGGCAGCAATGGACGGCTTACCCGTAGTATCGGAAGAATTCATGCAAGAGGAAGCCCACACTCTCAGTGTTACGACCACCGTTCTCCTTGCATTGGTAGTCCAAGTCCTCAGCTATCATTTTCGGATCAGTCGCGAAACTGCTCAAGATAGCACTCAAGGCCAATACGGTCACTCTTCCTACCGGCAGTCGACCCCCTGGACATAGAGAGGAGGCATGTTGTGCTGTAGTGCCAAGTCCTGTAAACTGGGCAACACAGGAGCTGGTCGTCTCTGCAGGAAGTGTATCATCATTAGTATCAAGGAGAAGGACGACAAAGTGCCCCTTGACCTATCGTTGATACCACGCGCCTTACACCAGTACCTGCTTCCCATACGTGGCGCTCACCGATACTTGAACTGATCGTACTTGACGGCAATCCCTAGGGGCCTCAAACGAGGGTCTATCTCCATGTAAGCACCGATGAGCCTGGAGTTCACTACCGCTAGAGTGTTGTTGACAGAAATGTCGGTTGCGAGCATCGAACCCGGGACCTTCGGCGCCCAATGAATGATAGGTATCCGGGCAGAGAATCTCGGCTCGACGAAATGAGTGGTTACTCTTGCAAGGGATGCTACCAACACCCAGGCGTGGCTTCGACACACCCAGGCCGCGACTCACTAGCAAGCTTCCGGAGAAGCACTATCTGCTCGGCCCTGGTCTGGTGCCCTGGTACCTGACCCAAGCCGCCCTTCGGGGGAGCGGTGGCCCCGGGAGCTCACTTGTATGCAGACATCCACATCAGAATGGGGCGTCCAGAAACCATTGATGGCCGACCCAAAGGCGTGGACCCTAATATCGCCATCTACCATTTTGGAAACCGTCGTTTGCAAGGCCGCAAGAAAGCTGACCATGGACTTTGTGATGGGACTATCGCTGGTACGCCCACCTGTCCCTAGCCTTGTGCTCCTCGTCACTCGGTCGCACCTCAGCCTCCAGAGCGTCTATTTCCGTTGTTAATTTGACCATCCTTGGGTCTTCGCTCCCCATGATCTACGAGAGCTCCCATGTACGACGACCCGCACGTTCTCAGTACCTTCCCCACTGTCCTAGCAGTAGCAAACATGGAAAGATGTGCATCCCCCTTGTGTATGGTGGCCCGTATCCCTGTGGCCTGCCTCTGTACCGTGAGCCCCTCCTCCGTGTCGGTGGGGAGAGTCCACGGCAAGGGTTCCTCCGGCCCCCCTATGCGACGAGGAGTAGCGCTAGCAGCCGTAGAGAGCAGCCGAACGATACCCCTCACAGCACCGAGATTGGATGATGCCAACATACGCAACACAGTATCTGCCACCCGCAAAGTTACAAATTGTCAAGAGGCGCGGTATCGTTGAGGAAATGCAAGATTCCCCAAGACGAGCAAGTCTGATCGGTCAGGCCGTAGATGGCCGGATGAAAATTTCACCGATTTCGGCTTTTCGAAATGCAGAGCTTCACTGTCGCCTGCGAAATGGGCGCCTCTAACTAGCGATGGGCTGTACCGTGAGCCTCTCTGAGTTGGTGTGCTCAAGCAGGGATCACACACAGCTCGCTAGGAGACTAATTTTCTAGTACACATATGAGAGCACTCGAAAGCTTCACGCGGCCTGGTGTAGGGGGATGTTGCAGATCTGGGGTACCTAGGCGTTTTGTTTGGTCCGATCATCGGAACCTGGACACGGGTCATTTATGCGCACCGTTGTGTTAAAAAAGTAATCACCGAGTTACCCCAGGAGAGTGGTTTCTGGTATGAATGGCGTCTTGATCGGGACACGGCCGTCAACTGCATGCCGGAGGGGCCTTCTAGCTTCCCAGGCCGGCCCCTACCGTACCTTTTTCAACTCCAAATGGGTCCGGAGGATTGAGCGGCTCACAGCACCGTCCAGGTAGGCCCTTTCAACTGCCGTAGCCAGCAAACTCGCGGCCCATAGGCGACCGCCGCCTCCAGTGATACCCGAGAAGGAGGTCCCACCGGCAGTAGACCCATCGGTGACTCCTGTCAACCCAGTACTGGGGAGCAAAAGGCCAGGTGAGCCGTGGGCCTCTGGGGCGGGGACCTATTCCGTGTCTCTACAGGCATTTGTGCATTCAAGATAGGATGCATGGGCCTCTGGGATGAGTGGGGACAGAAGCATGCTGTCACCGTCTGCAAGGTTACATTGGTCATCACTCGGGGAACTGTACTCAGCGATCAGGTTCACAACTCCCATGTAATGCGGCAGAAAACCATAGCTCGGAACGGCTATGAGGCCCTCCAAGTTGGAACCGGTTGGCGCACCCTCGGGCTGTAGGGCCACCTCTGGTCGGCCCCGCGACCTACTCTCATCCTTCTAGGCACGAACGTCGTCGTATAGGGTGTTGCATTAGGGCTGGCGTTGAGCCCAAGCATCACATAGAAGAGTTCAGGGTCAGCAGTGACTGCATGCTACCCGTGGGCCACGAGTTTTCAGTACGCCATTTCGTACCTGGCCAAAGAGTGTAGCTCGTCGGGGATCTTCCGGCCTCCCTTATCGAGCTGCCCTTAGGTTCGTTAGTGGATGGAGTAGAGGGAAGGGCTGGCAGGGAGTTGTCACCCGGTGGCGGTTCGCTGGTGAGGGGCCGATCAGGTGTGCTGTGGGTATTCACTTGGTCGTGTAGGGCAGCAGGTGCACAAGGCAACAGGGGGCATGCGAATGCCGGGCTCTATCAGTAGAGGCATGTCGTCATCTAAGGTGGACAAGTACAAAAAGCAACCGGGCCATATGGGACCTGATCCGAGGTAGTAGCAGTCTGTGGTCTGGTAGAGGCACTTGCTGCTGTCCCTAGGGTCACTAACTGTACTGTATTCCGCATAGAGTCTACGAGGAACCTCATATTTCTCAAAGGGGCTGTGCCTGGTAAGTAGGAGCCCAGGAGATGGCCTGTGGACCTGCCTTGCAGGGTCGGCGGGGCATCCTATAAAGATCTTCGACGGGCGCGGTATCACCTGGTATCGAAACACATACATTAAAGCTCCGTAGGATCCCTCATTTGCGGTCGATTAGGGCGATTCTTTGATTCTAGGACACCGACGTTCATACCAAAACCTGGTCTGGAGTACCCCGTCACAGTTCAAATGCCGGCTACCTCTGAGGACCCCTTCCTCTACCCTGAGCGGCCCCGGTATGACCCTCGGAAATAATACCTGTTCACCATGTTGTCTTTGGGAGTGTTTCCGATGCACCAGAGACTAGTGTTGGTTGCCTACGTGAATGACACCGAGCTTCTACGACCGGCATCGATGCTTCCTCCAGTTTTGTGATAATGTCATATATTCTGAAGACAATCGAAGATTTCGTCAACGCTCATCCGGTTAGCTGTACATCAGAGAAGGCCCATGAGCTCCTATCGCAGGAGGGGGTCAATCTGGGAACAATTGGTAAGAATGATTTTGGGGGTAATCATTGGAGTTCCACCCGTGATATGAAAACACCAGTGATAAACATCTTTCACGACTACTGCAGGCCGCGAATATCGCGTTTTTCACCGAGTTTTACGCCATTTCACGTAAAACGGGTGAAGCTCCATTACTATATTCGTAGGTAACGCGGTCCTCCAGCCCGGAATTACGGCGGCCGAGGCCGACGCTGTGGTCCAGTGCCTAGAGATACTCCTACGTCACGAGGATCTGGCTAAGTCGGCCGTGGAGGAGTACTCCCCTCTGCTGCAAATGGCTGCTAGTGGCGACCAACGGTTCAGGGAAGTCGCCGCCTCCTGCTTTGCAACGGCTAAGTCGTCCATGGCCGACCCAAAGGTTGTCATAGCTCTGCTTAAGGACAAGGAGACTGGGATAGCTGAGAAGGCAGCAAGGGCCCTGGAGGGTATGGGCTCGAGAATTGAGGAGATACTCGATGCTGGCTTGAGCGATCTGGCGGGGCCTCCCACCGATGGAGTTGTGCTGTTGAGGGCCCAGTGTGTGCTCATAGAGATTGGCAAGCGGGACCAGAAGGCCTTCGAGGTTATTAGCAAGCAGGGATTGTATAAGAAGCTACTGGACGCCTTCTTTAGTGACGATCTCTTGCTGAAATTGGCTTCGGCGGAGGTCATACAGGATCTCGCGAGCTTCCCGGGTGGACGGCAGGTCCTAGTCGACTGTGGCACCTTTAGGGACTTTGAAAAGGAGTTGGAGGATGCGTTTGATGACAGTGTGGCAGTCGCTGTAGTAGCGGCTCTCAGTGGTCTATTGCAACGTGCGGGCCCTTCTGAAGAGGCTAACTATTTATTCAGAAGTGTTACCGCACCATTGCCACATACTATAAAGGAGTACCTATGCTCGGATGATGATACTAAGGTCCTCAACGGTCTGCAGGCGGTCATGCAGACGTGCCGGTTGAAGGTGTCCCAGGAGACTTTGCTCACGTCCCCTGATGTCCATGCCATGTTGATCGCTATCTTGAGGAAGTCCGACGAAAACGAAGTGGTGAAGTGTGCGTGTGACTGTTGGTCAGCGATAGCCTACTGCAAAGCTATGGCGTACATCCCTGATACTGTGTACCTAGCCACTGTGGGCCAGCTGCAGCGAAGAGCGCCCTTCCCGGATGCCCGAGCTCACATATGGAGGCTCATGGGCAATCTGACGGTATTTGATGCGAAACAGGCAGAGAGAGTTTTCCTCTCGAAGGGAAGCTACGTAGTAACGACCTTGCAGAACTTTGCCAGCGAGCTAGGTTATGATGCCAGAGTGGGTAAGCTGGGCTTCACTCGGGCCATCCTTGGGGCGGTACCAGGAGAGAGGATAGAAATGGCTGTGGGTGGTCCATGCTACTACGAGATGAAGGAGTTCGCTGCTAAGGGCCTCTCCTATGCTCCGCTTAAACAGGACCAAATTGCGGTCGATGACAACTTCGGTCAGTAAGGTTTCTATAAATACCCTATGTAGGTGTACAGTGTTGTGTAGTAGTTGATGGGAATACCCTGGGGGGCTCGTCAGCGACAGTGAGTGTTGGCGTGCTCGTGTTGGTTACCGTGGTCGATGTGGTTGAGGATGCGTTATAGGGAGTTTTGGCAATCATGTCAGTTTGCCTATTTTTCCATCAGAAATTGAGCAGTCAAATCAGTGGAGGCGCTGTATACTGCCTCTCATCACTGCGGCTATTATGCTGGCGATAGTATGGCTCCATATCAAGTGGTCCTCACTCTTGCAGGACCTATCGCTGTGGCCTAGGATTATGCCTCGACAAGGGCCCCCTTATGGTCCACCAAACGAGGGCCTCGAAACTAGAGGTCGGGATTCTGAGCTCGCTACCTCATCTGAGGAGAAGTTTGGAAATGTCTATGTCTCTAGAGATGCTCAAGGTGGTGGCCTGGGGTTCGACGAGGGCACTGACAGTGAAGATTCCTTTGGTGTGGAGATTTTCGAGGGTCTTCCTGACTTGGGCGAAGGCATGCCTGTATGTGACTCCATAGAGTTGGCAACTAAGGGCCGGTGGCAGGAATTGAACTGGGTACCTTGGGCGTGTAAGTTGCCCCCTTCGTCCGTTATACCAAATCTTGCTAAACCAGGCAGGTGAGACTAGCCGTCATTAATAGAGAACTGCTGTATTCAGCTGGTCTCTGGTAGGTGCCTGGCAGGCAGGAAAGTGGCCGTCATTGGGGACTCCCAGGCGGCCCACTTCGCCAAATCTTTCCTCCAATTCCTCCAGTGTGAACCTCTCGAGACAGCACTACGCCGTGGGGTCTTCCAGAATTGCAAGGTTATTAAAAAGGATAAGAACGGCGTCAAGAGGAAGGTCAAAGTGAAGGGTGATGATGGGCGATCGGAGGCCTTTCACAGTTGAAACTGCTAGGTGGGCCTATACCGTATTTCGGCGAATGGGAGGGAGCCCAGTGGGGCTGCGCTCGATGCTCTGGTTGTGGCTTAGGAGAGCATCGTTGTAATGGTGATGCCATGTTGGAGGTAACCGTGGGCGTGCTAGGTCGTTGCCATGTACGGTGTCAGGCCCTGACCGTTGAGTATGTCGATTGGAAAGCCCTCTATGTGCCCCCTTGGAGCAACACCACGCAGGAATTCCTATTCCGGCAGTACTGGAATGATACCAGTATGAACGGTTGCTCGTCATTGCATCCACTTCCTCTAATCTCAGAGGTCTCGAGGGCACCAGGGGCACTGAAAACCTTCAGGTCGCGAGGGCCCAGTCTAGTCTGGGCCAATACGGGTCTTCACGAGCCCAGAGTGATCACCTTCGAAAAGAACGCTACGGATGCCCTCGGATACGAGGCGGGAACCAAGAGGTAACAGCATCTACCCTTCGCGTGTCGGGAAGAGGGGTTCAGGTATATGCTGGAAGCCCTGAGGGGAGGACGGCAACTTATATGGGCCCTCACTACTGCGGTGAAGAGAGGGGACCAGCCTAAGAACTGGAAGGACGTTACCTCATCGTATAGGATCTGGTTGCTCAACCAGCATGCCCTTTATGCAGCACAGGAGGTGATACGCCACTAAGGGCCACTGTAGTGTACTGCAGCCTTAGGTTATGAAGGATGGAACTGTGCCGGATAGCAGTGGTCTAGCTGTGCTTGACGCCTTTGGGACCTCGAGAGCTCCTCACTACGGCTTCCACAGCGACGGGGTGCACATGGAAAAACATGACAATCTGTACCACCTCTTGCGTCAGCTTGATAGTGGTCGTAGTATGAGGCCCCACCACTATTGTTTATTGGGTCGGCGAGGTGTCCATGTACTACTGTATTAGATACTACGATAAGATGGTAGCGTTGGCATTAGCCCAGTACGACCGGCAGAAGTGTTCAGTACCTAGTCATGGACGAAGGCGACTACCCCTGTTCGCCAGGGCCCCGTTGTGGAGCATCGGCCTGCCATGGTACCCCGAAAATAGGACGCACTGTGCCAGTTTTGAGCCTGCTAGTAGTAACCATCCCATTGTGGGCAGGTCGAAGCCTGGCTCAGGTAGTGGGAGGTGGATGGACGATGGTACGTGGGGGCCGTGGGCGTGTAAACTTTATGCCTTGGAAGAAGGGGAGGATCCATGTCAAGGCACTGTAGTCCATATAGTGGGCATCAAGAACCAAGAGGTACTCAACGCTCTGATGACTGCGATGCCTTCTGCGAAGAACTACTCTGTGGGGGCCGCACTTGGGGCAGAGGGACTGCCCGACGTCCTCTTCATGGGTCTGCCGTATAGGGATTTCGCCAAAAATGGGACTTCGGCGGACTTCCTGAACGCCTTCAAGGGACAGGTGGGGAGGCTAGGCTCTGGGAGAATAATAGTAGTAGGAGAGCCGTACCCCAAGAAGAAGCAAGGCAGGGCCTGGCTATATAGGGAGCATTCAGAGGCGGCTGCTCACCGTGTTGGTGCAGGGTTCTTGGACCTCTTTTCTATGGGGTATGAGGCCACTTTGGGTCTACAGGACACTGCAATAGGGCCAGAGATGGTTCCCCGGGCTGTTGCTGGACTGGTCAGAAGTGTGATGAAGCACACGAAGTGTCGTCCCGGGGTGAGGGAGATGGACGACTGGCGAACATGAGGACCCAATGTGACGATCCTGATGGCCCTCCTGGCATGTTGTGTTGAGTGTGGTGGATTGTCATATCAATTGCCGTTGCTTAGTTCATCTTGTGTATATTCTCTATGGAAGCGAAGCCATGGGTCGGACCCAACGGGGAGCAGCTTGGAGTGATAGCCCCTCTCACCTCTAGTATTGGTTATAGGCTGGGCCTCCTCATCTACCCTGACCTCTCCAAGGTCGAGTTTGACCTTCATCTCAATCCTAGAGTACTGTCTCGGGATTTCCCAGCTTGGACCTCGGATGGTAGTAACCGGGGAGCTATGCTGCGGGAAGGGTATCCGATCACCCAGTGGATCAGAGAGCTCACCAAGGCTGATGAAAACATAGTGTTGCTGAGCAACTCAGTGCAGTCGAACTTCCAGAACCCATATGACTGTTTCATACAGGACGGTATCATGCAGAGACAGGGCTATGCTAGTGCCTGCCCTAAGTACGCTTTTGGTGACAGCCCAGTGGATGTGTTTGTCCTGGACTCGGACACTGAAGAGAGGCGATTGCGAAGTTGCAAAGTGACGGATGAGTGTAACGAGCGATTTCCCTGGCGGAGGGCGGTCTCGGGCAGGCCCTTTGTGACGGACGGTGAGCTCCGGAAGATCCCCCATTGGGACCACGAGGACGGCGAAGAGATAAAATACGGTGAAGTGCCGTGGCTACCCAGCAGCACTGAAGCAGCCTTCTCTGCAGTGTGCGAAAGTCGCGATGGGCAGGTCGTTCTGGCTTATGCTATTCAGCCACTGACTGCTTATGAATTCGGCCGGGCTTTAATCGATTCAGGAATACACGATGCAGTGCTTCTTGGTGGTAGTGGTGATGTTGGGGTATGGATCCAAGGTAGGGGCCTTGAGGCAGCGGCTGCTAGGGAAGGCTCGGCTAGAGGCGCTCAGCCGCCGGGAACTCGCAACCTTAATGGTGTTATAGCATTGAAAATGCTCCACAACTAAGCGGCACTTTTAGCACTGTCCATTGGAAGAGTTGTGTTACAGGGGTTGCGAGGAGGCCGAATGTTGGTGAAGTTTTGAAGTCAAACTATGGCGACTGCTGGGAACAAGCCGGTGTTTGTCACCAGTGATGTCCTGGCTTTAGGAAGGAAAGAGTGCGTTACACGACTTCGGGCTAAATTGTCGGACTTATTGGGACAGGGTAGTGGGGGAGGGGGGCGCTTACTTGATGTTAGTGTTGCTTCTCTTTAGGAGATGAAGCTTTCGACCAAGTTTCGCAGTACTTTTATGAGCTCATATGGGCGGTCCTTAAGGGTCGACCCGGATACGCCCTTGAAGAGCAGCCCTGCGTTGAAATTCTCAGGGGCATGGGCTTCACCAGAGCTCACCAAGAGGCTCTGCTGGACCACCTGTTCATCGCATGCCACTACGAGCCGTGTTCCAAGGCAGCCCTGAGTCTAGTACGAGGACTGCAGAGGGGCGGGGTCGTATCGCTGGCTACGACACTGGGCAACATGGAACCCCATATGGGAGTGCCCGCTGAGATCGTATCTCCAGAGGTCTTCCGCCGGAAGATTATGCAAGCTCGAACGAAGCAGCTGTACAGCGTAAAGAAATACAATACCTTTCGGGAGTGCTCGGAGGGCTATGCTGCTGCGATGGAGACGGTGTGGTCGGTGAGCAGCCGTAGGTCCAAGGATGAGGCCTTGAAATGTGGGCAGGAGTTGAAGAGAATCATAGCCCACTACCAGCTGTGCCCGACAAGGGTCTGTGCCATGGTAGTGGATACAGTACAGTGGTGGTTCGGCCAGGCTATGAGGAGGTATTGGTATGGTAGGAAGAGTGATAGGGCGGCCAAGGGCGAACCAGAGGTAGTGGATATGCATTGCTTGGGCTCATCGTAGAGGCTTCTTGTAGTTACCATCGAGTGCTCGGTTCGCGGAAGTACTCGAGTGGTATTTGGAGATCCTACGAGGCTACCATCACACTCAGCTGATGTCAGTGCTGAAGTTCTATCTGTCCTGTTACAATAAGATTCCCTTTTTGGTCCACACCGACAACCCGCCTATCTCCATCCACGACATCGTTCCTCCTGCTGATCTTCATGCCCCTACCTCTGCTAGGACTGGGGGTGTCCAACACTCTAAACGTAGTGATGCCTCTGACCCCTCGGGGCTGTCGGGCAGGGGGGCCGGATGTTTCTGACGGGATGAGCCTATTTGTATCAGGTGACAGTGCGACATCAGAGAGTCACTCTGGCAACCCGGCGGACAGCAACTCGGCCTCGGCAATCCGTCTGGCTCGCTCGAACGTCCTCTATGAATTCGCTGGGATTCTCATCGTATTACTTCGTGGGGATCTCATCTCTCCGACAGAGCTAGGAGAGGAGCTGTGGGAGTAAGTGGACTTCTAGCTGTTTTGTATTGCCCACCGTTCCACAGGTACATGTACATGCATCCCAGGGCCGACAATGACCCTGTTATTGCTAAGCTGGAGGCGGAGGCTACGGAGAGTTACAAGGCGGCTATCAACGCGCACACTGCGATTATTATTGGAGGCTCTGCTGAGGACCCTGACCAGAAGATGCAAAAGGCCATAGATGCCCTGTCTGAGTACCGAGATATCCCCACCTGCCTCGTCCAAGCGGCTCTCGATGCTGGTGATGTCGCTCTAGCGAAGCGTATTGTCCAGCGACTGCAGTTCTCGAGACCAGCACTGCTATCCACGGTCCGCCAGGGCTTAACAGACGAGTTGGCGTGGCTGTTGTGCACTAGTGGTGACACGAGGAGTCGCCGTCACATGGCTAGGCTGGCTCAACATCCTCTACGGAACTACTCTGACCCTAGCCGTCCAGAAGACCCTCTACTCGAAGAGGGTTGCGATGCTCTGTGGTTGATCGAAATGCTAGGCTCCCAACTGTGTCACGATACTGCCTGTCTTGGTATTTGCTGGCAGCGAGTTGGTGATGCTGTTGCTGTAAAGGGCTGTCGGAGGGAGCGACTGGACTCTTTAGTGGCCAGGGTGCTCTTGCCGGCCCTCTCCTGTGCTGCTGGGAGTAACGGTGCCAACCCGTGGCTGGCCACGATAGCCTGGGAGAGCTACCTCAAGGGCAGACCCGTTGAGGACAGGTATCAGATCTATGCCCTTTGGGACCAGGCCGGCCGTAGTGACCCAGCGGACCTAGGTCAGTTCCCCCTACAGTTAGTCCATGCCAAGGTGAGGAAGGAGACCAAGTCCTTGCTAAAGCGTATCGTGAAGGATGCCCAACAGAGTGAGGACAAGTTGGCCCGATACAGCCCTTACGCTTGGACCAAGTTGGCCCTTATGAACCCTCTGCCGTGCGCCCAATATGTCGTCCACAACCTCACAGAGAGGTCCAATAGCAATCTCATTGGGCCCTACATTGACGTCACTGGTCGCTCTGGAGATATGACCTGTGACACTGTTGGTTATGAACTCCTATGTGAGGCTACAAACCCTCGACTCACTCAAGCGGTGGGGTTCCTTAATAAGGAGAGTGCAGTGATCGAGGGATGGATTCAGAACCTCAGCGAATTTGCTGGTAATAGTACTAGCAGCCACTACTGCTGGGCTATCACCCTATACAGGTCGCTTCTACCGCAAGCACTCCCATATAGACATGCGGGGTCTGCTTAAGGTCATCAGAGTTTGCCTCAGACCACCGAGCCCTCGGACCAGCACTGACCAGGAGGTGGGTACAAATGTGCCGCATAGTAAACTGTACGACTCCTCCTTGTCAGACTATCAATTTTCTGCTGGGCCAGTCCTTGATGCGGCAGTTGCTGCAGGGTCTCATATCGTACGTTGGTGGTTTCACGGTGAGTATGCAGTCTCGGCAGGAGTCGGGCTGGGGATGTGGGCTGTTGACAGGTCATCGCTGAGTTGAACGACGAGCAGGTGCAGTGCCTTTCGGGGGGTCCGGTCCTCTGTGCGTTGTCGCAAACCATCAATCCTGAGGCGGGAGGGATAGGGGGCACTGGTGGCAGTACTGGCGGCAGGTAGGCCCTGGCTGGTCCTGGTTCCTGGTCATGTTGGTGGACCAGGTACAGTGAGCGGGCGAGGGCTGCCCTCCGAGCTGCAATGACTCAAGAAGGCCCTACTCTGATCCAGAGCTTTTGGCATAGCCTGATGGCCCAGAGGGATCTACTGGTCAGTCATTCTGCTATCATCAACGGGTTCACTGAGAATAAGGGAGGACTCAAACTGCTTGGATATCTCTTGGACACGTCCCATACGCAACTGCTTCAGCTCACGCAGTACCTGGTCTTGGTAACCTCTACGGCTCATCCCTACTCGGACCTCCTTCCTGATATACACCAACTTTTCCGCCCCAAAGGGCACAGGCTAATGGCGGACCAGTTGCCTCTGGCCTTCCATCTCTGTCGCCCTGGTCTGCCTCCTTATGGCGTGTTGCCTGCCGAGGACGAGAAGGACCGGCAGACTATTGTGGCCGAGCTCAGCGAGGCTGTGAAGCCGTTCTTGCCTGGGCATAGCGAGGACGCTTTGGACGGCCTGTCGCTGGGCTTCTACCTCACTTTTTGGCGCCTCAGTCTTTATGACATATACGTCCCCTGTGACAGCTACAAGAAGCAGATTGCCTTAATGGAGAGGGAGATGGTGGAGATGCAAGGGGCCGCGGATGGCAGGCCCACGGCTGCTACTCCCAGCCCGACCAAGCAGACCATCAAACGTGCGAAGAAGGAAATCCACCGTCTTAAGGAACATGTAGGTCCCTTTGAAAGTCCCATTGTTTTCATCACGATGTCTATGCAGATCGACAAGCTCCGAGTAGAGGAGACTCTACAGCTTGAGAATCACCATAGAGTGCTCGAGCGACTACGACGGGAATGCGGAGGGTGGTGGAAACAAGAAGTCGGCAATGAACAGGCTACGATCGGTCTTGTTAAGTGGATGCTGGCTCAGCGTGTCATGGTAACAGGCTCCACCATACGAACTCCGTCGTAGTAGAATTACTCTCTCAGTTATCCGTCCAAGATGCCCTCTTCTGTGCGCACTTCGTTAAGTTGCTGGTAACGCTGCATCCCCCAGGCTTCCAGCTCCTAGATTTCTACAATGTCGCCACGACCCTCCTCATGGTCTTGGTAAGCTCATTGCCTCCTCATCGTGAAGTGGAGACGGGTGGCCTGTCAGGTTCAATGCTGTACCGAATCGGAAGCTCGGTGGTTCGGCGTCTTCCTGCGAGACATAATGCACTACGTTAAAGACCTGAGGTCGATCGGTGACAGCACCAAGTTTGCCGATTATGTAGCGGGCAACTCTGCCTTCTACCGGCACTATCGTCCCTATGGAGAGAAGGATGCGGAGTACCTCAAACTATCAGAGTTGAAGAAGGGTCACGCCAAGTGGGAAGGCCGAGTTTGCAAAGCCTTGAAACCTGGTCTTGAGAAGAGCGCAGACTGGTCCGAGAAGCGCAATGCTCTCACAGTCCTCATCAGCTGTCACGAGTATTGTCCAGTACATTACCGGTCCGCTCGAGCCGTTATGCACCAATTGGAGGCCTTGTCCAAGGATCAGGGACAGCCGCCCGATATTAAGACTATGGCTGGAGGTTTGCTGAGTAAAATGAAGCAGAGAGAAGACTCCATTCTGGATCGTCCCCCTCCGAAGCCCGCCCATGATCATTCGAAGACATCCGATGGTCAGAACGCGTCCACTGAGGCGCATGGGAAGTCCGCCGAGGTTCACAACGAGCGACCGGATGGTCACACTAGGACGACAAGCTCGGGTCAAGGCCATGCACTTAACGCGCTCTCGTCACCTGGTGCTGGAGTAAAGAGGACAGCTACAGACAGTCCGAATAGTACGACCACATCACCCGAGGGGAAGAAGCTGAAAACTAACGATGAGAGAAGCGAGAGAAGTTCTGCAAGAGAGCGCGGCCGACCGCCTCGAGAGTGATGATCACAGCTGCTGTTTCTATTATGATTACGTCTAACGAGAATTGACGTGTTTAGTTGTGCTTATATGAGCTGCCACTTGACTCGATTATTAGTAGTTTCCTTTTTTCGGATGCGTTCATTTTCCGACCATGCTGACAATTATTACTATGAGGGTGGGCCAGGGAGCTATCCTCATCATCAGACCAATTTCGGGGAGCATGACGACCGAGTGAGCTATGGCGAGGATGGAGGCCCTGTGTATGGCCGCAGTTACTATGATGATGAATATTCGGCATGGGATGCTAGTCGGTAAGCAGAGTAGATATTTATGACGGAAAAATAGCAGCTCCTTGTTTCGATCAAGGGACCTTTGGGTTATGAGCCCAACACGCTATCCACTGCGCCAAGCTGCTGTTGTGTCAGTGTAGCGTCCGCGTTGTGTCATCGGTTTCATTGTTCTCGGTTACGTAGACTCTGCGTCGTAGTCGTGGTCTTGGGAACTTCAGTGCATCAACTACTCTGGTTACAGGTCAGTCCATCGTCGTGGATGGCACAGCAGCAGTGATGAGTTCCGACGGCCAGGGGAAGACTCTGATAGCGATCTCGGCGATGGTCTTGGTCTGCGGAAGCGCTGGAAAGATACTGACAATCCTGAATCGATGACTGTGGGACAGATGGCGTCGCTGTATCTCATGCGAGAGGCTAAGAAACGCTATGAACCGATTGAAGTGAGCATCCATCACCCGTTTTGTGAGCTTCTTCTTCACATGTTCGCGTTGACAGCGTGCAAGTATAGTCTAGAACTGCATGCTGTCAGAATTGTTTAGATTTTCAATCTTGTATCATGCTATGCCAGCTCTTGTTGTTCATCGAGACAAACCTCGGAGTTCTCGATTGAGCCCCTCGTCTCGCGAACATTTACAACCTCATTTGTTGTTCAGCCCTACACTCCACTTGAGTTCGATATAAAGACGACTCGCCGGCCTCGGAGCCGCAGCCGGAGCCCCTCGCCCTATATGCAGCGCCAAGTGGGCAACTCTGAGGATTTTCCCAGTCTTCTTCAGACAAGTTGTTTTTATGATCAGATCGATTCTATGTTTCGGGAGATTGACCGGACACTAGCCGAGAAGCGAGGAGAGACCAACTCTGACAATCGTAGCAGGTCCCGGTCACGGGAACGGGAGCTGATTCCAACTGCAGGGAAAAGTGAGAGATGTCGCTTATCCCGCATGCCATCGCGCCTTTACTGCTGGGGACAGCCTCTTGAACGGTATTGTGTGCATTTGTGCTCAGGAGGTAAAGGAGCGCATGATGATACTATGAATTGCCCGCCTGAGCTCGGGCATGGCCTCGAGGGGAAGCCCTTACCAGGGTAAGTCTATCACATGCGGGTAGAGAGATCAGCGCATCTTCACTTCAGCACTATGGAAGAAGCACGGCTGCTGCTCGCCACGAGTTTGGAGTCAGAGCATGCTCCAGTTAGCGAGGCCCGTCCCGATGACCCATACGAATCAGTGATCACCGCACTTCATTTACTATCCTCAATTGCTTCACTTCCTCGCAGTTCCGTCAGCGTACCGCGACATCTTGGACGACGTTTCTGGCGGCTAAAAGATACGCCCGACAAGAGCCTGGTGGGGAGGACCGCCTCAGAGGCCGTTGCAACCTGTGTGGTGATCCGGGCCACTACGCTCGAGACTGTAGAAGACGTTTATAGACTTCGCCGTGTTGCGTTCTCTCGATGGTGATTCCTCCTCCTACCCACGGAAAGATTGAAGTTATTTAAATGTCTCAGCTCAACGGGAATTCCCTCACGGAGTGTGCCGTTGCCACTCGCCGAGCTGGTCGGCGCCTTGCCTCTACTAGCATTGTAAGTTCGACTGGCTCCCATGCCGAGCTTATCTCGCGGGTTGGCCCATGCGATCCGTCCCTTGTTCCTTGCTGACCGTCGACCTTTCTTGTTCAGGAAGAGCGCAATGCGATGCTAGAGGCGATTCGTAAGAATCTGATCTCCAGAAAGGAGCAACTCTTAGCTGCGAACCGTACGGACATGGAAGCTGCTCAGAAGGATGTCGGTAAGCCATCGTGTTGTTGCCTGGCCACCATGCAGGCTGTTTCCCTCAGCCTCTGGTAAGCTGTCCCCGACCTTGTACAAGAGACTGGACCTCTCTGGCTCAAAATGGAACAGCTTGATCGCTGGACTCGAGACCGTCGTGGCTCTAAAGGATCCATTAGGTGCGTGGAGCGGTAGCATGTCGCTGCGGCAATGTTCATTATCAGGTCGAGTTACCTACAGCCACGAGATGACCGAAGACGGTCTGCGCCTTTACCGCTTAACCTGTCCAATCGGTGTGGTACTGGTCATATTCGAAGCAAGGCCTGAAGCTGCTGTGAGAGGGAATGTCGGCAGTGTCGCTGGTCGCATCACTGTTGCCTAGGTTCAAATAGCTTCCCTATGCATTAAAAGTGGTAACGCTCTCCTTCTCAAAGGCGGGTCGGAGGCTAGGCACTCCAATGAGGCAATTGTTGGCGCTATCCGTGAAGCCATCGAGCCGATGGGAATGGCTGATGCGGTAGGGCGTCATTAAAATGAGAGGTCTTCTTCGCATGGTTGCGGTTCAGATACAATTTGTTGACAGTAGAAGTGCCGTTGACGAGCTCCTCAAAATGGACGAGTACATCGACGTTGTGGTGCCCAGAGGCTCCAACAGTCTTGTCAAGTAGCGATGGCTGAGTGCCTCCGTATGGGATTCCAGAGTTTATCTTTGTTGCAGATACATCAAGAGCCACACTTCTATCCCAGTATTGGGTCATGCTGATGGTAGGGAGTAGCCTCTATCCCTTTTCACAGTAGTGATGGTCGTCTGTCAGGAATCTGCCATACCTATATCCAGTCGAAAGCTGATCTCGATATGGCTATTAAAGTGACCGTCGATGCGAAGACACAGTATCCTGCAGTCTGTAACGCCACTGAAACGGTAAGTCATTCGGCAGATATGCGAAACGGAAAAGTCCTGTTGTAGATTCTCGTGGATGAAACCATCGCTGACAGTTTCGTCCCACGCCTGTTCAGCAGCCTCCGTGAGAAGGGAGTGGTGAGCATAGAGTTCGACTGTGGGTTGGGACCTTCCAATTCCTCAGACCGTTCATGGTGACGCAGCTGTGCTCAAGATCTTGGGCGGTGCGCAGGACGGTCTCGTTGAAGCCAGTGGCAATGACTTTGATACTGAATGGTGCTCATTGGTGAGCAGCGGTTGTGACCGTGTTCGGGTGATGGTGACCTTGAGTGGCTCCTTAGGAATGCAGCATGCACGTCGTGCCGGATCTTGACGCCGCTGTGGAGCACATCAACGTGCACGGCTCTCACCACACGGACTGTAGAGAATTGGAGAAGCTGTTGTCCGGTCGCTGAGTGACCGTTCAGGTATCATAACTGCCGACTCGAAGGCCGCTGATGAGTTTATGAGGAAGGTCGACTCGGCCGGGGTTTACTGGAATGCGTCCACAAGATTCGCCGATGGCTTCCGATATGGGTTTGGAGCAGAGGTTGGTGTCAGTAAGTTATGATTATCCTTTCCTGCTTCATCAGTTCGATCGAAGGTACGAACCGCATTCATGCTCGGGGACCCATGGGATTGGAAGGGCTCACAATCTGCAAGTATCGACTCTACGGCAACGGGCACACCGTGACGGAATATGGCGACAAGTTGCTGCCGCCGTCTGAAGAAGCCTTGCCTGGGGAGGACGAGACGGAGTTGAGGGAGATGTATCATCAGAACTGAGTCGTTACTCTCGATTGGATCAGTCTTCTCATTCTATAGTTTCTGTGACACTTCTTTCGATTACGTTACTTCTAGTGGGGACTGCGGGACAGTCGACTGAGTAGTAGCTCTACGCTGAAATGTTGCGGATACCTCAGCTGCACCTGAGCGCTGCTATTCGGACCACTCCGACATCGGTAGCTTTCGTGAGCTCAGCCGAGAAGTCCAAGGAGGTTGCTCTAGCTCTGGCGAAAGAAGGGGTTATCGGAGTCGATTGTGAAGGAGTCATGTTGGGCCGATTCGGTCAGCTGTGCACTATACAGATCGCAACCGAGCGTGGCGATGCGTGAGTCACCGAGTTGCATCGGCGTCATACGCTCATTTGCAGGTTCATGTTCGACGCTTGTCGTCCTGGTGTTGTACAGTCTCTGGCCCCCCTGCTTTCTGATCCTTCCGTGCTCAAGGTCTTTCATGATTGTCGAGAAGACTCCAGTGCCCTATATCATCAACACGGCATAAGTTTGGACTGTGTATTCGATACGCAAGCTACTATGCTGGTGGGAAATCGAATGGATCATCAGACCGGCTACTGGGAGCTCGTGCGACAAGTCCTCTTTGATGGGGAGAAGGTATGTCGTCCCAAGGGTCGGGTGTCAGCCATCGATCTGTATAAATATGAGTTTTGAATGTCTCTTGAGCACTCACCAGCAAGATGGTATTTTTCACTGGTTGTTGAATGCTCAGGAAGTTTCTCATGAAGTGCTGGGAGATGACCCACAGTTTAAGACACAGATGGCCGAGGACCCCGAGTTATGGCGGCGACGACCCCTTCCTCAGCATGTGGTCGAGTACGTCTTCATCCCTCATAGTGACTTGGACATGGCTCGAATCAGTTACGCTCTATCTGGGTGCCTCCATTTGATACCGCTTTATCATGCGATTCAAAGTAGATATTTGACTTCGACAGAAGCCATGACCGATGCCATCGAGTACTCCGACCATTGGGTGAAGATAATGCTAGAATTGCTCTGAGCCACGATTCCGCTTAGTAGGTGGCGTATAGATATTTGAACCCCCAGCTCAAGTCGGCTGCTGACGTCATCAAGCCTCCAGAGGAGGGAGTGAACCGGCAGTCTTACGGCAGAAAGCTGCAGGCTATGCTCGCATCCCGTACTCCAACAGGTAACATCATCAGGTTGAACTGTCTTGCTAAGGCTCTTTGTTTGGACTATCCTTATCTCAATGCGGTTATCTGTTGCGATCTTGATGCAGGTGAGCTATTCTGGAAGCTCAACGCCGCACCTCGAGTGGGGTTCACAACGAATCCTCGACCTCTTCAACGATTCCGCGACGTTGAGATAGGAGATATTGTTGATGTTTGCGTGTCGAAGGTCAGCTGGAACGGCAAGTGGGTCACCATTGAAAGCAGTCGGATTGCTCCGAAGTCGGCGAGATCCCCTGTGACAGGTTTCTGTATCTTGATCGCTATGACCATGACTACAACTATTACGATCGCAGTTTGCGTCCACGGAACGATAAAGTTGGAACTGCTTCCCAAGAGTAACAGTTGGCATATTTGGGAGGCTGTGCACCCTCTGGATTCAGATACGTGCATCAGTCACCAGCTTATTTTCAAGAGTCTTCTGACACAGACCCCCTGCTGCGAGTTTGCTTGCCCACCGAAGGCGAATATGACTCGGATGGTGAGGATGTCGACCATGAACCACGGTGTTTCACTCGTTTCTGACCCTAGACATGCGAATTCCCAGTTGAGTTCCTACGGAGTAAGTTCTTCCCAGGTGAATACTATTATTTGAAGAGTAATGGTGTTCTCCGTTGCATTATTCACTGGAATAACTTAACACAAAAGCCCTGGCCGAAAAGTAAAATAATCTCCAGGAATGATTCTGTGTACGTATTCGGGAGCATTAGTAAGAGTAGACCACGATCAGTGACCATAACCTGCACGACTGCAATCATTATTCCCCCTCCCATCCACCATTCCAACTCACTCTGCGAGCTCGATCGAGACCAAATCCAACGAACAAGCACCGTCACACTACGGAGGGATCCCGGAATCCAGAAACTGAGGTTGCAAAGCTCTGATTGGACGAGAACGACCATACGACAGTTCTCACCTCGGTCAGTAATCGAGGCACACAGTACACTCTTCTTCCTTTGGCTCCAACCACATCATTACCAGCGATGCACAGGGACTCAAACTGAAACCTCTCGACCAACCATCCAGTCGAATTCTCGACAATTGCTCGACTCTCAAGTCACCTTCAGTAACCAGCCGGAGCAAAGCGAGTTCCTGACGTCCCTTACGATCCGAGCATGGGACATAATCCGCTAGTAGGGCTACCTCAGGAGTGACCAGATGAATTTCAACATAACGAGAGAAGACTAGCGGCCACGTTGGCAATCTCATCCAGCAGGAGTCTTCGTCCAAAACATGAATTTCCGTCACGTGGAACTCTAAGGCGTCATCCAAATCATCATCTCCATCATCAGCAATACTTTCTGCCAGTGGTCGCCGGATTTGGGTGATCGCGGCAATCCTCAGCTTGCCGTCGCTTTTTCGCAGGACACTGAAGTTAAGAGCGACCCCCTCTAGTTTGGCAACTTCACTAACTCCGAACTCATCGCGAGTCAATTTACTGAATTCAGTGGTCTTCCGGTCATAGTTCACTAACGCCACATAGAAAAGGTTCTCATATAGAACTAGCTTGTCCACAACCCACGTCTCCAAATCATCGTGGCCGCCGATACCACGCTCCGCCAAACAAGCACGTACTATGCACTCTGAATCATCCGTGTCACTGTACTCTAGGAGGTGACCACACCCGGACATTTCACAAACATCGAGATCATAATACGACTTAGTGAGCGGATCAGTGATTGCGGTGGCATGCTTGAGGGCGTTTTCTCGCCACCACTCATCTTCAGGCCGTTTGGGCTTCGGAGGGGCCTTCCACGATAACCCCATCGGATCTCGAGTCCCGATGAACTCGCATATCATATACTTGATATCGAGCATCCCTTTCCAGTTAACAGGAAGTGAGTTATTCACAGCGGCTAAGTCCACGGCGAGGTTCGAGAGTCCGCGGGGCATTGCGAAAATATGAAGAAAGTCTGGACTAGAACGAGGACTAGGTCGACGCCCGACACCTCAAAACACTCAACCTAGAATTTGACGAAAAAACTCCTACGCAACATCAACATCACAGGAATCATTCTTCCGAAAACATTCCACATGCATACGTCTGATACACTCATACAAAATAGGCATAAGCCTTAGCTTCCGAGCTATGAGATTACCTAGCGTAGCCCACTTAGGTACTAGTCTTGCGACTTCAGGCCAGTCGACTAGTCCGCCCGGGTTTGACTGGAGCGTGATGCAGTACACCAAGGATCGAATCCCCTTAGTATTAACATCAGTGATGATCCCAAATACAGTACGTTCACAACTCTTCGTAGTAGCGAAAACGACGCTCAGCTGACCGCAAATTGAAAGCAGTGATAGAGTACGTCACGTGGTCTCGCAAATAGGCTCGATCGGGTTAGTGGATCTCGGATTCCACCTTCGACGGCTACCCGGACGCCCAGAGTAAGCCTCCCACGAGAGGAATACTTTGCCGTAGAACCCAAAACATGAACTTCAACCAACGAGGAACTTTTAACCCGGAAAAAACCTAATCATCTAAGCTGAACAAGCCCTCCCACTAGAGCAGGAAGTCCGCTTCGACCCGTCAGAACAACGCAGTAACTGCGTCGCAGTTATCCCGAAGTGCCTTCCCATACTCGAACTCTCGACACAGCCAGATTGTACAATATCCAGTACAGACCCACTCAAGACCTACTCTGAATTCTCCAAGTCACTAACTTCAACATACACATCTACAGTAGTGAATCTGCTGTGACCGGCATCCCATTTCGGCGGATCTACCGCGCATAAACTCGCGAGCTCTCTTGGTCAGGGCTCCTAGAGTCTAGGACCTAGACCAGGAGTACCACAAGATGAATTAGTCAGTCACAACATAACACGAACAAGGACGCATCTAAGTTTGATGGTCAAACCATAATTTGTTGCCATGTGCTCGGCAGTGGCTGCCGAGTCGGCAGCGCAAGTAAGCCATTGTAGCAGGGATCTTGCTCACTTGGTTGATCTTGCGTTTCTTGGCAAATACAATCCTGCAAATTGCAGAACAATGGTCGCAACAGTGGTCGTTCACCAACCTGCAAGGTTATTGAAAACCCAAAGTTAATGACCAATTTCGTGATCCTATTCGTGCTCACAATCCTCAATGGGATCTGTCTGAGCCAGGGCTCTGCTGAAGAAGCTCGTCTAAACCTCTCGTCACTCTTCAGCGCGGATATGATAGACTCGTTGGATATCGACAAGAATTTTCCCTTGGGAGGCTTGCCAACTACTGCACCCAGTAGCCCAAGTCCCACCACGGAGCGACCGACCGAGCCGTTGATTGACACGCCGAGGTAATACTCTCGAATATCCGCTGATATCTGATAGTCGCGACGTGATATGCAAATAGCTTGATAGGATCATAGGCTGCTCTTCAGGCCAGCTACGGCACCCGCTGTGATTGGTTCAACCGGAGAAGAGATACCAGGTTATCCAAATGGCACCTTAAACGCTATACTGGTGGTCATTATCATCCTCACAATGATCATGGCCGGACAACTGGCGGCAACGTTAGTGGCTTTCCGAGCATTCAACGTAAGGATTTGCTACTTGCTTCTAACATATACGGTGGTATTGTACTAGCTTTTGCCAGGTTCTTGAACATCAGCGAGGCGCACCTACCAAGGATCCCAAGCTCCCCAGCAAACCGGGAGATTGCGCCACAGAGGAGAGGTACTCTGGATATCGAATTTCGCAGGATTCGATGGGTAGGCGCATCTCGTCAGGTCCACCGCAACCGTCGATATCTCCGATGCCGTGTGATGATAATTGTGTAGCTGCTACACGTGTATCATGCCATTGCGGGTGTGAAACCCGATGGTCTCTGCGAGCAGTGGTGATACTTTGCATGTGATGTTAAAAGTTAGAATATGATATTCACTATGTTGAGTGTATATCAAGGGAGAGAGCGTGAAAGTGATGGAAGAGTGGCAATGGAACTGCGACTGAGCCTCGAAAGATTGTCAATATGCATTCTTCGAGTGTAGTAGGAGCTCACCTGGATCACCCGTTGTCTGCCGATATCTCACTCAGCAACGACGCACACACACAACTTGCGATCCACAAGCCTTACCTTGAATCCGTCGACTAGAATAGCTTCGGACAATCACTGCTGACTCTGTCGAGGAAGCTATAAAGATGCAAAGAATCAACTTTCACCATCCAAACACTCAACTTGGGAGACTCCAATTTGAAAACTCCAACAGTTGGCATCCTGCGTAGAGATAGTCGATAACTCGAGAAAAAGAGCGTTTAGGCAACCTCTGAGAGCAAACAATCTTCAGAGCAACAAGTTACATCGAACAACTTGAATAATTGTCAGCAGTGATGCCTCCTCACTATTATCAAGCCTACACAGCTAGCATAAGAGTCTCAGTTTTACATACTTCGCTTCACTTGTAGAGCACTCTAATGAGGCCACCCTTCGAGCCGAGGAGGAACATTCCTGAGGGACTCACCTCGTACCACTCATAGGGGTGAGGTGAGGGCCACCTCGTCGAGGTTTCTTTCCTTATGGCACCAGCAGCGATGTCCAGCAACCACAGTTCACGCTCCCAACCAAGAGGAGACGAGGGGCGAGCAATCGATTCAGTGAGCAACAGTCTGTTGGGCGTGATGAATTTCGGTTTACAGCGACCCCAAAGAGGGTCCATCCGTAAAGTCTGTATGGAACTCAATTCTGGACCGCTGACATCCAATAGCCGTATATGAGACTCCAGATTGGACCCGCGGTGACCATTCGTACCGGCAAGATGCACAGCGCAAATCAAAACTCTCAGGGTTCCGTCACTTCTTCCAAAAACGTCGAAGTGATAGCCGGCTTCATCAATGACACATACCAGATGTGGTTGGCTCGATGAGGGCGCCAAACACAGAATAGCAGTGTACTGATGATCCGATCGACGCACCGCCGCAACAAAGACTAACTGTCCCACAACAACCACGTTATCGAGATAGTCTTGGGCAGTCAGCAACCCTCCAGCCTCGAAATCGCGGGGTAGAGGTATAACTAGAGTCGGAGAACCATGAGCTTCATCATGCACAAGCAGCGCGCGGCAACCCACTGGGAGTTCATATACGCATTTAGTCAACGGTGATGGAGCCGTATGGGATCCAGCACCCCAATGCTTGAAGACGTTCCGAGCCCACCACAGGTCTCGGACGTATCTGCATTCTCCGAACGTTTCTGGAGATGACAGTCCACAAGACTCTCTTCGTCCCATGAAGTGGTGTATGTGAAACTTCAAATCCGCTACAGCCGAGCCACCCGATGGGCATCTGCGGTTCAAGGCTACGAGATCTATGACGAGGTGTTGAACACCCCGGGGCATTCCGAATTGGAGTAGACCTTTGAATAAAACTTGAAAACTGGATGAGAATCTCCTAATTCCGATTCAAAAGTAGGTCTACGATACACCGCATAAGGGCGCTCACAAGACTTATACAACAACAAGTACCACAGCTACTACTACTGCATTCTTCACCTACTATCCGGTCTCTAGTGGCACCCTAGCTGATCTCACACCGTGAACGCAGTTACTCGCCTTACAAAAGAATTCTCAGCATCATTGGAGCGGCTGTAAATACCTCCGAAAATCACTCACTAATCGTCCAATCCTTTCCACGCAACACAGTTAAGCCTATCACGAAAGAAGCACCATGCACAGCAACACTCAGTCAACCTCAAAACTCATCTTTCGGACCAAACCAGATGTCCGATAAAACACATAGAAACAACTGAATTTCCAGCCAAAACCATATCTGAGAGTGAACGATGGTCTTATGGTCCCAGAAGCTGCTTGTAAAGGCTGAAATGCTTCTTCTTTTTCGTGTTGGTACTTGATGGAGGCTTCGTCGAGGACCCTCGCGGACTGGTGCTACCATTGCTACTCTTCTTGGAGTTTGGAGTGCTCCAAGCCGACAGATTCGAGTCATTGAGACCCGGGGTCGTTGAGCATTTCGACGTAGTCGACTTCCTATTACAGCTCGACCGCACAGACGTAGCGGCACGACCAGCGTAGTTGAGCGTGGATAAAGTCTCGGACTGATCGCTCAGGTTGGAAGAAAGCGTTGAGAACATAAGTACCTTGCTAGCCTTGTCACCTAGCGCACCCTGTAGTAGGAAAGTAAGCTTGCTACCGCGGTAAGGTATATACGGCTGTGCGCGATCGTCTTCGCAGTCGGAACTTTCACGTAGTCCACTCAGCACATTACCGAGGCTTGTCAGACTCTGATTTATATAAGAGCTCTCGGACTTCGCAGCAGATAGGAATTGGTCCAGATTGCCAGCAGTCGAAGCTCGTTTCAGCGGAGTCCCCACATTGGTCCAGTCACCAGAGGTCTTCAGTCGCTCCGAGCCGGCCAAGTCAACAAACCACACACGGCCCACTATGCGCTGCGGCGGTGACAACACCACCGCGGCTGTCACTATCAAGTGAGACCGTGATGAGCGTGGGTTCAACCTATTCTGCCCGACAGCCCGATTCGCCCGGGCCTTCTTCAGCAACGCATGAGCTGACTCTAGGCTGCTGGCAGTATGCACCTGAGCCAAGGACCATAGTCAGACGCCGACCAAGGTATTAGTCGTATTAGATTGACGATACATACTCGTATATCCATACCTACCGTAACTCCTGGCAGATATACGGTATCTCCAAAGAGGCCCACTTCAAGCAGGTCACTACTGCTACCACCGAACGAACAGCTTTCACCCGGAGACGACAACGCTACTGGCGAAGTATCGGGATCCGCTGCCTTCGAGCTGCCCCGGGAGCGCCTAGGCACCAGCTTGACCTACATCCTATGGTCCAATCACAGCCTCGACTGAGCCACGCTCACTTCGAGACGATTGTCAGACGAGCCTCCAGAGAGCAAGTCCCGGACATTCTCGTTATAGACTTCTACAACGCAGAGCGCGATAGACAGTCTTCTATCAGCAGTAGCTCTCTTCATCGAGTTGTTGAGCCGATCAACTTCAGCAAATAGGAGTTCCAAAGCACGTGGAATCAGCCCTCGATCCGCTTCTGTCGTTCCCCCTTCCAGAGTGTGAGTCTTACCTGCATACCACGCCAAGCCGCAGGGAGCTGTCGTAATGGCGAAAGGCACGTGAAGTGGTAACTCGAGCACGTCCTCACCTGTACCAGTCTGGCCGTAGGCGAAGATGCAGAGGTTGGTGCAGCCGCCTCTCATCCTGTTCTGCTGCCGCAACGGGGACGTCGTCCCATCAGCCAGCTGGGCTTGGATGTTCGAAGTGAGCGCCTCCATCACGGGTGACACCTCAGCGAAAACGTCCTCCTGTGTGGAGCTGGGAGGGAATACTGAACCGAAATCATCATCGACCGAAGTGGGCTAAATTCCTGCCAATCAAGGGTGGAATCAAGAGTAAACTCACCAAAATCAAAGTTGTACTCAGTCCTCCGACTATCAGGCACGACGATGCGGGTCCCACATGTGCTCACGTCCAGCTCCAACCTGCAGTGAAGTCTATGACTTAGCAACATCAGTGGTGGAGCACAGATGCCGCAGCGAACCAAGCAGAACATTACAATTCGAGTGACTCCTCTTTTTGCCCTGTTCTGGGCGGCCGAATTCGGCAGAAAACTCTCAAGCCTCCTCTGAGGTCTTGTATCTAACCCATGACCCGACACCAGCATCCACTCGCTCTAGTCCTACCTCATTTCGCAAGTTCCTTGTCAGCTCTCTCAGTGCATCGCGCTCCTTCATGATGCTCTTGAGCCCTTCACACACCTGAGGCATCGAACTCAGCCCGCCGTGTGAGATCCCCTACCCGATCGTCACAGGTAACCACATCACGACAGGCTTGGCCTAGAGAGCTGACCAAGGAAGGCACGTCAGCGTGACCCGCTTTCATCCACTCCCGACAACAGCCCTCAACCTGTGAGGAAGGCTCGCCCTCGCGCTCTGCACCTATCAATGCCACTTTCTCTCGCATGGCGGCCACAATTTCGTGCCGCTTCTCGTCCTCCAACAGACAAGCCGGACAGCACTGCTGCAGTACACTGCTCGACACGACCGATGCAACCTCGCCTGCCAGGCATGAGTCCCGCTAGTATACTAAGACTATCCCAACTTGCCAACTGGCCTTTCCCCTCCAAAGCGTGCCACGCGTTGTCTACTGCCAGCCTCTGGTTATTCTCCTTGAGCCGCCTGGTAGACTCCTGACCAACAAGCTCTTCCATGATGGAGATCACAGGCATCCACGATACTCTTGCCAGCCTTACATAGAGGGCATGCATCTCCCCGTACAAGTCGTCCATTCTCTTCGTATATTCAACCTGACCACAGCAGTCCCTCGGCCGAGACCATTAAGCCCACAACTAGGCTCTTGCGGCCACCTAGTCCAGTAAGGCCGCAATTCTAGTGCCACCACCCCACTAGGCGTGGTAGTAGCGCCTTGCCATGTCCATCTTATCCTACCGATATTTCCTGCGATGCACGAACACAGGCTTCCAAGGGCTCATCGAAGAAGCTCGTAGAAACAGAAGAGTAAGTCGACGAGGCCGATGAGCAAACGTCAATGCTACTGCCACACCGCGAAGGAAATGGTGTCGACTGACTAGCCTGAACATAGGCAATAGCGATAAGCAAGATAATTATCTACCCAACGTACCTTGCTGGCACTTTCCTCCCACATTTCCTCTGCACTTATCGGCTCGAAGGTCATACACAGCGAGAGCTACGCGCACTATGAAGAGATATGCGAATCTCCGGCCAGCAGACCAGAAGATGGATTGACCGACCCAACAGATAGATGGGTATTAGAAAATCTCAACGGAAAAAAAGTAAAATTACACACCCCTTCAATCTCGACAAACTGGCGACGGCGATAGAGCAGACCAACGTATACCCGGCTTTGCCACCAATTGGCGGGCGAACCATGCCAACGGTCTGAGATGACAACCACGACGACAAAGCCGGCACATCCTTCGCACATCCACAAAAATCTGGTGCAGATGCTAAGTAGGCGGCGTCGAGCTGGGCAGACCCCAGGGAGAGGACAAAGCAGTGACTTACAATGTCAAGGGATGTGCGTCAAGAGTGAGAAGGATGGTGGTATGCATGAATGTTACATGAGATCTATCTAACAATTCCCCACCAACTGACACCAACAAAGGGGAGGAGGCGGCTGACTATTGAGAATAAATAACAGAGATGAATCCCGATAGGGACCTCTGAGGGCTTTGATGATGATGATAATAATACTGACATTGCAATGATGAAGATCGGGCGATGAGGACGGCTCTCAACCTGGCACCAAAGTGCCACAATCAGTCCTCATATACAGCATCAGTAGAAGCCCGTCGCAGCCTCTCCACAGAGACATTCGGATATAAAGTCTCCCTCAGCTGTAAGGCACGACAATAGTCCACATAACCCTGCGTAGTTCCATCGAAACATACACTAGAAGGGTCACTAGATACTTGCAACCCTACATAAGTCAACCCCGTCGGAAAATCACCCGACATGAACCCCGCCGGCGAGTCACCACCACTACCTCTCCCATCACTATCCTCTCCCGTCGGCCACCCCTCCCCTCCAGTGCCTTCTGCACTCATCGCTACCATGGCCGGTGGACCTTGTTGCTGCTGGACATTACCCAAATGAGCGGGAGTGCCACCACCCTTCCCGACCCAAGGTCCTCTAGATGTCTTCGAGTACTGACGATAGTTGTCCTGGAGCCCCATAGAAGGAGTTTCCAGCAGTGATGAGCCACTGATGCCGTCATCTCTCTTCACATGGTGGTGCTGTCGTTCCCGCCACTGATTACTCTCCGTCTGCCCACGTTGTTGCTGCTGCTGCTGCCTGGCCGGATTATGGACGTAAGGGCAGCTGTCGCCTTTCCGGCAATTGCCTCTATTATAGTAGACACATTCCCTCTGTCTGCAGAACTCCACCGCGTCCATAACTTCCCTCACGGTATGACCAAAGCGGCACCCATTCACTTGGCACACTCGGCCCTCTGAGACTGAACGGCATAGTATCGTCTTGCTCCCCATACCGCTAGTGCTGCCGTGGTCGGGTGCCCCATTGTGGGGGTAGCTACTACCATCCCCTACTCGAGGCGGATGAGCTTTACTCGTGGGCGCATCAACTGATGAGCCATGAACGTGCTGAAACGGACAAGCGTCACCTCTCACACAACGACCAGAAGATCGGTAGGACCAGCACACGCCGCGGGGACCTCTAAACGATGTGTTAGAGCCGTACCTCCGACGACCGGCACCAGCAGTGACCAGACCAGGATTGGCAGACTCGCTCAGTAGAGCAGGTAAGCTAGTTAGTGACGCGTCTGGTGGGAGATCAGGTAAGATAGCCGCATCGTGGTCGGCCATGCAGTGTAGATGGATAGATACAACCTTATCAATTTCCTTACCACCACTACTACCTCTATTGTTATTCTTGCATTGATAATACTACAACACACAATCTTCAGAGAAACACAGCATACAAATTTTACGTTGAGGAACAGTTGACACTGCAAGCCCTAAAGACCGACATAGTAGTAACTCCCATTAGTGTTCTGAACAGGCGTCACACAAGGCGATGTAACCGACCATTCATACCACATCTGACAACAGCAAGCACTCATTGAAACCTAGCAGTGCAAAGGCAAACATCTCACCCGCCTTGTACTGTGGTCCACTCGACGCCAGATATTCCACGTGAACACTTCACCACGCCTAACAGTGATAGGAGACGCCAAGGGGAGGAATATGGGGAACCAAGAAACCTGAAAACACTACTCCCAATGCGAGTCCATGACCAGATAAGGGCGTACCATGTCGGGCGTATGTGTCCTAGGGTTGATGGACATCGTCACAGAGCCATACAGGGAGCATTCAAAGTAGCCTTGGAGCCCATGGATGACGGCATCAGCCTCAATTGGAAATGACAGGGATTTGAATCTACCCATAGAACCACTGATGCCTATCTCTGATTCTACGCCGCATACTCCCTACCTGTTGTCAGAACTACAATGGTGATGAGAACGGTCATCCTCAACCCGTTGATGGTCGAACGTGAAGACCTCCTGAGCCCCTATACTCGGAGAAGGATAAAAACATCGATTGGTTATGACCACGAATGGTGTCGATAGTCTAAGGGGGCCACTCAGTCACTGATAGCAGAGGAGAAGGGCCTACCGTTTGTCCGAGTTGGCCAAGCCCCCAGCTCCCAACGTGGTAGTAGTGTCTGCCATCAAGCACCGAATATCAGTCCACAGCGCTGGGCACATCATGGGCTGGCAAAACGACGTGTATCGGCGAGGGATGCACACCTGAGACATGACCCTGGGGTCCACTGAAAACCAGGGCAGTCACGAACCCCATCCGGTTTGAGTATCCTCCTCAAGAAGGCGTCCGTGAGGAGCTCTGGACTGGCCTCATTATCCCCAAAGCTCCCCAGGAACTCGGATATCACAATGTCCAGGGGCCCTGTCGGCGGCGACCAGTACCGTAGATCAGAGCAGACCACTTCTACCGAGTGGGCCTGAACGGGAGTAGACGCCTTAAACCATGAGACCCCGACAGCAGCGCTACTCACCCTCCATTCGTCTTTATGTCTTGCACGTGCACGCGACGTCATTACTGCGTCCTCGTTCTTCTCAACAGCGTAGAATACAACATCGCCAGACTGCAGCGATGACGAGGAAGCTATAGCCCTCAATGATGCCTCCACAAGGCCTCCTCGACCTGAGTCCAATACACTACATGCTAGACACCTACGAAGATCACTACCTGCTCCTACTACGGCTATCGACAGCTTCCCATCCCTCTCAAGAGGGCCCCTATCAGCCAAGCACTCTGCAACTGCATGCTCATATAGCATGTACTTGGTGAAGTCCTCCTCGAAAGTAGCGTAGGTCGTATTGTCCAGATCGTCCTGGAAACACCAAGTCCAGCAGAAAAAGAGGAGATTCTTACTTTCAACGGCTGTAATGGTTGCTGGAGTATGTCGAGATAGGGCTCACAGTACTTCTCGTACGCGCTCGATGGTGGCATCTTCTGGTACAGAGCCGCAACAGCCGCTTTCAGTGGGCCAACGAGATCGTCAGTCGCAGGTCTCAACAATACCTGTGCTTTCCTCTGCACCAAAGCTAAGAGAAGTCTTTCATGTGTTGGAGTGCCGATCGTACCCGCCCCAGTGAGGAGGTCTGATGACACTATAACCACTCGCACCGGCTCGCCAAGCCACCGGTCCGGACAGGGCCCGAGGTCTTGACTAAGACTGAGGGCCACAGTCAAGGACAGCGGATGATTCAGAAGGCTCCTCAGCGTATTCCACTGTGACCACATACCACTAGGTACCTCCTGCCACTGTTGCGAGGGCGTGGTAGTAGTGACAACCTCCCTCTTAAGCAGAGCAGCGTAGTCGACCAGGTCAGCTTCTGTCTTCATCTCAGCCAGAGAGGGAAGGGAGACTCCGTAGGTTGAAAGATACCGAGCCCACGATAGCTGCGGTTTGAGATCCGACACGGACGACACCCGCCCGACCAGAGAAGACTGGCAAATCTTCGCCTCAACAGAGAGCATACTCTCTACGACGTCCGGATCGCCAACATTCAGAGGTACCGACACATAGTCAAAGCCCATTCCTCCAGCGTCAGTGACTGCTGCTTGTGGCAGACGATCACCCTCAAAGTAGCGGCCCAAGAATAACGGCGAACCACTGCCACCATGTGGATGAGGTATCGGCATCGAGAATGAGAACACTGCGAGACGATAAGGAATCCCCTAGGGGTATTGCAACGACTTAAAATGCATTGAAGCAGAAGGGGAGAGGTCCATGACTATACTATTTCTAACCGGAAATAGAGAGCATACTCTCACTGAAAGTGTTCAGCGAGCAAAAACCAGTCGACTTCGTGCAGCAGACTTGAGATGCCTCTTAAGACTTGAACTCAAGTCAGGGGAATATGAGAACGAGGCGGAGACTTTGCCCAACAACAGGAGATTACACTCGTTGTCTTATCTGTTTCGGAGTTGGTCTTGATTTCCTTATCGATCCGGGCTCTTATGTGAACAGATAAGATTTTACGATGGGAGGCTTGTACACACTCAAGAGTACCAATGAGAGTCATCATATATCAGCAGAGATCAGTTGTATGTGATGACCTGCTCCTCCTCATCATCACCTCCGGTGCTGGAATATATGTTTGCTTTCCTCAACGCTTAACTCAAGAGTTTCCTCACTAATTGTAGGAGTCTATATACCAATTCGGGTAGAACTGTATAGAAACCAACGAGAATTTCTCAAACTTTCCTCAGATTTTTTTGTATTATCACCAACACATGTAGTTCCCACGTGAATATTTCCCCACGCTGACCACCTCAGCCACAGGGTGCCAAACGGCTTCGTTGTTTCAAGGGGGAGATACTTCGATAGATAAGGTATTCTGAGAAGGAGATTCCCACTGTGTAGATGACGACACATTCATCCCATGAGAGAACGGCGACCGCAACTTCCATCAGGACCGACAGTATACCATAAACAACTCCTACGGACCACATTATTCCACTGATACGCAACATAGGAGCGATCGCCTTCCCAACTGATTAGAGAATATCTAAACCCAGTTCAGCCATAGTCAATTCGAACCAGAGTGGACGAGCTTGGCTCGCATTCCAATACGTTCGCATAGATGATGAAAACGTGAGGTGTCGCACTGCACCGAGGCCCAGACACCCATCTCCGAATGACAAAGCCAACATGAATGAACTCGCAACCGGTATTATCGTGCTGTGGCTTAGCTTGCACTTCAATTCCTTATGACAGATGATACAAACCCCCTCTACTACCTTGCCGAACCCCACTGAGCTCTTCAGTGATATCAACACTGCCGACTTCCCCGCATCCATGGCAACTAGCTCTATACTCCTACAAGCCCCCAGGCAGAAGAATACATGAGCATTCACATCCATGATTGAAGATACTTGGCATAGAGCTGAAAAGTACTCTAGTGAAAGACGAGAATTTGTTAATCTGATAATCTATCACAACGACACAGCCTGCCGTCCCTCCCCTCTAACGCGATTCACACACAGAGATGTCACCAATTCCTTCACACAACTGCCAACAGTTGATAGCCACTCTCTTAATAATACAGGGATTGGCTGAGGTCTCACCCAAGTAGGCAAGGGCGGGACCCGAGCTCATCCGATGCTATTCTTGGCCCATGGGAGCAGCACGTACCGCGGCTCCCTTGTGATCGTGGTAGTAGTAGTGATGGACGCATTGCTATCAGTATGCACTACCATTTCCCACCAGCATCTCCACAGCGTGGTAGAGAACATGATAGTGACAAAACCCTCTATCCAGTGGCCAGTACTACCGTCGGCAGCATGAGAAAGAACGGAGATCAACGTAGACGATAAAGATCAGACAAAGCAATATTATAGGGGGCCACAAGGTCGCTTCTATTATCACTACTACTATCTCAACCACAACCATTCGAAACCACGAGCAACGAACGATTGCGGTTGCTCGAACAAATCCTCCAAGTGCAGTAGCTGCTACAGCAATGGAAGAAGGGCCGTTCGCCTACCCTGCAGAATGGCGACGATAATGATGATGATACACGCTTCTCCATGGAGAGAAGGCATAAAGACAACCACTCGGGAGACCGTTAGCATGCGTTGCCTGGAAAGCAGTCAGGACAGATCGCTCGGTGATAGTGGCAATGAGAGTAGTACTATAAACAGAACAACCGCGTCGGCTGTTAATGATGAGATAGAACACTAGAACGGAGCAACATATGACCAAATTTACACCGCCATCGCCCCCCACAACGACTAGGGAGATGGATGCTGCTGCTGTTGCTGGGTAGTAGTAGTAGTACTAGCAGTAGCTAGGAGCTCGTCAAGCGATGCTGACGTCGTTGACAGCATCTGGTCTCCGCCAACGCTCGGTGCTACTGCGTCAGGCACCGATCCAAGAACAGATGAAGTCTCGCTGCTGAGCTCAATATTCGTCGCAAGACAATGCTGCTGCTGAGTAACCGCTGGTAACGGTTGGTACGTAGATGTTGGGAGGGTGGTAGTAGTAGTGGCACTGTAGGAGTCTGGAGCCGAGTAGAGGCTCCTCATCTCAGCTGGCGAGGCCTGACTTGCCGCCGCTCTGCCCTGCTGGGAACCTGCTTCCGACAATGTCGGTGATACCCTCCGGAAAGACTGAAATACGTCAACGATATGCTGTGGTGGCTGTACTCCAGTGACATTGGGGTGAGAAGGGGTCCGAGATAACGAAGGAGGTGTACCAGTATAGCTCACCGTGCGAGGCAAGGTAGCAGCTGCCGTCACCCACGGCGGCACTGTCGGAGGCACACTGCCGGACCTCGCTATCTGTGAGCCCACGCCACCACCACCACTGGCACCGGCGACTGCCACCGTATGAGGCGGAGTGCCAGGCAAAACAACTCCAGAAGTGTCCCCCGACGGAGAGCTATACTGGATAGACTTCGATGGTGGAGACTGTGGTGGTAGTATCGTCATACTGCATGAGTGATGTAATACAGGAGTGATACCACTGGCTGATGACGGTGCAGCAGCAGCAGCGGCACCAGAGGACAAACCGTACAGAGTCTTCTCCATCATATCCATCGCTTTCGCCGACTCTGCTTGTCGGGCCTGCCGCTTTCGCTCCGCTTCCTAAGCGACGAAATAATTCCAAATCATCTTGCGAAATTCTATAAGCTCACCATCTTAGCCTTCAATTTCGCCTCTGCCCGTTTGGCCTCCCTCTCCTCAATCTTCTGTCTCCTCGTTTCCAATGCATCCACCAGCACTTGCCACGTCCGATCATCCATATTACCATCAACAGGGAGACTGTGGTAGCCTTGAAAGCCCTTGATAACCTCGACCGTGGCCGGACACATGACGCCTATCTTGGGGAAAGCTGTCGGCCTCACACTAGGCACCACCGCCGCCAGCGCTATCTGTACCCAGGCGACATCCTCTTCGGTCGGAGCATGACCATCGTTCAACGGTGGAGGGATCTCGGGGAAAATTGGGACCTCCGACGATATAGTCGAGGCGGCCCTACCACTCGTCGAATCAGCACCAGACTGGCCCGAGTCGCCGTACTCCGCATTCAGGACATCCTTATAAAAGTGCGGCACTACCTGCTCTAGGCCCACCCCCGATACTGAATCGTTGGTGAGATGAGCTGTCGTCTCCGGTGTCAGAGGCACATACTTGGACATACTCATCTTCTTAAGGAGCTTCCCTGTCCCACTCGACGGCTCGCCATGTCCACTCGGAGGGGAATACGAAAGCCGTCCTCCACTGGTGTCCAAGAGAGCCAATGCATGCGAGGTTGGCCGGGGTGGTGGAGCAGGGGGCGGTTTGCCACATGACGATACCGCAGGTACACCAACTCCATTAGCAGGCGTAGTGGGAGATGCTTGAGGCGGTGCTGCTGCTCGTGCGTCAGCCACTTCATCCGCAGGGCCAAGCGGAGTCTCGGCAACGACGGGATGAGAAGGGCCATTTTGCTTGGCAACAGCCGCCGCACGAAGATTCGTCGCGAAAGGAGCCGAGGCCGTGGTCGTAGGAGTGCCAATGGGCACGATCGCCGCAACAGCCGCATAAGTCTGCGGATTGATAGCTGGTGGCTGAGCAACCGGCCCACTCCTCTTTACAACATCAGACTCCACCGTCACAGGATTAGCTGTCACTACCTCACGAGCCTGTGCGCGCCTACCCTCGTCACCATCCCCCTCAGTAGCCGCCGCCACCGCCTCCCCAGACACTGTAGCTATATCACCCGGAGGTGTTCTCGGCTGCGACATGGGAGACTCCGAGACCTTCAAAGCTTGGTCCTCCGCGATCCTTGGGACCGGCGGTGACACTGAGTTCACACCGAGCTGCTTAGCAGCGGTGGTAGTAGTAGTAGTAGAAGTGATGCTGCTAGCAATAGCTGCAGCAACTGGCGGGGATAGAGGTATCCCTTCCTCGAGAGCTATCTGTTTAACCCTCATAAAAACAGCTTGTCGAATCTTCTGCACAAGACGGTCCCGATTAACCTCGCGCCATACGAGGTTATTCTCAAGCAGTTCTTCTGCGATGGAGTCGCAAGTATCTTCATCAAGACTGTACTCAAAGTTAATCCGTTGGAACCTACAAGAGGAGTGGTAAACGCCACTGTAGCGGCTTTGGAACCTACTTGTCCGTCTCCGTCTCGATAAGCAAGACCACATTAGTGACTCGATCCGACCCCAGCTCTTTACGACAGAAGGCCTCAATCTCCGGAGGCAGCTGCACTGTACCGTCACGAGCCACCACAGCCGCCATCACTCTCGAGTTGGGTGGCCTCCTCGCCACATCTCGACGGATAATCGCCTCGCCACCAGTGAGAGTAGCAGAGTTAGCTGCATCAATGTGAGTAGTAGCCGATATGAGCTGCGGCGCTTCGCTCGAGTCGCTGGTCAGGTCTATCCCGCCACCCGCTCGGGCGCCTGCGTCCGGTTCTGCGGCCACTGGTGCCGAAATGGTCCGCTCACTGAGAGAAGTATTTCAAAATACGCAAAGTGTAATACCTACCTTGAAGCTATCCCACCGTCGCTGCTCTCACTAGACGTTCGGAGCCTCTGTTGGCCCACGTCTGCCGGAGTGCTCTTGACGCTCTCACTGTCAGTCACAACTCCTGGAGGAGCGACTAGCTGGAGTGAGCGTCTCTCTCCAGAGCCCACTTGCTGCTGCTGCTGGACATCTACGTCCTCCTCAATTCGCGCCTCCGTTCTGTGAATCACAGTGGGCATGCCACTACGTCCAATCCCGTCCCCGCTACCCCGTGGAGTAACAGTCGCCGAACGATCTCCATTAGGAGTAGCAACGGTAGCCGCCACACCCGGCTGAGCACTAGCAACGGTATCCACCCCAACAGCGCGGTCAGGCACATTAGAGAGACCACGCCCCTTTCGCGGCCGATGACCCTTCTCCTTATTAGGGCTCTCATCATTAACACCCTCACCATCGTCATCTTTGGATGACGGCAATGGCTCGAGAGTGGCTAACTCGTCGCCATCGTCCTTCTGGTCCCAACAGGACATCGTCAGCAGCTCAGCTGCTGTGGGCCTCATAGCCGGGTCCTTCTCGATGCACTGCTCGATAATACGCTTTAACTCCTTGTTCTGTATTCGCTCCAAACTGTCAGGCATCTCCCCATTAATAACCTTCTTGTAGATTTGGCCCGGAGTAGCACACTCAGCATAAGGGAACCTCCTCGTGACCATTTCCAATAGACACATACCAAATGCATAGATATCCACCGACGGACCATAACTCTCCTCGTACAGCTCGGGTGCCATGAATTCAGGGGTACCAACAATAGAGGTGGCAACAGAGGCATGCTGCAATGCAGTAGAAAGGCCGAGGTCGCCAATAAGAACCTTACCGTCGCTACCGTTGATAAAGATATTATCACATTTAAGATCCCGATGAATTACAGGCACCTTGAGCTGATTGTGCAAGTAGTTGATACCCTCCAAAATCTGCTTACACCACATCCGTATGACCTTCACCTTCAAGGGCCCATCCAAACGATTGATGTATTGTCGTAGGGAGCCGCCATTGACGCGCTCAGTGATAAATACAACTTCCTCTTTTTTCTTGTTGATCCACGCATTGATGAAGGATAAAATCCGATCGTGGTCAAGCGACTTGGCAATTTTAATCTCGTCATCTATCCGTTTTCGCTCATGCCGCGATAGATGGGCAAAAGATATCACATTCCAGGCCACCTCCCTACCAGTGTCATTATCGAACGCCAAATAAACCGTCTTATAACTGCCCGATCCCAGTTTCCGGTTGAACCGGTGAAACCGGCCTTTAGGGCTCTTCTCTACTACGCACTCATGCCCAGATTGAGAGCGTACCCGTCCACCACCATGTGGCACTGATGAGCTGCTGCTATCACTGCTGGACCCCGATGATTGGGGGTAGTTCATTTTTCAGCAACTCCTCGACAATGATAAAATCTGTTGAGTGCTCGTAAATTGCAGGCCGCGATTACTGGCGCGCGCCCTAAAATTACGTGACTCGCACGAGAATTTCTTGAAAACTTGGCGGAGCGTTGCACCAGTAGAAATCGCAAGAGTGTACGCAAGCACGCGCAGAGCACGCAATCTACACGTCCGTACAGCCTCACGTGTGTGAAGACACGTGTATGACCGTCCCATGAAGCTTTACCTATCAATCACATGGTTGAACAGGGAGCAGCAATGAATCAATGACATGGTGTGCTTCAACCACACCCCTATCCGATCCGGAAGGCAGTTCGCCGGGACCGCATCGGTGTGCATCAAGTGCAAGTAAGTCCACATCACGCGGACTATGGATCCCCCTGTAATGGATCGTTCGTTGCCACATTATTAGTCATAGTGACGTCCCTTTCGTTGTGTGCCGCAGGACTGTTTGCTGTTCTCGTTGCGCGGACGAGACTAGTGTATAGCTTCTGTGTGGGATATCGATTCTCGGATCGATACGCATGCACAGGGTTTTCGAGGAACAAGAGTTAAGTTAAGCTTTCGGCTTTTCCCCTTCCCTCTGTCGAGTTCAGAGTCGGGTCTGTCTGACGGTTCTCAACATCTGGTGCCCAGACCCAGGACTCTCATTCCGTACAAAAACACATGCCGTTTAAACTTGAATCAGTGCTGGAGCCCTTCAAAGGCGAAGGTGACTTTGCTCTATGGCTGAGGGAGTTTGACACTGTTGGTGATGCTTCTAAGTGGAGTCCACGCCAGAAGGCGCAGTACTTGGTCCTGTTCATGAAGGGTGCCGCAAAAGATGTCGCTCGGCAAGCTCTAGATGAAGTGGAGGACGTGGTCGAGAGCGACAGGGTCTATACGCATGTGGTACGACGTTTAGGGCAAGCCTACTCTTTGAAGACAGGGCAAGCTTGGAAATTGTTGATAACGCGCTCATGGCGTGAGGGAGACACGGTGGATGGTGTGCTTGCAGAGTTCAAGAGATATCTGCGAGTCCTGGGTGTTACTTCCGGCGTAGCCACGGACGTGTTGCTCAAGGAGAGTATCCTGTATTGCCTACCCCCCGACGTCCGCAAAGCTATCGATGCGTTTGAGGAGGATGGGAAGGAACTTGCATTGAACGATGTCGTTGCTAAAGCACGGACCCTATTGAAGCTCATGCCGAAGAACACTCAACCGGTGGCGGCGGCCATTACTAGTGGCAAATATTGCTATGTGTGTAAAGCAACTGGGCACACAGCTAAGGAATGTGGCCGAAATGATAATGTGCCGAGAAGGAGACAAGATAAACCTGACAAGATGAAGAAGGTCAAGTGCTTCGCATGTCATCAACGAGGCCATTTCGCTAGAGACTGCCCCGCTAAGTCCGGCCTTAAGCAAGCCGCTGCTGCACAAGTCGAGAAGGGTTTTCTCAAAGCAAGGCGAGGTTGCATCGTGTGGCTCATACACTGTATATGGAAGCTTGGAAGATCTTCTTCAACGGTCAGGTTAGCGTAATGACAGAGCAGGTCGGAGGCTTAGGTGTGATGTGTGAGAGCGACAGATGATGAAAGGTTTACTGGGGACGCGAACTTCCATTACACCCGCATTGGAGCAACGCAATACACCCAGTATCAGAATCACACAAAGCATATCATGGAACATTAGATGTGGCCTGCATACTGAATTATACCGGGGAAGTGAAATGGCACTAACACAGAAGGGCATTATAGAAGGCCGTTAGGCGGAGAATGAGCTCATGCATCGGCCTCGAGCATCTGGTGAGCCATCCTCATGGCGGCGAAGAAGCGAAGGACCAGATCTTCCTTAGAGAGCCTACAATTAGTGACGAAAGTGGCGATGGCGAGACGTTCAACACCAGTTTGAGCGTCTGGAGGACAATAATGAAAGAACCTCTTGCGGATCTCGGTTTTCAGAACGTTGTTGACCGACTCGATGGCATTCGTGGTGAATCCAGCATCGTTGCGGAACTGTTTGGAGTGATTAATTGTCTGGTGCTCGGAGAAAAAATGAGTATTCCTACTGACAATGGTCTGGTAGCTTCGTAACTGATCGGTCACCAGAAGAGTACGATCTGCAGCCATGTCCATGATGAGCGGCTCCAAGGAGTTGGCAGAGCGATCAGGGACGTAAGAGGAAGACACATACAGGACCTTACCAGAGCAGGGATCTATGCCAGCGACGGTCTGTACCCACAGAGGTCCCGACTGACGTTGTCGGCGACCTCTATGGTACTTCCTTCGGCCAATGGCCGTCTCATCGGCTTGTATGTACTCGTAAGAGCAATGTTCTCGCTGGGAGACATTGAAAAGGTTACAGACTTCTCCAACGAGACCACAGAAGGCCGACACCGTTTTCTTCGAGGCATCACAATCACGTATGATCTTGGGGACAGGATCGCCAAGAATGATGGCGATGAAGATGGAGAGCATTTTCCGGAAGGATGTAGCGGTATGAGCCCAGATGCCAGACCGGACAGAGACCGACGTCTTGCCACATCGTCGGGCTCCACATCGTAAATACCATAGGTGGAGCCCTGACCTGGATCTCTTCTTGTAGACTAGGTTGCGTTTTCCACATGTTGGACACATAACATCAGTGGTCAACAAGCCATGGCACTCCAACCACGGTAATAGAGTCTCTTCAGTGCAAGCGGCAAGGAAGGCAGAAGGCGAGAAGGAGCGGCATGGAACATTCGAGAGACAGTCGAATGTCGAGCAGCCTTTGCAATTAGTGAAGGCCTGTTGGACAGCTCGGGTTTTGGAGCGTGTTTGGACGAGATTAATGCTCATAGGCGTTTACAACTGAGAGGGAAAGGAAATCAGCACAGTATAATGAATTGAATGTGAACAAGCGAGACTGTAGCGTATCGTGGGGTAGTGCAGCATGCAATGCGGTCGAGATATCACACAGAACACTCAATTGAATAGCAGGATAACGGAAATACAACCTACTGAACAATAACTACGAGTCAGACATTAATGACGAGGGAGGGGCAACAATTTCTGTGCCAGGTATCTTACTGACGTCATGAAGTAGGCGGCTGATGATTTGGGATCTGAAGTGAAAGGTGACTTGAACTTGAGGTCGGACGAAGAGGTCAACCTGATAACTCACCTTGTCGCACCGGGCATCAGTGACTCGTTGACCATGAACTCTCTGGCAGTATCCGTATCAGGACACAAGATAGGGGTATCGAAGGTAAGGGCTCTCCATACCGCGTTTGTCAGCCAGCCATCAACGACAAGCTTGAGGTTACCACTACCAGGAGGATCGTCGGTGTGCAAACGCAGTTTGACTTTCCTAAGCTGGAAGAAGTCAGTTATGAGTGGGTAGGAGGGCACCGATCTGGCACTGGCGGGTCTGGCGGCAAGCAGCTGAGAGGGTATAGGAGCTCGATTGTGAGGCCATAGCTGGGCAAGGCGGCGCCTCTGGGCAGTTGTCATTCCAGCAAAGTCGTTAACGAATCTGACATAGAGAGATTAAGATGAAACGTGGTGAAGTAGTCAAGTTGGACTTATGTAAGAGTCTCCGGCGAGCGAGGTCTTCGAACCACGAGGCTGGGGGTAAGAACTGTCCAGCGCGTCGTTGAAAGCGCAGTTCGCGACGGGTGGCAGGGGAGAGACATGGAGGCCTTCGTTGCGGAGAAGGAGGAGGAGCGGCATGATCTGATGAGGACATGAGAGGGCTGAGAAAGGAGGGAATCGATGTAATGATGAGCTCAGACACCGAGTCTTACTGTGGGAATAGATTGAGGAAGGAAGCGTTTCAAGAGAGCAGTAACATATTGACGAAACGGGCGAAGAGGCAAAGTGAAACGGGCGGAGAGGGATCGGGTGTAACAGAAGAGGGCAAGCTGGGTGTAACAGAAGTGATCTGAGCCAGGTTTTTACTTGCTGGCGCTCCTCTGAGGGAGACCCCGATAAATTCCAACGCAACACAATGCATATTGCTGAGCGTACCATTGCCTCCCCAGAGACTTAAAAAGCTGCGACAAGACGATATACGGCCAAGGCCTGAGAGAAATGACAGGAGTAGTTCACTTGGCACGTACATGTGGACCACATGATGTGGTATACGTTTCTGTTGGTGACTGAGGATGGTACGGGAGAATCAAGCGGCATGTTCAATAGACTTCTCCTGAGTCTTAAGAGCGCTGTCGTAATCTAGTTTTACGAAATCCAATCCTGGGGGCGCTTCTGAAACTCAGGAGAGGTCCATTGAACACCCCGAAGAGAGCGGTTGGTAACTCTCCAAAGATTTGTGAGAAAATGCAAGAATGCAAGATTTCACCGCTTTGGTGCGCATAAGCTCGACTTCAGCGTAATACATGACTAGCGGGGAATTTTTCTGGTTTCCGCGTTTTCTCGCGTAGTTCTGTGGTTATTCCTCGACGTGTGATTAATTCCTTCATCGTTGCGCGTTGATTGGTTTTGGGTACGATGGTTGGAACATGAGCATTTTTCATGGTAAAAGGTCAACTTAAGCGTCCTGCTCGTTTGTGGCTTAGCGGTTCGGTTATCAACCATTTTTGGAATTTCGTGGCGCGCTTTGATATGCCTTGCAGAGTTGCATGACACTGGCTGTTGTAGTTTCAACGCTTGTTTTACGGTAATGCAAGAATCACATCAGCGTCTGCTCGAACAAGCCAAGGCTGCTCCGGATGATTTCTCGCGAGAGGCCGCTATTTTGAGCTCCAAGCCTGACTGGCAGTCGTAAGTCTATTCGTGGAAGTTGATCCGGGATAACTTATTATGCCAGGCTCGAGAACGCTGGTCAGATCCCTAAGGGTTCCGCCCAGTGGTTGAATCAGATTCACGGTACTTCTAGCAGTGCAGTGGTGACTCTCGCCCAGCGTAACGAGGAGGTCAGTGCTCATGCCTCTGCATCTTGAGATGACATGTTTGTTGTCAGGTCATCAGCGGCCTTCTTTCCGTTCTCAAGAGCGTCGAGGACATGCATGCTGTTCAGTACGCCTTCACCGTCATCTATGAGGCAACGTAACCATTTGCCCTCTAAGTTCGCATCTCCATTTCATGCCTACCTTATCCTTAGTCGTTATGACTCTTCCTTTTGGAATCTCCTTGTCGGCTTCGCTAGGAAGAACGACATCATGCTTCCCTTCACTCGTTTTTTGAGCTCTGATCGTGCTGCAGAGGATTCCTATTCCAGTGATAAGGCTGTAAGTTGTGATGGTTTAAGTGTCCGTGATCGAATGGGTGTGCTTCGTGTCAGCTCTACGTCTTAACAAACATCATGAGTCACGACGGTGGTCGGAGGTTCAATCCCCAGGAGGTAGGTTAATCGCTCTCCAGGCGCATTTGGTTATTCGTAGTGACGTAGTTTATCATCGTGGCAGGCCAAGATGATTGCTGATTCCGTTGCTGATGACAAGAACATGAAGTTCAAGGGTGTCAGCGACTTGGGACGTCTTGATGGTTTCTGCAACCTCCTCAAGTTTGATGGATTCCGTGCTGTTGTCTGGAACAACAGGAAGGTCCAGAGGTGCATCATGAACGCTATCTCGGGCGTTGAATCGTCGGACCCACTGGTCTTGTATCGCGGTGTATTCTGCGTATGGTGCGTCAGCTTTAATAAGGAGCTCGTCTCCACCTCAGTCGCCGATATGGGTGATGACCTCGTGCAGGTGGGTTGCTGCTGATAGTTGTTTTAGGATGGTTATGTTGCTTCCCCTTAGGCCCTTCTTTCGGTTGTTGCTAACTGCCGTGTCGAGAAGGTCATCCGCATGACTCTTGCTGTGTTGTCCAACTTCTTGGGTGACGACAAGATGTGCACTGCCATTGTGGAGAGCGGCATCATCCACTATGTGCAGAATTTGGAGTACGAGAAGTGGCGCGATCAGGAGCTCTATGAGGACGTCCGCAAGGTCGCTGCTATGATTGCCAGCGAGGTAGGTTGGAAAAGTCATTCGTATCTACACTATGTATTTTTAGATCAGCACCCATACCAATTTCGAGCGTTACGAGAGGGAGCTCCGAACCAACAAGCTTCGTTGGGGTTTCATCCACTCGGAGAAGTTCTGGCTCGAGAACGCTGAGAAGTTCGACAGGGAGCAGTTCGCTGCTGTGAAGGCTCTCGTTGCTCTCCTCAAGTCCGACTCCGCTGACGACACTACCAAGGCTGTTGCCTGCCATGATATTGGCGAATTTGCCCGCGTGTACCCCACTGGCAAACAGGTGTTGAACCGTCTCAGTGCCAAACCGGCCGTTATGGCTCTTATGACCAGCAAGGACCGCGATGTGAGCTCTAGTTGTTTCCCCTGTGATGGTACTGTTATTGATCAGGTCGCTCGCGAGGCTCTTCTTGCCACTCAGAAGCTTATGTTGAACAAGTGGCAGGCACTTCAACAGGGCGCCCTGTAAAATGCTAAGAGTATTGGCGCCGGTGCTGTGAGAGCAGCAATACTATCACCATTCCAGTGTGCCTTTTTAACAAGTACAGTTGAAGAGCAGCAGTGCATAGTTTCCCTTGTTGCTGCTATCCGTCATCACGACCAATATCGTTGTTGAGATATTACCATCAGGTGGGCGATTTCCACTGTATGCAGTGGAGGCTTTGGTGTTAGTGCCTGTATGGGCTTGTGATTCATCGAGAGTAGCCTGGTGGGATATTTTCCCGTTCGAATGGTCTTGTTCTTTGATGGAAGTCTCACAGCTGTAGCATTGCTGATTAAGCTGCTCAACCTCCACCGACTGAGTTTCCTCTTCTCCTGGTCAGCGTTGTGTTCAGTTCATCGGGCAATGCTAGTTGGGTAGTTTTCTATACAATGGCAACTATGGAGCCACCATGGAAACGACTGAAGGCGGCTCCGAAGCCACCAGCCCCATCACAGCCTGCAGCGCCTGTCCGACCGCGAGTTAATATAAAGCCGGTAATCGATCTCGTACAGGAGACAGTGGAGTGGCCGGTCCAGCCTGTCCCTGAGGTTGTGATTGAGCCGTGCTGTAGGCATTACAGAGATCTCACTAGAAGTACAGAGAAGGTAATAAGACAGTTGCTATGAGAAGTAGTGTGAATACGAAGATATACGTTTAGGTCAATTTGACATTGTCGCGGCGAGGCGCTACAGAAGTGGTAGGAGAGGCTGTGGTGGAGTCCCCAGCAGAGCCTGTGAAGGAGGACCCAGATTCCAAGGACCCCGAGGCGGTAGGGCTAGGGGTGGGGTCTGGTCGGTCGTGTCTGTGATCGTGGCTGCTTGTGATAGGGCAACTCGTTGCCTTGCTGTTTTCACTCGTGCCAGAACTTCCCTTATCTGAGAATCATCGAAGTCACATCCTTGTAAAGAAACGATTATATCGCGAGTGAATTAATACGAATCCTGAAACCTTCGTGGTTGGTGAAATCGCCTTGACGAATCTCAACGACTTACTCGTAGCTCAAGACATGACTTGAGATAGTCCTCTGTCGCTAGACGGCAGGAATCAGTCTAAACCTAGCGCGAAAACTGACAATCCGACAACGCGTCGAGTTGATGGGAACCCATATTCCGAAAGGCCTAGTGCACACCGGGAGAAGTTGAACTGGATTTTACTGACCGTACTCATGTCCTCACCGTCGGGTGATGTTCAAAGCTCGAAGGTGGTACAGCCTGAATAGCAGGGCATACCTCGACCATGCATGCGCACACAGGAGCCATTGCTCTACCACTCGTACTAGATGACAGATCCAATCTTGTATGGGGATACTGCTGCTGTGTTGTGAAATCAACCGGTAGCCTGTTCACATAGGAGTCGTTTAGCAACTTTTCTGTTTAGTTGTCAAAATGACAATTGATATTACGAAATCGGGACAGCGTCGCCCTCGTAGTTGGGCCGTCGGGCTCAGTCTTGCTCGCTACGCTGGTCGTGTAGTTTTGATCGCCGCTGTTTCAGGTGTCGACGATCTTATGTACCCTGAGGGGGTATCGTGATCCGCGGTCCATCACCCGAACTGAAGATGGATCTAGTGGAGTGGTGGCGGTGGCAGAGGAATTTCGAGGCACCTATGGCCACATACGCGACAGGAAAGCCTCCTCGACGGTCATCCTCGGGGACTCCAATACTGAACAACAAGCGGCGCAGACGTCCTCAGTATCGGAGTCGGACTCGAGCCGGGACGCCACGGTTACACCAAAGGGCGATGGAGAGGAACGAAGCGTGGAGAGCCCTAGTCCGGTCAGGAGTCCGAGCCAGATACCCTCGCCGCCGTGGATGAGGGCAGCTCAGGCAGCAGCGGCCAGCATGGCATGGTTTGGGAAGGGCAAAGGGATGCCCTTCATGGGCCCGGCTGCTTTCGCGAGAATGGCTGCGATGAATCGAATGCGGGCAGCGCAGGCCTATCAGGACCCCAGTTCGCAACAGAGGGATATGTTGGCAAGGGAGAGTAGCGAGGAGATTGCCAGGCAGCACTCGGCAATTCCGAACACACAATCAGCTGTCCCTATGGATCCCCGCCACGCCGTCCCTCAGGGCATGGTGCCTGGCCTGCAGTACCAACCGCCTCGGCCGGTTGCTCAGACTCCAGAATGTCTCGTTCCTTCTATGCCGTTACCACCGTACCAAGGTGGTGGAGGGCAATTCCAATCGGGTGGCGGCCTGCCCCCCTCCGAGCCGCCTCGGCCACCCCCCACAGGGATTCAGCAGCAACCTCCGATGCCACCATGGCCACCTCGGGGTGTTCAGTACGGACAGCCTCCGAGAGGGACCGGCGGCATGTACCGTTGAGTTTATCATTGCTATTACTGTAGCATTCTACATTGTTTCCAGGACTCCTTTGCTGCCTTGCTTCGGCCCGTCTAGTGACTTGGTGTTAGTATGTATTACCCTCCGTATGGCAGCAGACGTTGAGTCTAGCCAGGCCTCTTCAAAGGCGTATCCGAGCGTAGCAGAGCCCTCGGCGCCAGACTATGGAGCCTACCGAGAGCAGCAGTACGGGGAGTCTTGTGGTTTGGAAGGGGCCTCGGAGCATCAGGCCTTCTACGGCTACAGGGCAACGGCAGATGATTATAATAGTGAGTATAGCTGGTCTCAGGTAGGTGGCGACCGGAAAGCCGACAATCTACGTTGTGCCTTTGCTCAGCGGGGGCCGTCTTCTGATCACGAATCGGCGGAAGAGCGGTACGAGCATACTACCAGTAGTGAACCTCGGCGCGCTTCCCGGTCAGCTGACATATCGCCCGAGGCGGCTGTTCGGGCCCTCCTCTATCATGGTGCCTGCTACACTGTGCAGTGTATCAGAAGGGCTGGGACTTGGGTGGGCATTAAACTCTGTAACCACATTGAAAGGTAGTCCTTGGAAGGGCACTGTTGAGGGCAGCGGGGATCTCCCCTGGTCAGGCGATTGGTTGCTAAGAGACAGCGCCGAGTGGCTCGAGATGAGGCCTCCAATCGTTTGGCACTCCGCTTGGTGGACGGGGCTTTACAGCAGACTCGCCGCATTCACGACTGGTTGGCAGTCCGGAACCTCTGACGCTGGATGCGTATCAACAGCATCGATTTGTGTGTATTCTTGATACCATATACCTCTCTAATCACCATTGATTGTTTCTAGCCACGACTGTGTTCTGCTACTAAAGGGTGGTGGCCATACGGGCTTATGGGTAGAGTCAGGCGCCGCCGCCGCTGTTGTTATAACTATGCGCCTCACGGCAGACTTGATAGAGCAGAGTGGCGAGCAGATGATCACCCCAGCTGGTGATAGGGCTCTCGTCCTCCGTGGGTAGGAGGTGGAGGGCACTAGTCGTGGCTTAGTGGCTGTGATGGGTTCAGGTTGAAGATTCCGGTGATGGAGAACTTGAGTGCCACGAAGGACCATTACGACTGTCTGGACCTCACGGACAACGATATCGCGAAGATACCCAATGAGAGTGCCCCTCTCATGCGGCTGCGCACTTTGGTACTCTTTCATCTGTGAGTTGCATGCTCTGCAACCTCTGATCAGATGCTCGCCAACAACCGCATTACTCGGATAGGATCTAAATGCTTTGATAACATGCCTAATCTCACCAGTGTGGTCCTCACTAATAACCGTATCGAGAAGTTGCAGGACCTCTACCCGTTGGGGCAGTGTAGGGCACCTCCTGCTCGGTCGTGGGCCAGTTGTCTTTCTCAGTACGGCATTTGGAGCGTTTGACTGTGCTGGACAACGAGGTCTGCAATGCGCAGCATTACCGACTTTTCCTGATACACATACTGCCCAAGACTTTGCGGTTTATCGATTTCTCTAGAGTGAAGGACAAGGTAGTGAGAGTGGTCAGGGATGGGAGGCAGTGGTGGATGGTAGGAGCGTGAGGCGGCGGCAAAGCTATTTGGTGGCCCTGAGGGGGAGAAGTTCCTGCTCAAGATCGCTCCTAAGGTTACTCAGGATGAAGAGAACGGCGAGGAGGCAATCGTCAAGGAGAACGTGCCTAATGGTAGAAGTTTGGAAAGCAGTCGTGGTCGGGGTAGTGTTGGTGTGCAAAGGTACTTCTGCTGCTGATAAGGGCCTCCTCCTTGCTCGCATCAAGGAAGCTATAGAAGCAGCATCCTCAATGGAGGAGGTTACTAAGCTGGAGAAGGCCCTCAGGACTGGTAACCTAGCTGGCTTTGGGTATGCCCATCTCAGTGCTTGTCCAGGAGAGATCCCTCCAGGAATCGAAGCGCGGCTGTCTTCTTCCTCCCTTTCCGCGGCCACTGCGACGATGAGTAAAAACGTTGAGTGATATTTTGTTTCGGCATCAGCGCTCTGGAGGCTGATACCCGACTGTTGCATGGCGCTTGAGTTCATGTGGCCAGAGGATGAGGGCTTGCAGGAGGCTTTTCTCAGTGACTGTCCTATACAATGTCACCACCACTCCCTGGTTGGGATGACCCTGCATCGAGTGCTGGGGCCCCTCAGACCAGCACCCCCCCAGCCGAGTACAATGGAGGGCGTCGAGGTAGCAGCTCTGGCGGCAGAGACGAGCGTGGTAGGAGGCGGAGTAGGAACGACTCTCGTGGGAGGAGTCGAGGCTCAGGTCGGGAGAGTCGAAGGCGTTCAAGGTGGGTCGGCCTCTGGGTGCCAGCCAGGCCGCACTACACCTGGATGGGGTCAGGTCCAGAGACCGTGGTAGCCGTCGTCACCGCGGGAGGTCTGGGTCGTCGTCGGGGTCTGAGAGTCCTAGAAGCTCAAGATCACGGTCTAGATCGAGACGGAGGCATGCGAGGAAGAGCGGCTGGGATGATGAGACGGAGCAGCCCGAAACAAAGCAAAGCAACTTCAGTAGTGCAGAGGGGCCATCTCGGAGGGTTACCATTTGATTAGGCTCGGCCCCTCCGGACGGCTCAGTCGACCCCCAACAGCTCCTCTTGCAGCAAGCAATGATATCTGGTGGGGCTGGGGCCAATAAGAAGGCGAAGGAGGTAAGCGGATAGTCTATGAGCTCGGCTCACAGTATCGCCTGGTTTCAGCTGTATGTGGGTAACTTAGCACAGGGACAGGCGACGCAGGCCAACATACGAGCCTTCTTCAACAACGCCTTGTCGGCTCTACCAGAATACCAACAGAAGTGAGCTCAAGTTGGTCATTGACTAGGTCAAGTCTTGTCCCGTTTAGATATGCGGCACTGTTGCCTACTGGTGCAGTGAGGGAAGTGAGGATGTCAGCTGAGGGGATGTATGCCTTTGTGGAGGTCGCGTCGGAGGAAATCGCCGTTACTTGTCTGGAGCTGGATAAGGCTGAATTCCTCGGTATGCATTGTATAGGTGGGGGTTGCTCATCGACATGATTTTAGGACGGCCACTGAAGATCGGCCGACCCACGGGTCTAGTGCTGCCGGGCCCTGCCCCACCCCCGATGGACGTCAGCGTCCTGCGCAATCAAGGCTTCCTACCTAGTAAGGGGACCTTCTGCTGTGAGTTGGGCCCATCTGGTCCTCTTCATTGTCAGCAAAGGCAATGCCGTCGAACCCCTCACAGAGCCGGAAGCAACGGGAGCTCTATGTTGGCAATCTCGCGGTAAGACTTGAAATGAAGGGCTGACTACTATTGACGCTTGGTGCCAGATCGGTGTGGTGACGGCGCAAGTCCTCCATGAACTGTTCGAGCCTGCTTGTAAAGTGCTCCCGGACTACGACCCGGCCCTGGGACCACCAGTGTTGCAAGCGGACATCAGGGGCGATGGGAGGTAGGAGCCGTTCGGAAGGTGGTGGGAGGGAGGTCATCGGAACCCAGGTTTGCCTTTGTGGAGTTCCAGAACGATCGATTAGCAACAGCTGCTTTGAGCATCTTCAATGGGGTGAGCATCGTCACGATGGGAAAGATGGTATGTTACGTATCCTGTTCAGATGGAAGTACTCGGCCGACGCCTGATCGTGAGTCGACCTCAAGGCTTCGTGGAGGGCGGCGCTGCTGCCCCTGCCGGTCTGCCAGGGTCAACTGGTCAACAATGGAATGCGCTGCCGCAACAAGCCGGTATGGGCGGTTGGGGTATGACCGCTAGCAACGGGGGGCAAGGCTGGGGTGGGGCCCAGCCGATGCTACAGCAGCAGGCATGGGGTGCTGGAGGCTTCTCCGATAACGCTAATGTGATGCCGGTACAGAACCCTCGAAGCTTCGGAGGTCAGAATGACGGCCAGGACGCGGCAGCACGAGCGGGGGCTGAGGCGGCTCAGGCGCTCTTGGGCGGCGGGAACTAGTGAGATGGATGGTGATGATGGCGGGCTGGTCTCGAGGCAAGTTTAGAAGGGGTTTGCACAGCCACCACTATCACTGGAAACATCATTATCCTCCGAAAGGGAACACGAGTGTTTGGTTGAGTCGAAGTTGGGTGGTTGTGGAATTTTGTGGCGCGCGGTCAGGCATTGGCGGTGTGGAATAGACCGTTCAAGTCGAGGAATATCATTGCTGTGTAGTACACAGTGTGTACGCGTGTACATGAGTTTTTCTACCACATCTGCGGACACCCAGTTACCAGTCGATATACATCGTCCTAGTGACCGTTTTGCGATGGGGACAGGCGAGGCGTTGTTTCGATGAGGGATATCTCTTAGTCTAGGCTTTTGGGGGGGCATTTCGGAAACCGAAATCAGCTGATATTGGCGAGGATGTGATAAGTTTCTGGGCATCACGTTGATCCCTCCAACCCTCTCCCTCTCCTCACTCGACCGATTCGTTACCCACGAGGGCCGATCTCAAGCAGTGAATCGGCCTGTTCTGTCGATCTCTACATATGAGCGTCTACCAACATCTCAGCCAAGTACCGCATTTGCAACCTAAAGAGTCCATTTCATGCCACCGGCATAACATTCGGCTCAGAGGTCAGAAGGAGCTGAAATTTCGTAAATGGGCAAGGTGGCAGGCATTGGAAAGAATGATTAACTTCATGCTTCCCTACGAGGGAACTTAGAGCCTCGAGCTTGACTACGACATTTTTCTTCGTGCCCCCACCTCCCCGTGGGAACAGCACGCTGAGAAAGGTTGGATTTCAACTCTAGCTTCTAACATGTCGCATGAGCAGCTCACCTTCTTGGGGCGCGCCCGGAAACGGCGAACAGAGAGTCGGCTTGTAGGGCTCGACTATCTATGAGACACAACTCGAGCCAACTCGAACGGCTTTCGAGGTGGCTAGGAAGCAACTGGCTGATACTGTCATGGAACGCAATGAATTGAAAATACGTCTTGCCGAATACGAGAACGTCGGGACCCCTTTGGCGATGATACCTCCAGGAATGTGTCCAAGGCTTGGACTCCAAGCTTCTGATGACAATACATTCGGGGTGTGAGAAAGATCCCATTTGATTAAACCATCCCATCCGAATAGTACCTGGCACCTAGTCATGGAGTGGATGATGGTGGATCGAGTTTTCCACTTCTAACTTCTAACTTCTAACTGTTGACTGATTTACTTTTTATCAGTTGTTCCGGCAAGACACGCGCAGAGTTACAGAAATTGATGACTTCACCGGAGCGGGGAGTGCTACTCGCAATTTGCGAGTAGCTCGATGGTGAACTGGTGTGGTAGTATTGCCACGAGGAATGAGCCCGGTTTTGACGTGTGGACCTGTACTGGGAGGTGCAGACCCTCAAACAAGGACCACGCTCTTGCAAGTGGTTCGGTGTAGGAAGATCGCTCACGCTTAAGACTGTCTCATCACGCTATGATTTTTCTGATTGGTCAATGACGTTCACCTCCAACATCCTTGATAGAAGTATCTCAACCCTAGAGAGAGGTGTTGATATCATAGCGGCGCTATGATATCATTTTACGCGGACTCGTATAACCTTCTGGGTTCGAGCCGTTTGATGATGAGGAGAACCTACGAATCGGAACAGTATCATCTCCGACTGTTCGTTGTCCAACATGGGGGTTCCCATACTCACCACGGTGCGTAGCCCTGCCTTGTCTAGGGGGCTATTCGAGTCGCTTCAGCGTCGGTCATCGTGGCTGAGCCCAAAATGCTCGCGTTGACCTGTTGTCATCCTGCTGGCTCTCAAGCATAGTCTCAGTCAATCTTTGAGTTGTGTTGTGTAGTTGTAGTCCTCTAGTGAGAGAGATGTTTTGGCGATGGCTAGCGGCACCAAGGGGACCACCAAAGGCACTCAGTTCTTACGGCAATACGTATAAGTTGATTGGGAAGCACCTACTGAATAGCAACACTAACGTTTATCGCTTCGGATTGCCATCGGGAGTGGGTTGGTTGAGATGGAATTGAATTGAACCCAGTCCACAGACACATGTCCTGGGGTTGCCAGTGGGCCAACACATCATGCTTGGCCCTGTGAATGCTGGAAAGGATGCACCAAGTCGACCGTACACACCGATAACTATCGGTACTGCATTGCATAAACTTCTCGTTGTGGAGTGGGCCACTCCAGATCAGACCACAAGAGGGTACTTTGATCTTCTCATCAAGACATATCCATCCGGCCGGTTAACTCCGTGGATCAATCAGTTGAAAATTGGTAGACTGACTGGACGAATAGGAAAGGATTTTTTGTCGTTAGGCGATGAGGCATTCATCAGTGGTCCTTTCGGGAGCTTCACTTACCAGGGGAAAGGACGCATCCACGTTGATGATGAGATCACAGGTGACCGAGAGCTTGTCCTTGCTCTGGCTCGTCGAGATCGGAATAGGGGAGAGGAGGCGTATGAGCTGTCAATCGATAGCAATGTTCGCTGGTGGAACAGGGATAACACCGATGTACCAACTTCTACAAGCTATCGCAGCTGATCCTGAGGACACTACCACTGTGGAGTTGTGATGAGCTTATCGCGTCGGTATGAGTGTGAGTATTGCGAGTGTTTAGGCACTTTTGTAACCGGAGTGTGAATGATATATTGTTGCTGGAGGAACTGCGGGCTATGGAGAAGGCGAGCATGGGAAGGCTTAGCATCAGCTTCTATGTTGATGAGGTAACCCCTATTGGACCCAGAAAGCGGAAAGGTAGGACCAAGACTGGACTCGTTCAGGGCCCCGCGTCAGAAGGAGTCTACGAGGGTGTATTGACTCAAAATGTTGTGGAAAGGATCATATCGAGTATTGACCCGACTGCAATGGTAGTCGGGGAAAGGGTCTCGTGAGTCGTTCCCAGGTTGTCTAGCCTGAACTAGCTCTTGGGGAAAATCGTGACCACCAGTTGTTGATCTGCGTTGATTCGAGCTGCTTACCACGTGTAGGTGTTGGGCTGTGGACCACCAGGCATGATGGACGATGTATTGCTGCCGGCCATGAAGGCTTCCGGTGCAACTACTGTTAAACGGGGATACATATTCTGATTCACGCTCACGGTTTCCAGTGTCGTAATTTCTTGTGCAACAGCACAGTGTCAATGAAGGGTCTACATGATACAACACTATCCTATGGGGTATCACACTTTTCGCTCTCGATTCTACCCTGATCCACCCTGCCTTCGCTCAGAGTGTAATAGTTCAGCTGTACGGCTCCTGTTGAGACCGCCATTACTCGCCATTCTTCGTACTTCTCTCGGTCATCGAGATTCTCTGTTCATAGGCTGAACCATAAAGCCGCCGAGCGCATGGTTGAGGTGTATGAACACAACGACATTATAGGGGGTTATCGTTCACAACAGTAATGCACAAAAGTTGCCGAGGCACAATAATACAGAATCTTCCTTCTATCGTTATGTGAGGTTTCGCCAAGTACTTGATGAGGCACCGATAGCGTACAAGGAGAATTTGGTGGAGGGCGTATACAAGCCGAAGTCTTTGATGGAAACGATAGGTTATTAGTGCCAATTTATTAATGAGTTTTGCTAGGTTAACTTCCAGTGTTGCACAGGGTGGTAGTTGACAGGCTAGCATAACCTTGCGACGTAGCCAGTACTGTATAGAGAACATTCCTCTGCGAATGAACGAGAGGAAGAGCGAGCGAGAAACGCTGAGCGAATGTGTAAACTATCAGCACGTATCGAGATGTTATGAGTGTACATGCGTCGTGTGTAAGCGGTGGATCTCCGAGTCTCGTGAGTTGATTCATGATGAATGACCTCTTCGGTTAAAGTAGCGTCACTTTTCGTACCAAGAGGCAGCCGGTCATACTGGCTGGTGAAACGCAAGCCGCTTCTAAACATTCACTCATGCGTTCATCATGACGAGCTTACATAGCAGCAAATGTACAGAAGTTCGCGACACAATGCAGTGAGGGACTTGTACACAAGATAGTTTACTGTGATCATTATCGCACTCATGGAAAACGACGGTTTGCATAGAGCTACTGTAAGCGAATTAATAATGCTGCGGCTGCATTCGGCTGCTCTGATTGCCGTGGATGTCGTCCTTGGCTAGACATTGTTGGGGTTGAATGCACAGATCTAGATCCTGGTCGTAGCGTACAACTTGCGTTAAACAATCTTGTATGAGGTATTGTTCCTGACAAGTGATAGCAGTTGATGATCAGTCCGGCCGATTCTCCCGTACCTTCCGTAGATGTTCCAGATCCGGGCGTTCCATGAATTTAAGGCTCTTGCAGAGTAACCCGGCTGGTGATGAGGAATCTATCATGGACTGTTCGTTGAACTCACGGCAAGCATATATCGCAGCCATCCGCTCATGGGCAGAGTCACCGAGGGATATAACACAGCGGCGACGCCTGAATAAAGGCCTGTTTGGAGCTGCAGGATCTCGGATGATCCTACCCAGGCAACGACGGCACATCCGCAAAGTGTGAGGCTATAGCGTGGCGAAATGCTTGCTCCTTCCACTCAAATGCCGACGCGAATCCCTGAGGGGAGCAGACGATGGTCAGCGCCCACGACGGCCGCAGCATTTTACTCTAGGCTCGAAGGTGCTTCGAGCTGAGGTGTGATAAATCATATTCACAGTTGGCAGCATTGACGGGAGAAACTTAGCACAGGTGAGAGGCAACCAACCAGTCTCGGCGTTGGTAACGATCATGACAGTACCTAAGGCGATGCGACGTCCGTCACCACGCTAACTTGATGCGCTCTACCCAGTTCCATTGCGGCCAATAACGTTGCATTAGCGAGCTGAGCGTAAGCGTCAAGTATCTTCCGCAGCTCGTTATCAGGATCGGGGCCATCAACTCTGAGTCCCTGAGTCGCCGTGACGATACTCTGTAATACTTAAGTCACTTTGGTACTACACATTCAACGGTGAGGAAACGAGTGGGAAGGATGGTATCGTCCCAGTCGAAGATGATAAGAGTATCCTCCTTGCAAGTGCCGGCAAACGCACTCACAATGGAAGAGTCTTCATCGCTGTCGCAGCTCGTTGTGGAACCGGTGAAGGTCGAGTCCACGGCGCTTACGTTCCTCCTGCTGCGTTTCCTGACTGCAAATGCAAGCGTTCGCTCAGTGGGCATTTACTACTCCTTTTCCTCCTCTGTCAGGCACCGCCCAGACTTAGCTCCAACATCGAGTGGAAAGTCGCCCTCAGGAACTGTTCTCGTTAACCTACCACGATTAGGGTGTTTGAGGACCCATGCATGAATAAGCAGCAGATCACCTCTGATCAAGGCTCCTCTTCCTCTGCTCCACTGCAGAGGAGGGCGCTGGCACTGGTGCACTACTGCAGGCTCTGTCGCGAGAGACGGCATCAGTCACGTTACCAACAGAGGGCATTGGGCAATAGATTGAACAGTGTCAGAAGCTGATCATGACATTGACCACACCTTCAACGCAATGGGACGGATGTTCGGAAAGCCGACCTTGCTCAGAGTACTGGCAGGTAGCTCGAGTTTCACGATGCATGAGAAGATGAATTCAAAAGATGATACATCACACGATGCTTCGTTTGGAAATACGGCATTCTGGTCTGCGTGAGTACGCAGCAACCGCAGTCAACATATACCGTGGCACAGGTAGACTACTACCAATTGGTCAGTAGGAATATTACAACTAAATTTGTAGTGTACGAGGGGGCTGTGAGTGTCAGCCACCATGGGCGGCCATAGTCGCCGCATTACACTGTGCGCCGGGGGCTTCATGCTGAGACACGTCACGGGAAGCAACACAGTGCTGGGGCTGAATGCATAGATCGAGGTCTTGGTCATAGCGGACAATTTGAGCTAGGCAATCTTGTATGAGGTACTGTTCCTGACAAGTGATAGCAGTTGATGGTCAGTCCGAACGGTTCTCCCATACCTTCCGTAGATGTTCCAGATCGGGGCGTTCCATGAATTTAAGACTCTTGCAGAGTAACCCGGCTGGTGATGAGGAATCTATCATGGACTGTTCGTTGAACTCACGGCAAGCATATATCGCAGCCATCCGCTCATGGGCAGAGTCACCGAGGGATATAACACATCGGCGACGCCTAGAGAAGAGTTGAACATGATCTCAGATCTAGATGGGCTCACCCTGGTACATAAGGAACCTCAGAGAAATGCGACACGATGGATTGACGGAATGCTTGGTCCTTCCAGTCGAAGGCCGAAGCGAACCCCTGATAACCAATCTTAGTGAGTTGCTGAATCGATCATCAATCACCTGAGGCTCGTAGGTACTCCTGGCTGAAGTGTGATAGATGGAGTTCACTGTAGGCAAGAGAGACGGCAAAAACTTGGCACAAGTCAATGGCAACCAACCAGTTTCAGCGTTTGTTATTATGATAACGGTACCTTACAACAATGCTACAGCGACCTACAAGTGAGTGTGAGTGAGTACCTAGTTCCATAGCTGTCAACAAGGTAGCATTGGCCAGCTGTGCATAGGCGTCTAGGGTCTTCCGAAGCTCGGGGTTAGGGCAGGGGCCGTCGACCCTCAAACCCTGAACGGAAGAGCAATTGTGTGTATTCACATCGTTGCTGTATTTGGTACTACACATTCAACGGTGAGGAAGCGAGTGGGAAGGATGGTGTCATCCCAGTCGAAGATGATAAGAGTATCCTCCTTGCAAGTGCCGGCAAACGCACTCACAATGGAAGAGTCTTCATCACCGGTGAGAGTGGTATTCTCTTCGCTGCTTGCTGTTGAACCAACGAAGGTCGAATCAGAGAAATTTGTGCCCCGACGGGCCCACGACCTGATACCGTGGTGGCCACAGATCGCGAAAATAAGGCAAGTTGTGGGTTTACGTGTTATACTCGGTGACACCGGCCTTCTGCCACCCTCCAAAGCCGTTAACGCCACTACTGTCAGTGCTGATGGACCTAGACACGGGGGCGTTATCGAGGCGTATGAGGAGAGTGAGGTTCCTCTACGATGCATATGAAGCAGTGGATGACCTGGAAGTCTCATCTACCACACCGACGTGCTGTGTATCAAACCCAGCTCGCGTAGGATTGTACATAACAAGCAGAATACAAACCGTACGCTACGTAACGACAACATATAAACGTGCAGCGCCGACCGTGACGATCCACAGGAATGGCGACAGCGCAACACCCGGTCAACCGTTTTATGGCTAACAGTGATACGCTCCTTAGATGCAAGACTAGTAATGACTTCACTCCATAGAGTCCGGCACAGTTACACAGGAAAAGTGAATTAACTACTAACTCGAGTACGCCTGAGGCGGAGAATCCACAATACTAAGTTTGTAACAGTAAGAGTACGAGGTGAAATGGTGTATTATTCAACGCAATGAGCAACATGGGCAGTTAGGTCAGCGAGAGTCGAGAAATCTCGTCGACCACAGACTGGGCAGGGCTCCAGTGTTTGGCTTTCAGATGCATGAACGGCTTTCATGTGCAAGTCCATGTCCTTGAGCCGCACCAATCGTCCACACTCCGGACACACATCAGTTCGATTGCCACAACGGGCCTCGTGAACCGTAAGGCCCATGAGCCGGTCTCGGGCATCCTCTGGGCTCCTCCCCTCTATAGGCACATACAGCTTGCAGAATCGACACAAGTGTGGCCGCTGGGAACATGAGTCTCTTCGATGCGACAGCAACCCGAAGCGGCCCTGGAGGATCTGCTGCCCACAGTCCGGACACTCAATAGGAGTGTGATAGACACGGCAATGGTCAGACAGTTTCTCCTTGTCCAAGGGCAACTTGCACACTTCGCAGTGTACATGTCGGTCCCACCGCTCTCGTCGAATCGGCTGTCGGCACTCGGGGCACTGGACGTAGAACCGCTTACAGCGCAACTCGTGCAGGGAAAGACTTGCTCTTGGGATACGGCGATGACAGTTTGAGCACGTCGCTGAATCCTCGTTATCATCTGGTGAGTCCTCGTTCTCATTCGCTGGCGATATCTCGACCGACCGAACTGACAGCTCACATGAACCCTCGGGGTCCGAAACGCCGATGTAGATAACCTCTGGCCACGCGCTGATAGTATTGTCAGTCCCCGAAAGGTCATATTGACGCAAATACTTGTCGATGTCCTCGAGGGAAACGGACAGGGTGGGTTCCGAAGATTCTCCTGATGACCACATGTAGGACACTGGCGTGGCTTCAGTGAGGGGATAGGTGCTGACGAACACCTCACCGTTCGATGCCGAGACCACCAGCTCACGCTTGGTACCGAGACGGCCGCGGGCTTCGTCCGACAAGACAACGCGATATTGAGGCGTCTCTCGGCTATCAGTGGTGACACCAACAGATGAACCATCGAGCTCAATGGAGCCAACGCCTTCAGCAGCCTCGATTTTGGTCGTGAGGTCGAGATCGATGTCAGCATTCACCACGCACACAGCAGGCGCGGGTTCAATCCCGGCAACATGCACATTAACACCATCAATTTCAAAAACCTGTCCAAGTGTGAGCGTACAAAAATTGGTCGACAGAAACCTTTCGAGGACACTTCTGAAATCTCTGTAGTCACCCAATGTGGTACCAGAAGCGACCAGCTTTACCGAAGTGCACAACGGCAGGACCTTGTACCGAATGCGGACCGCTTCACCAGGCATCAACCCAAGACCACCTGCCAACTGCGGGCCGACCAGAACCTGCCCTGTGAGTGCCGAGAACTCCCGCACACCACAGTGCAGTCGAGTGTCGTTAGTAGGGTTGTAGATCTCAAACATGAGGGGAAACTTCACCTTGTCGTCACCGAACGCTTGCAACTTCTCCAATACCTACACCAAGAACCAGCATTTCACAGTAAGGCTACTGACAAGACCTTCACCTCCTGCGGAAGATCCACCCGATCCCCTCCAAGGGCATCACTCGATAGCCACTGTAGTGACTCCTCCAAAGTGACCCCACCATCGGGCGCGCCTTGGTCACGAACCTCGTCGAAATGAGCTTTGATTTTACGCTGAGTGTTGACCTGTAGAATCTCCTCGGTCCTCGCAGCTGCCTGAGTGATTTTAGTAAACACCTTTCCAACGACGGCGATCCACCAATTACCTCCTCACGTAGCTTTTGCTCCTGCCCTTGCCTTTTCCGAAGCTGAGCTGCCCGCTTCCGTAGCTCTGCTTTTTGTTTCTGAGCAGCTAACTTGAACTCGAAGTCCATCTTGAGCAAAACTAAGACTAAGAAAACAGATCTTCCGAACATATGCTCCCCATGATTGAATTAACGCAGCGCATCGAGCACGATCAACAACAACTCACATGCTCAGTAATTGTTTCGTCCTATCAACGAGGTCATCGAGCCCACGTAATCCCTCCGAAAATACCGCAGAGACAAACAGAATGACGATGAAATTCAATCGAGGAGCACCCACAGTTCGATAAATGCATGGTTACACCAGCGCCGTTCCGTGTCCCCTTTCAACGATATGATGATCGGCGACTATGCTGCACACTTGAGTGTACAGGATGCCCAACATATAAGCAGCTATGGTAGAGTCACGAGGTTGCTGTATGATTGGTTTCTCCTCTCGACGACCAGCCCCCACTCCCTTCGAGCCCTGTCTTGGGGACTTCGATGCTACATCAGAGGGGGCTACCATGCGCTTACAGCTAACTGAGCTTGTGGGGCTAGTGGCAGTATACGGCGATGTTTTGTGGCTTATGCTACGGTAGGTCTGTATGGCTTGCCTAAGCTGTTCCCTACCGGACCAAAGACCTCCACCAGGGCAGTAGTTTCCAACCCTCATATCAACAGCGTGCTTTTGTTTCATACTTTCCTCCATGGCCCAGGCTTCAATTTCGCCGCGAATCAACGGTTGAGGGCGTTTGAGCAATACCCTAGGAGAAGGCTGCAAGGTCGACCCGCGCTTGGATAGAGGTAATCCATAACCCCAAGGTGGCCTTGATGACTTCTTGCGTTGTTTCTTTTTCTCGATGCCATCGTCAAGAGCGGCAGGCACTACTCGCGGGGGATGCAGCAAGATTTCCCTCAGGTCCCTCAGGAAATGACCATGAACATTCAGAACATCGCGGCACACACGTATCTCAACGTATCGGATGTCACACCACTCAATAGCCCTCGCCTCTTCCGAGTGAACAGGAGCGTCCATCGAGCCTCGACGAATATCAGGTAGCTGAAAGAAACGCAGTGAATTGTCCAGAAAGTCCTATCATAGTACTCGCATAAGCCAAAACCCCAGGCTACACCCAAATACAATCTCGCGAGAATCGACACTCACAGCTAACGTGCGCTGGATGAATGACTTCCGGACATACGACATGATATCGTTGGAGTTGGATGCCCAGTTCTTCCGTGTCTCGCTCACCGGGTCTATAAGACCGGACTCGCCGAAAGACGAGCCTAACAAGGAATGCCGTGTGCAACATGAGACGCTCGCACAGCGTACCACTGGTGAGGATGGTGTGGACCTCATTATCATTGGCAGGTATCTTCAATCTGCCTCGATTGACGACGTAGTAGTATCGTGAATCGAGCGTCATGACTTCATTCTCGACAAGCATGCGGCAATGAATGAAAGGACCAAGGAATGCAAGAGCATTCTCGGCGCCCCGGAGCTGCCATATATGGTTCTAACAACAGAAAGACGTGTGCAACGAGACATTCCGCCGGGGAGCTCACTTTCGCGAAGCACTCAGGCCCGGTCTCGAATGACCTCATACGGGAACCACTGTAACGGCTCGGATTAGCTCGTTCTCTGACGGTGGAACTCACCCCGTGTACCTCAAGAAGAAAACCATGGTTTTGACCTCTCACCTACGCACGAAAACACGCGACTGATTGTGACAAAGTTTTCACCCGTTGCTCTTTGCTTGGAGAAGGGTTTTTTCCGTGCCTCATGTCAATACAATTGAAGAGCTACGAGCAAGTTGACAGAGATCTGGCAGACTCGAGACCCGAAAATGAAAACGATTTCAGGCGAGCGACAATTTCCGGGCAACATAATCGCTCGAACAAAGCATAGCTTGCTGTCGTCACCTGGCAGATTTCTGATGTGTCGTACGTTACGGAAGAGCAAAGAGGTAAATGGGAAGCATGTGATTCATCCGGATGGCAGATTCGTTCGGTTGCAGAATGACTCTTTCAAGGGTTAAGGTGTAAGTGTTATTGACTCTGTGGCATGATGCCACTGGTATCGAGACACTGTTTCACGATTTGATGATGATGATGGACTTCGATTGAGTGCACTCTTACTCAAAACGTGAGGCGTATCAATAACAATCAGCTCTCATAGGAGAGAGTATGCTATAGTATGACCAGAATGCAACTTCATACACTGTTGGCGACGTCTATCACCTCTTGAGAGTAATCAGCCCTGGAAGAAAGTCCCGTTAGCCATGGAACTCCTGATATCATGGGGCGACTCACCTCTTTCTCGATAGCCATAACTTCTTCGTAACCCAAGCCATCAACAAAAATTGGACGACCAGCACAGCGAAGATCGAAATGGTAGTTACCAGAACCACGGCCAGTATCACAGAATAGTCTGGGGTACTAGTCGGAGCTTGGGAGCCGCTCGGTTCTCCATTCGGCGGCCTGAAGGGAATAACAACACATAAGATTACAACTGGATCAACTTAGGTCAGTAAGGCTTACTCTTCAGCTGTTGTCGTTTCTTCGTCATCCCCCTCTGGAGATCCCAGCGGGGTCTCCGTGGGGATATCTCCCATTGCATCCAGCAGATCCCCAAAGGTACTGGTTTCATTGATATCGGCTAGACCCTTGTTCAGGTTAATATCTTCGATCTCTTCCTTCGAGAACAAAATCGATTCGCCCAAGACTTGGGCAATCGCGCCGAGGCAGATGACGCCGAAGATCTGCGGAGTCATTTTAATGAGTGACGATTTAACTGTTGTGGATCACGGCGTAAGGAGAGTCATGCGATTCTTAAGAAGAATGGTCCATCAAAGTGGTAACAAGGCTAATCCAATGATCGCTCTACACCTATATCTATATGATACACTGAATGACGCGGTCGCAGGGGTGGCGGCTAGCCAGTCCAAGTGGGCAAGAAGAATTTCTTCATTTCGAGCGGCTCGGAGGTGCTGTTGATTCAGCGATTGGCGTCCCACGGTCTTTATGCCATCTAAATTGAGGGCGTATCAGCACTACTCACATGGTATGTTCACCGGACCCTGTCTGTTATCGAGGTTTTAGTACAACTGTTTGATGCGTTCTCTTTCTTTCAGAAGGGAAGAACGGAGATGTTTTGTTTCCAGTCCCTGACACGTTTGATTTTCGGGTTCAACTTGGAAGTTGAGTCACTTTTCAGAATAGGTACTCGGCGGATACCTATTGAGTAGCGGGTACTACCCGCTACTCATGTAATTCAAACGAGAGAGCTGTTGATTCATTCTCAACTTGCAGCATAATTATACGAATTGTGCAATAAGGACCGTCATGACGATGAAGCAGGGCCCTTGGACACGCTACCTAGAAGGAGCTCTGAGCTCTCGCGCTGAGTCAGCGCGTATCTTCTCGCCAACTGACTAACCATTGCTCACTGCCAGCGGCAAACGGCGTCATCCTGAAATTTTGCAATTTCATGGAGACTCTCCATTGGAGAGGAACAAGCGCAGAGCCTCGAAGTTTGAGGCTCAAACGTGATTGAGTCCAAGATGCTGCCATCTGCAACCAAGACGACGAGGGTCCTGAGAATTAAATGGCGGAACATTGTATCTGCCAGCTGCAACCAAGACGACGAGGGTCCTGAGGATTAAATGACAGAACATTGTATCTGCCAGCTGCAATCAAGACGACGAGGGTCCTGAGGATTAAATGACGGAACATTGTATCTGCCAGCTGCAACCAAGACGACGAGGGTCCTGAGGATTAAATGACGGAACATTGTATCTGCCAGCTGCAACCAAGACGACGAGGGTCCTGAGGATTAAATGACGGAACATTGTATCTGCCAGCTGCAACCAAGACGACGAGGGTCCTGAGGATTAAATGACGGAACATTGTATCTACCAGCTGCAACCGAGACGACGAGGGTCCTGAGGATTAAATGACGGAACATTGTATCTTGTTTTTCCTCCAGTGTCAGTCCGGATGAACTTGTGTTAATGATTGACTTATTATTCCTGACGGCCGACGCACTATTAGCGGTTTCAACATATCAAGTGCTGACCACAGCGGCTGAACCGGTAACTCACCGGCGGTAAGTTACCAGTGGTAAGCCTCATCATAAGCCTCTTCCTCCAATCAACAGCTTGGATGTTGTAAGGGCATAGTTAGTGAGTTCCAAGGTACGAGTCTTAGTATTTCCGCAGAAAGTTGCTATCCTCTTCTTAAACTTACAGGCGCGTAATTAGAGTCGAGATGGAGATGCCAGGATTAACATCTGGGGCCTATTTCACAAGCCATCATAAGGAGCGAAAATTGTAAGGTACCTTACGGTTTCATGGCAAGTCGCTTTCACATCCTTACGATTTTGGGGGTTGGCGTAAGGTAAGGTGGCATAAGGCTCCTCACCGTAAGGCTCCTTACCCTACAAGGTGCAAAGAGGGCCTCCTCATGTGAGGCGATTTCATAGGAGGGATTTTTGGGCCCCTCCTTGCGATCCTTACGTAAGGTGCCGTAAGACTGCTCGGGGGGTACGCACCTTATCGCACCCTCCTTACCATTTTATGCGAGCTTCGCTCCGCTTATTCCCGACAGCCCGCGCGTCTCACCCGCGGATGATCTATCCCCAAACCATGCATTTTTACCGCATACTCGTCTTGGCGTTTCCGTGATCTACGATCATGACCGATTGCTCTCAAATGAGTTGATGGTAAAGTTTTCGAGTTTGTTCTTTCTAATGGCACCATATCCTTAGCTTCATTGAAACACTGCGTCGACTCTTTCATGCGCATCGGTGTTTGTTTAGGTGCTCCTCGTGCTCCTTATTGGGGTTCACGAGGTGCACCTTAAATTTAGGAGCATAAGGAGCATGAGGTGCAACTGTAGTGAAAGCACCTCGCGTAAGGTGTAAGGCTCGTTGCCCCTTGCTCTTAAATCCAAGGTGCACCTCAAGGAGCGTTTCTTGTGAAATAGGCCCCTGAATTTGTCACGATAGCGCCGAAACTTAGTGGTAGTGCAATTCCTTGTCCTTCATATTAGCCGTATGACTGATTGGTTATGCGGCCAGATCATCGTTCGCAAGAGGACTAGGCGTGCCCAAAATGGTACAAAATTTGTACTACGAATTGTACCGTACAATACTTGAACTGGGTAATTCAATACATTCAACCAACAGCATAGACTTCTTAATTGGACTACAATGTTTGCCTTCATGTTCTCGAGAGTCCGCTGCACCATCGCGGTTAATGCAGTCTTACCAGTGGACCAGAAGTTTCGGTCCTGAAAATAATCCTCGAAGACACAGCCTCAGGAACGCTGGTTCTTTATCTCTCTCGGGCTTGTGGTAGTCATCATTCGACGTGGAGTAACTCATAGGCTCTCTCATACAGATTTTCGAATAGGGTTTATCCACTCTAGTATAATGCCTCGTTTCGCTCTTGATACACCTCCGTCCACTCCACTACTCGACTCCAGCACACTTCGGCTTGTCTTGAGCCGTCCGGATCTCCCTGGAAGTTCTATGGAAAGGTTAAAAGAGCATCGCGAAAAATTGAGAACGTACAGCAGACTTGTCAGAGGAAGAACCAGCAGAGATACAGACAGTACCACTGATTTGGAGTTCCTGCATCCAAATCAGCTTCGACATGAGACCGCAACGTTGCTCTGGTCTGTCAAGCAGTTGCCAGTCTTGTTGTCTATTCAACCTCGACCATACCGGGCGGGAACCACGTATGGCTCGCTTCGCGTTGATCACGATGTGTTGGTTCAATCATTGTTACGGTTGTTGAATACTCTGCATTTTGTGGACCTGTGTCTCGGTCCGGGCAGAGGTAGTACTGTCTTGGTTGAGGATCGTTATGAGTATCGTAACTGGTTGAAGAATGAGCTGGGGATCGAAGACAGTCCTCTTTGTTGTAGTAGTCACTGGTTGGCTATGAGGATATTGGCTCACAACTTGGACAGAGCCTTTTCCGAGGGCCAGTGCATCGCTGATATTGAAGAAGATGTGCTGAATAGGATACGCAGTAGCCTACATGGCAAACACTGATGCGATTCGTTCACTTGATCACCGGTGTGGTCGTTCAAAGGTTAGCGCTCGACGCTGACTTGGCATTCGTCTCGACCTTTCTCATAATGTCGATGTTTTCCAATTCCGAGTACATTCGTGAAGAATCTTCTTGTCAACGATATTACTCAGACATGACCCATATGGTGTGAGATTTCTAGTCGCCTGAGACAGTGTTGTGCTTAAGTCTGTTATTAGGAACTGGAGGAATGGTGGATCATCCGACCTGCTTGTGATATCGGGATCGCGTGTTTGTTCTGCTCATGATGGTCCCCTTTGTGATATGAGGAATTTCAGTTTATAGCATAATGCTTTGTCATTCCGAGTACTTAGAATAACTGTAAACCACCGTGAACATCGTAGGGACATTCTTTGTTGTTGCGTAATTAGGAGCTGTTGTTGATTGATAGATTTTGATGTGTAGTACTGTACTACTAGTACATAGTGTGTGCTCTGATTGTCTGTCTATGCAGCTTTTTGCATCCCATTCTATCACTAGGGGTATCCCTCATGGCGCGAGGCGCATTCATTGTCTTGGAGGGGCTGGACAGATCGGGCAAATCCACTCAGCTCAGACGTATCAGTGAAGCGTTGAGGCAGAGGACAGGGAAAGAGGTCAGCCACGGGGTCTTGTGTGCACGATTTGGCAATCGGAATACTGTGGACAAGTAGCGAATTTTGGAAGCTCCTCATTTTGGGTTGGATATGTGACAGCTCGCGAGAACCATGGATTTTAGGTGGTGGAGATGGGATTCCCTCGGCGGAGCAGCGCCATTGGCAAAATGCTGGACACGTACTTGCGGGACTCCTCTTCTAAAATGAGAGACGAGGCCGTGCACTTGCTGTTCTCGGCGAATAGGTAACGACTGGGCTGTCCCCGCGCCGGGTGGGCGGAGGGGAACTCCCTCTCTCGGTCCACGAGCCCTGGATCTCTACTGATCCTTGGTTGCTCAGGTGGGAGGCGATGTCGGAGATGCTGAGCCACTTGGCTGCGGGAAGGCATATAGGTATGGTCGCTATATAGTCGTTCCCTTCAGTTCATTGTTTCCCGTGTTAGTATGTGATCGATATATCTTCTCTGGAGTGGCATACACTGCAATGAAGGGAACAGTGGACTTTGAGTGGTGCAAGAGCGTGGATGTAGTTCTCTGGGGAGAGATAATACTACTTGGCATGCGTGGTTGTTTAGTCGTAGGATTATCACAGTCAACCGTTAGGGCGTATGATCTTCATAGTAGTCTGTTTGTCGGTTAGGTCGGCCTACCCAAGCCTGATTTGGTTGTATTCTTGGACTTAAGTCCAGAGGCTGCTGCCAAGAGAGGGGCTTATGGCGAGGAGCGGTATGAGAAGGAGGATTTGCAGATGAAGGTAGAATCATTCTAATACAGTGAGACTGGATCATCCAGTCTCACTGGAGAAGTTCTAATTTCTATCCAGTCTGGATGGAAATTAGGACTTCTCCTCGCATCAAATTTCGACGCAGAGCTTCAGATTTTCCGTACTCCGTTAAGAGTGACAAAGCCATCTGATTCAGGTGCGCACAATGTACACCAAGTTCGAAAAGGAGCCTTTTTGGCGAATATTCGATGCTGATAGACCGGCTGAGGAGGTAGTGTGGTTGTGGCTAAGGAACGCTCTACTTAGGATGTCGATCTATGTCTTGTGGAACATGCCTAAGGAGCTGTATCGATCGCTAGGTAACCCGCACAGTTACTGACGCAGCAGTGGCAGTAGCTCAAGCGCTCGAGAAGGATAACGCCATGAGTATTGACAAGATATGGTGGCCGAAAGAAACCAATCTGACGGGTGAGTGACGTTCTAGCACGCCTCGCAGAAGCGAACTCATGTCAACAGAGGTGAGCCTTTTGTGTGCAGGTGAAGCAGGCAAATCATCAATTAACTTGGAGAGCTTTTAGTAGGGTTCTAGCGCTATTCGTAGTGGCTGAGGAAGGGCCCTTGTTCGCCTACGAGGTTTCAATGAGGTTTGACTGGGATCCTTGTGTGCGACGGGGCAACATTTTGGGTTGTGTTGGCAGCAGAGACATGAGCGTTCTCCCAAGTTGACTTATTGGATTGTTTGCATTATGGACGTTATCTGTAACGGTGATGAGGATTGTGAAGAGGACATCAATACGATCGATTTTGCCGTTGCCACGGTTCTCCTGAATGAGACGCTACGCATAACGCGAGCGAGCAGAGGCCGCGGAGAAGCGGCTTCTGTGGAGCCAGCGAGGAAACGGAGGACTGAGCTGTTGGCCTCCCTGGCCAAACGGCGTCGGGTTGAGTCCCCTAGTGGGACCAGGGTGGGAGAAGGCAGGCCGAATATGCTGGTGATGAACATCAGACAGCAGCTGGATGTACTTGACATGTGAGAGGGATCGAATCTGACTTCAGCGATTCAATCGAAGGACGGTCTACAGGAATTTGGAGAAAAACAACGAGCTTGTGGAGTTCCACCAGCAGCAGGTTACTCGCTATCTGGAAGAGTCGATCCTCTGGGAGCGTCGGCTGAATGCAGTGGAGAAGGAGGTAGGAGCAGTATAAGATCTCTGTGCACACGGTGGTAGCGTAGATTGAGGGATTATTGGACAAGAAGAGGAGGGCTGGGAAGATCAAGGAATATCAAGTTGACTTCGCTAGGTAAACGACCGGCTTGTGAGAGGCTGGCTATGATACCATCTCGATGGTCCTCCATGTGCCTTGATATACGCCACAGATATGTTTACCTGGGTAACCATCATGGCCACAGTACTGATCTCCGAAGAGCGGGCATCATGAGCTGTAGCGATGATCTGGATGATGATATCAGTCGAGCAAGAGGAGCATAGGCAGTAAGCATCCTTGGTGAGTAGAGTGGAAGGTTATACTGCACGACTCTGGTTGGTAATCGCTCGTGGTTCAGTTGATGTTGTCGTTACTTTCGGTGCAAGGTCACCAAGCAACTACCTCGTGTTCTCTCATGATTACGTGCTTTCAAGCTTGAGAGTGTTTCGTTGAGTCTTGGCCAATCTTCGCGCTTCAATTGAATTGAAGGGAGTTGAATCAATTGCCTCAATAGGTCGGACTACTCGTTACTCCGTCTCGAGAACGGACTAGCTTCGATTGTTGCTCGGCAGCTTGTTCGACTAGCTGGATAAGAACTTCTCATCTTTCTCAAGGCTTCTCATTGAGAAGCCTTGGTTAAGTGGATAGGTTTCAACTCAATTTGACGTTCCTAGCTCTTAGTTTTTTTCGGATTTGATCGAAGTCATTTGCAGCAGGTGAGTCCGAAGCTGCAACTCCGAATTACCAACAGCAACTGTTGATTATCGAATAGCTATTCTTAGTCTCGTGCTCCCCTCTGGCCTTCTGTCCACCACTTAGTTAGTCTCTTCTCCGATGAGGTCACAAACGGCTCAACCGTTACGGCTGGAGCGCTGTGTTGGTTGCTGGTGAGGACATAGGATGTCATAAGTGAGCCGTGAACTTCGACCGTCGTTGTGAAACGGTTCCCGTACGTCACTTTTTGTAGTCACTACAATGTGGTGGACCCTTAGCATCTTATAGGGGGTATTTCTTCAGAGGTTTTCGGCGAGAACTTCTCGCCATTCTTCTCTTCAGTCGTTTCGCTGTTAGATGCTCTTCGCTGGGTATGGCCCATAGGGTATGGGTGTTGCTGCCGTGATTGACGGAGTCTTCGAGATCTTTGACCGAGATTAGTTGTTATTCGTGGCTCACCGATGGTAAGTGTCTAATTGGTCGAAATTTCGTCAAAACCATGCCATTGTCGGAAAAGAAACATCAACTCCGATATATCACAATGGGGTTGGTGTTCTCCTGGTTGATTTACTCCTGATTAAACGCTGGAGGTTTCTCAATCGTGAATGGCTGACTCAGCCAGGCTGATTAGTATCCCAGTTTGTGACTTAGTCTGTTCTTCAATGGAAAGGTATTATGCCATCACCAGTTCACATATGGATCAAACTCGTTGAATTCATGGAGGACTAATTTCTCTCCTATTATCACTCAGTGGTAGGCACTGCTGGCGCAATGTGCTTCTTCTCAGGAGAAGAATCTTCTGTAATGCAGGAACAGGGGGATGATCACTAAATCTGCCTCTCGAGTCGGGACTCTCGAGGACTTCTTTCGTGAGATGGATCTCAGAATTTTCCAGGTTTTCTTATCAGCTTCTCGTGTGATTGTGAGTCACACTTATGACTCATAAGTTATGAGACGCAGCACGACTTCTAGAGTAAGTCCGGATATGGTCCTGACCTGTCATCAGCTTGCGACCCGGTTCTGTAACAGCTGCGTTCCAGAAATCTCCACTCAAGGAACTCAACCGATGACGTAACTGATTTACGTGTAAGATGGGATGGTCATCATTCAATTATTATGAGTACGAGAATTACAATGAGCCCGGTGCAGCCGACAGTCGATGTACGGGACCTTATAAGGGATGTGTCGCACTCGATGTGATCAGTGGACTAGCAGACCATCCAGTCAACGCTAACGAGGATATGAAATAGCAAGAATCGTCATCATCAATGTGAATGTTCGTCATTTCCGGGAAGTTACTCCATTTACCGGCAAGAGTGCATGGTGCATGCTGCTAGGTTGACAAATCTCCCCGTAGGGAATGGAGAAGTCAACAGTGGTTGCTATTAGCTCTCTAACTAAAGTAGAGATATCGGTTCCTGGGTGAGTGAGACCATCCTTGAATGACTTATTCGTCGCTCCTATGTCATTGCTCGTCCTCGGAAAGCGCGGTCACTATCGGGAGTATTCTGAATGTCCAGTTCTCACATGAAGCTTGCCGACAACCACTACTGATTGTATTTTGATGGCCCGGGGATCACATGAAATTCGACAGCTACTACCATCGCTGGTGAGCTATACTGACGAGATAGTTGATCGTCCATCACATTTTGTACATTGCGCATTATACTACTGTAATATGCTAATTTGTGACTTAGTCCACTCTCAATGGATAAATATTATATTATTACCAGTTCGCGTATGATTTCATGAAGCAATGATAGACACTGCTGGTGCAATATGCTTCTTCTGTAATCCAGGAGGAGAGTATGATCACTTGAGTGTCTGCCCCTCGAGTCGGGAGCCTCGGGCACTCGAAAGATGAATCGCAGAATTGTCAAGGTTTTTTGTCAGCCTATCGTGAGATTGTGAGTCGCACTTATGAGACGCAACGCGACTTCTAGGGTAAGAGGATATGCCCCTGACCTGTCGTCAGCTTGCAACCTGTTTCGTAACAGCCGCGTCTTATCACTCCCCACTCATACGGTCCGACCGATGACGTTATTCATTCACGGGTTCAATCCTATGGTAATCGAATAAACTATTTGAAGTAATATGAGTACGAGAACTACAAAGAGCAATTCACAAATTCAACAGTATTTATGTGTTGAATTTGTAAATTGCTTCGTAAATTTATAAATAGGCAATCAGCGGATACAGCAGGGCTCTCGACAACCTAACGCAAGTAAGCGCCGCTTACTAAGCGGTAGAGGTAGAGGTCTGCGTAACTCAAGTTGACCCTCTTGGTCACCTCCAATATCTTCATTTCCAAGGGGGTTACTGCGACGAGAAGCCATGAGTAGGATGATCAAATGACTCATTTGATCATTCTACTGATTCTCTCATTTGAAATGAGAGTTTCTTCTCAGAAGGATTCGGGAGTCCAGGCGAAGGACTGAAGTTCAGTCACTGAACTGAGTCCAGGTACTGACTGAGTCAGTCTGACTCCATTTCGAGTCTACGTCATAGCCTCTGCAATTGGGCCGATCTGATCAGTCAATCAATTGATCTGATAGGTTAGTGGATGAATCCGGAACCCGAACTAACACAACAATTAATAATGATACAACCACGGTGGTTGAACCACCAATGACATCGGTCCAATGTAAACATTCATACGATGAACATGCTCAGTCCACGTTCGGAACGTGACGTTCCCGGGGGCTCCAAGGTGATGAAGTCTAAGATTATCTTGGCAAGACGCTGCCGTATGCAGTGACGACCAGGAAAATCATTACAGATTGTAGTTTGGAGGTATGGGAGAGGCTGTAGCTAGGGTGCTTCCGTGGGCCGGCTAATGATCAGAGTGAGATCTTCAGAGGATCCTCCTCTCTGTGAACGACAGAAACTATATCTGGCAAAGGTTTGGTCTCCAATTACTTCTCGTACCGGTTCACAGTGGCGAGAACCAAGCCACATAAGTTGTTCCACCACAACACAGGCATTCGTCCCGAGGTGAGCAAGAACACGCTGTATCACATGAAATCTGCCCGACACCTTTATCAGGGTCCCTCATTCAGAGACATTCTGACGGCCCTAACCTCACATGCAATCTGACGACCACCACTATCGAGGATATATTGACAGTCCTTGTATCACATGATATTTGCCAATATGCTCTATCGCGGGTATTTTGACAGCCCAGGTATCAGATGAAATTTGACGGCCATTACTATCATCGTCAAACTATACTGCAAGATAGTTGATCGTCTATCACACTACGCCGAATCAAAGCGTAATATGCAGCGTCCTGATCGTGTTTCTGAGAACAACGTATAGTCGTAGAGTTGTACAACGTCTCCCGCCTTGGCTGTCCGTCCCCAATGGGGACTCCCTATGGCCTACAATTTGTGGACCATACGGACCAGGCAGATACACGCGCGAGAGGGCTGCATCGTCGTGGTAAGTCTTGGGGGCGGTAGGTCCAAGCGGCTTCGGTGCATAGTCATGGCTTTTCGCGCAGAATTTGTGGTGATCACGAGATCCTTCCGGCTAATTAACATGTTCGGTCGAATTGTCGATGCGACATGTAAGGTGAAGGGGTAGTGAGACAGTCCTCCCGCCGATAGATAGTGAAAAAGTGTGCTCTATCCTCGCTGAAGCATCGAATCGCTCGATCCACTATCCTTCCCCTCGGACATGTGCTTGTGCCTTACGCTGTGGTATCAGACTTGGTGGTCCATCAATGGTGGAATGTTGTGGTATCTACCAGTTTTTTCGTAATGTCTATCGAATCCCGTATTGCTTCACTCGGTTTGAAGCTCCCATCGGCTACATCGCCTCTGGCGAATTACGTTCCCTTCAGGAGGACAGGCAATCTCTTGTGCGTTCCACGGCTCCACGATGAACTTACCAGTGCCTCGCGCGTTTGTAGGTTTTTGAGCGGGCAGATCCCCAAGGGAGTGGACGAGAACGGCTCCCCTCTTCTCCTGACTGGTAAACTCGGCCAGGACTTCACCGTCGCGCAGGGCCAGACCGCCGCCAAGTTGTGTGCCATCAACATGATCGCTCAGGTGAAAACATCTCAGCGTTACCTTTCAAGCTAACATCAATTATATAGGTGAAGGAAGCATGCGCAGGAGATCTGTCTAGAGTGAGGTCAGTCGTGAAGGTGGAAGCTTTCGTTAACTCTACTCCAGAGTTCAAGGAGCATCCACAAGTAAGAAAATGCGTCTCTGAGGGGTTGTCGTCTCCAGAGCGCATCCAGGTGGTGAATGGATGTAGCGACCTGCTCGTCAGCGTTTTTGGTGATGACATCGGACGTCACAGGTGAGCGGCAGTGGTAGCGGCGAAGTCGGAATTGATTGGGTCTCAGTCGCTTCGCCGTCGGCTGTTCGTCCCTTCCATTGGGTGTAGCTGTTGAGATCGGCGCAGTCTTCGAGCTGGCCGATTGATAACTATAGATCATTCTGCAGAGGTGTTACTGCTTTGATCAATTCTCCCACTATTTTTCTACTCTCGTTTTAGAATTGTGTTAGAAGCTGTAACGTTGTGATGTACCCATTGCTGGGGGAGGAGTCGACCACCTAGCGATTATCATGTCCTCCTAGTTTTCACCCCTATGCCCCTGGTGCCGCCTGTCGCATAGTACAGTAGCGGGATGCCTCGTCTCAAAGCGACCCCCAAGCGCGTTATCTTTCAAGTCGCTGAGAGCATCCAATCGCAGCTATGCCCGTCCCACCCGTCCATTGAATCATCTCCGGCCAGCTCCTCAGCAGTTTCCATAGCAGTTCTGGCGGACTCTCTGGAGTTGTCCGATTCTGATCACTCCAGCAGCTCTTCGTCCGTCGCTACTGCCAGGAGTGACTCCAGCAGTCCCTCCAGGCGGACCGGGAAAGCTGGGTTGAAGAGGAAGAAGTCAGTGACGAAACCTGAGGAAGAGCCTATCTACTGCTCTGAGGTCGCCTGTCTATTAGCAAGTTGGGTCGGTGAAGGATTTTGGTCTGACTCCACGCAATGCGTCATCACGGCCATCAACGAGGACGGAAAAGTCGTCATCGCCTCCGCCGTAGAAGACGAGGAGGCATGTGCGTGCATTGTGAGAGTCGGGCGGGGACTAACTCAAAAGGTGTTCAACGCACTCCGGTTGCTGCAACGGCAAGGGGTGGTGGCGGTAAGAGCGACCCACCTAGCCAACACCAAGATTAGGTTTGAAGTGGGCCTAGCCCCCGGTTTTGTGGTCGACGACGAACTTGGAGCTGAACGCATCGCGGAGAAGTTGCCTGCAGCCAGCCGGAGAGACCTAGCTGTCGTGTTAGCTTGGGCGGTAGCAGTGACTGCTCAGGAGCCCGTCGGTGGCGATCTGGAGGTCGGTACGGAGGATTTCCTTGCTGCAGTGAAGCCCCCTGGAGAGCCCTTACAGGGTACAGCTGATGTCATGACTGGCGAGGACCAACTGGCCTGCACTTTGCTAGACTTCCAGCGACACTCAGTCCGCTGGATGAACCATGCTGAGAGTCGGCCTCCTGATGAAAGTGTCCCCCACCCGGCGTGGATACCCCTGGGGGAGGTCTTCATCAACCCCCGGCTCCCAGGAGTTAGCAGGTCTGCCGTGTCCCTGAGGCTGAGCTCGGTTCATGGGGGTATGTTGTGCGACGAGATGGGCCTGGGTAAAACGGTAGAGGTCCTAGCTACGGTCGCGACTCGGCCGCGTCCCTCAGACGGCCAATCGGCGGCTCAGGTTTTGGATCTGTTCTACAGCTCACAGCTGTGTGCTCTCAAAGGAGTGAACAGTCAGGATGGTCCTGACGACGCGGTCTCGAAAAAGTTGCGACGGGAAGTTGCCGACCTTCATGCCACTTACCTTCTACAAGATGGTTATGCTAAGTCTTCGGCGACGCCTCCACACGATGGGAATCGACCACCGACGTGGTTGGACGAGTACCATCCTGACAGAGCTCGTGCATTCAAAGAGGCCTTCGGGTATCCGGAGAGCTCGAGCCCGCCTGGGGAGGAGGATGATGAGGAGTCGCGTTGTCTGACCTGCGACAGAACGGGAGATGCTGATGCACCCTGGGTGGCCTGTGATGTCTGTGAGGGTTGGCACCATCAGCAGTGTGTTGGCTACAATCTGCTGGTCATGGCAAGCTCGGCGTTTATATGCCTCAACTGTCTCCACCGTGGGTGTGCTGAGCTTTTGCCTGTGGCCGCCACCTTAGTCGTTGTCCCTGCTAGCTTGCTCCAGCAGTGGGTCCGCGAGATCGGTCTTCACGCTCCGACCATGCGGTTTGTCGCCTACACTGAGAGCGAGGAGGGAGTGTTCCCGAGCCTAGCTGATATCGTATCGGCTGATATTGTCTTGGTTTCCTACCCTGTGCTGGGTGATAGCCTCTTGCGGACTGAGTCGGCTGAGTGGGACAGTGCTCATGCGCTCCGTTACCGTCGACAGTCTGGCAGCTCCACTCGTACACCCTCTGCGCTACTCCGAGTGAGATGGTGGAGGCTCATCATGGATGAAGCCCAGCTGGCTGAGGGCGGTCACAGTGGGGCCTGCCGTATGCTCAAGAGACTCACGGCTGTCAACCGTTGGGCCGTCACGGGGACTCCACTCACTCGCGGTGACCTGCGACCAGTATTGGAGTTTTCGAAGGTCCCAATTGAGGGTGCTGACGTTAAGGCCATACAGGATTCTCCAGGCGGTGTGCATCGGCTACTGCCGCTGATGAAGAAGCTGATGTGGCGAGTGTGGAAGGTTGACGTGCTCGACCAACTGAATATGCAAGGCCTGGTCCAACACGTGGTCTGGCAGGAGCTCTCAGCAGTTGAGATGTTCGGCTATCGTCGGCTTGAGGAGTCTATCCGGAAGGAGGCTCAGGGGTCTCTGGCGAAGCGCGGCGCTTCGAGGAACGCTGTGAGCTATTTGTGGGACCTCACGCGGCTACTGCAGCTGCAGTGCGTACATCAGGACCTGCGGATGAAGCAGAAGACGTCGTACACGGGGAAGAGGAAGTCGAGGGTCTTTACTGATGTCAAACCACTACTGATTGTATTTTGATGGCCCGGGGATCACATGAAATTCGACAGCTACTACCATCGCTGGTGAGCTATACTGACGAGATAGTTGATCGTCCATCACATTTTGTACATTGCGCATTATACTACTGTAATATGCTAATTTGTGACTTAGTCCACTCTCAATGGATAAATATTATATTATTACCAGTTCGCGTATGATTTCATGAAGCAATGATAGACACTGCTGGTGCAATATGCTTCTTCTGTAATCCAGGAGGAGAGTATGATCACTTGAGTGTCTGCCCCTCGAGTCGGGAGCCTCGGGCACTCGAAAGATGAATCGCAGAATTGTCAAGGTTTTTTGTCAGCCTATCGTGAGATTGTGAGTCGCACTTATGAGACGCAACGCGACTTCTAGGGTAAGAGGATATGCCCCTGACCTGTCGTCAGCTTGCAACCTGTTTCGTAACAGCCGCGTCTTATCACTCCCCACTCATACGGTCCGACCGATGACGTTATTCATTCACGGGTTCAATCCTATGGTAATCGAATAAACTATTTGAAGTAATATGAGTACGAGAACTACAAAGAGCAATTCACAAATTCAACAGTATTTATGTGTTGAATTTGTAAATTGCTTCGTAAATTTATAAATAGGCAATCAGCGGATACAGCAGGGCTCTCGACAACCTAACGCAAGTAAGCGCCGCTTACTAAGCGGTAGAGGTAGAGGTCTGCGTAACTCAAGTTGACCCTCTTGGTCACCTCCAATATCTTCATTTCCAAGGGGGTTACTGCGACGAGAAGCCATGAGTAGGATGATCAAATGACTCATTTGATCATTCTACTGATTCTCTCATTTGAAATGAGAGTTTCTTCTCAGAAGGATTCGGGAGTCCAGGCGAAGGACTGAAGTTCAGTCACTGAACTGAGTCCAGGTACTGACTGAGTCAGTCTGACTCCATTTCGAGTCTACGTCATAGCCTCTGCAATTGGGCCGATCTGATCAGTCAATCAATTGATCTGATAGGTTAGTGGATGAATCCGGAACCCGAACTAACACAACAATTAATAATGATACAACCACGGTGGTTGAACCACCAATGACATCGGTCCAATGTAAACATTCATACGATGAACATGCTCAGTCCACGTTCGGAACGTGACGTTCCCGGGGGCTCCAAGGTGATGAAGTCTAAGATTATCTTGGCAAGACGCTGCCGTATGCAGTGACGACCAGGAAAATCATTACAGATTGTAGTTTGGAGGTATGGGAGAGGCTGTAGCTAGGGTGCTTCCGTGGGCCGGCTAATGATCAGAGTGAGATCTTCAGAGGATCCTCCTCTCTGTGAACGACAGAAACTATATCTGGCAAAGGTTTGGTCTCCAATTACTTCTCGTACCGGTTCACAGTGGCGAGAACCAAGCCACATAAGTTGTTCCACCACAACACAGGCATTCGTCCCGAGGTGAGCAAGAACACGCTGTATCACATGAAATCTGCCCGACACCTTTATCAGGGTCCCTCATTCAGAGACATTCTGACGGCCCTAACCTCACATGCAATCTGACGACCACCACTATCGAGGATATATTGACAGTCCTTGTATCACATGATATTTGCCAATATGCTCTATCGCGGGTATTTTGACAGCCCAGGTATCAGATGAAATTTGACGGCCATTACTATCATCGTCAAACTATACTGCAAGATAGTTGATCGTCTATCACACTACGCCGAATCAAAGCGTAATATGCAGCGTCCTGATCGTGTTTCTGAGAACAACGTATAGTCGTAGAGTTGTACAACGTCTCCCGCCTTGGCTGTCCGTCCCCAATGGGGACTCCCTATGGCCTACAATTTGTGGACCATACGGACCAGGCAGATACACGCGCGAGAGGGCTGCATCGTCGTGGTAAGTCTTGGGGGCGGTAGGTCCAAGCGGCTTCGGTGCATAGTCATGGCTTTTCGCGCAGAATTTGTGGTGATCACGAGATCCTTCCGGCTAATTAACATGTTCGGTCGAATTGTCGATGCGACATGTAAGGTGAAGGGGTAGTGAGACAGTCCTCCCGCCGATAGATAGTGAAAAAGTGTGCTCTATCCTCGCTGAAGCATCGAATCGCTCGATCCACTATCCTTCCCCTCGGACATGTGCTTGTGCCTTACGCTGTGGTATCAGACTTGGTGGTCCATCAATGGTGGAATGTTGTGGTATCTACCAGTTTTTTCGTAATGTCTATCGAATCCCGTATTGCTTCACTCGGTTTGAAGCTCCCATCGGCTACATCGCCTCTGGCGAATTACGTTCCCTTCAGGAGGACAGGCAATCTCTTGTGCGTTCCACGGCTCCACGATGAACTTACCAGTGCCTCGCGCGTTTGTAGGTTTTTGAGCGGGCAGATCCCCAAGGGAGTGGACGAGAACGGCTCCCCTCTTCTCCTGACTGGTAAACTCGGCCAGGACTTCACCGTCGCGCAGGGCCAGACCGCCGCCAAGTTGTGTGCCATCAACATGATCGCTCAGGTGAAAACATCTCAGCGTTACCTTTCAAGCTAACATCAATTATATAGGTGAAGGAAGCATGCGCAGGAGATCTGTCTAGAGTGAGGTCAGTCGTGAAGGTGGAAGCTTTCGTTAACTCTACTCCAGAGTTCAAGGAGCATCCACAAGTAAGAAAATGCGTCTCTGAGGGGTTGTCGTCTCCAGAGCGCATCCAGGTGGTGAATGGATGTAGCGACCTGCTCGTCAGCGTTTTTGGTGATGACATCGGACGTCACAGGTGAGCGGCAGTGGTAGCGGCGAAGTCGGAATTGATTGGGTCTCAGTCGCTTCGCCGTCGGCTGTTCGTCCCTTCCATTGGGTGTAGCTGTTGAGATCGGCGCAGTCTTCGAGCTGGCCGATTGATAACTATAGATCATTCTGCAGAGGTGTTACTGCTTTGATCAATTCTCCCACTATTTTTCTACTCTCGTTTTAGAATTGTGTTAGAAGCTGTAACGTTGTGATGTACCCATTGCTGGGGGAGGAGTCGACCACCTAGCGATTATCATGTCCTCCTAGTTTTCACCCCTATGCCCCTGGTGCCGCCTGTCGCATAGTACAGTAGCGGGATGCCTCGTCTCAAAGCGACCCCCAAGCGCGTTATCTTTCAAGTCGCTGAGAGCATCCAATCGCAGCTATGCCCGTCCCACCCGTCCATTGAATCATCTCCGGCCAGCTCCTCAGCAGTTTCCATAGCAGTTCTGGCGGACTCTCTGGAGTTGTCCGATTCTGATCACTCCAGCAGCTCTTCGTCCGTCGCTACTGCCAGGAGTGACTCCAGCAGTCCCTCCAGGCGGACCGGGAAAGCTGGGTTGAAGAGGAAGAAGTCAGTGACGAAACCTGAGGAAGAGCCTATCTACTGCTCTGAGGTCGCCTGTCTATTAGCAAGTTGGGTCGGTGAAGGATTTTGGTCTGACTCCACGCAATGCGTCATCACGGCCATCAACGAGGACGGAAAAGTCGTCATCGCCTCCGCCGTAGAAGACGAGGAGGCATGTGCGTGCATTGTGAGAGTCGGGCGGGGACTAACTCAAAAGGTGTTCAACGCACTCCGGTTGCTGCAACGGCAAGGGGTGGTGGCGGTAAGAGCGACCCACCTAGCCAACACCAAGATTAGGTTTGAAGTGGGCCTAGCCCCCGGTTTTGTGGTCGACGACGAACTTGGAGCTGAACGCATCGCGGAGAAGTTGCCTGCAGCCAGCCGGAGAGACCTAGCTGTCGTGTTAGCTTGGGCGGTAGCAGTGACTGCTCAGGAGCCCGTCGGTGGCGATCTGGAGGTCGGTACGGAGGATTTCCTTGCTGCAGTGAAGCCCCCTGGAGAGCCCTTACAGGGTACAGCTGATGTCATGACTGGCGAGGACCAACTGGCCTGCACTTTGCTAGACTTCCAGCGACACTCAGTCCGCTGGATGAACCATGCTGAGAGTCGGCCTCCTGATGAAAGTGTCCCCCACCCGGCGTGGATACCCCTGGGGGAGGTCTTCATCAACCCCCGGCTCCCAGGAGTTAGCAGGTCTGCCGTGTCCCTGAGGCTGAGCTCGGTTCATGGGGGTATGTTGTGCGACGAGATGGGCCTGGGTAAAACGGTAGAGGTCCTAGCTACGGTCGCGACTCGGCCGCGTCCCTCAGACGGCCAATCGGCGGCTCAGGTTTTGGATCTGTTCTACAGCTCACAGCTGTGTGCTCTCAAAGGAGTGAACAGTCAGGATGGTCCTGACGACGCGGTCTCGAAAAAGTTGCGACGGGAAGTTGCCGACCTTCATGCCACTTACCTTCTACAAGATGGTTATGCTAAGTCTTCGGCGACGCCTCCACACGATGGGAATCGACCACCGACGTGGTTGGACGAGTACCATCCTGACAGAGCTCGTGCATTCAAAGAGGCCTTCGGGTATCCGGAGAGCTCGAGCCCGCCTGGGGAGGAGGATGATGAGGAGTCGCGTTGTCTGACCTGCGACAGAACGGGAGATGCTGATGCACCCTGGGTGGCCTGTGATGTCTGTGAGGGTTGGCACCATCAGCAGTGTGTTGGCTACAATCTGCTGGTCATGGCAAGCTCGGCGTTTATATGCCTCAACTGTCTCCACCGTGGGTGTGCTGAGCTTTTGCCTGTGGCCGCCACCTTAGTCGTTGTCCCTGCTAGCTTGCTCCAGCAGTGGGTCCGCGAGATCGGTCTTCACGCTCCGACCATGCGGTTTGTCGCCTACACTGAGAGCGAGGAGGGAGTGTTCCCGAGCCTAGCTGATATCGTATCGGCTGATATTGTCTTGGTTTCCTACCCTGTGCTGGGTGATAGCCTCTTGCGGACTGAGTCGGCTGAGTGGGACAGTGCTCATGCGCTCCGTTACCGTCGACAGTCTGGCAGCTCCACTCGTACACCCTCTGCGCTACTCCGAGTGAGATGGTGGAGGCTCATCATGGATGAAGCCCAGCTGGCTGAGGGCGGTCACAGTGGGGCCTGCCGTATGCTCAAGAGACTCACGGCTGTCAACCGTTGGGCCGTCACGGGGACTCCACTCACTCGCGGTGACCTGCGACCAGTATTGGAGTTTTCGAAGGTCCCAATTGAGGGTGCTGACGTTAAGGCCATACAGGATTCTCCAGGCGGTGTGCATCGGCTACTGCCGCTGATGAAGAAGCTGATGTGGCGAGTGTGGAAGGTTGACGTGCTCGACCAACTGAATATGCAAGGCCTGGTCCAACACGTGGTCTGGCAGGAGCTCTCAGCAGTTGAGATGTTCGGCTATCGTCGGCTTGAGGAGTCTATCCGGAAGGAGGCTCAGGGGTCTCTGGCGAAGCGCGGCGCTTCGAGGAACGCTGTGAGCTATTTGTGGGACCTCACGCGGCTACTGCAGCTGCAGTGCGTACATCAGGACCTGCGGATGAAGCAGAAGACGTCGTACACGGGGAAGAGGAAGTCGAGGGTCTTTACTGATGTCAAATACAGCACATTCGAACAGAACGTGAGAGCTCTGATGACTGCTGCTACAAACAGGGCTGAAGAGGCGCTGCGGAACCTCGTTGCGACATGGAACGGTCAAGCCGGACTACAGAAGCTGAAAGGAGACGATGATGCTGCAAGAGTGCTATATACCAAAGTCTTGAACGCTGAGGGTGAGTTCGGCACGAGGGTTGACAACCAACCGAAGATACATGCTCTCGTCCACTCTGGAGCTAGCGAATCTGATGTCAAAGCGGAGACCGACAAGTACGGCCTTCACAGATTAGATGAATGACCTCTCTTCCTGCTACTGCAGATTCCTGGTTACCTCGTCCTCCTCCATTCAAACACACTCGGCCAACTACTATAAGCTTCGGGAACAGCTGCCTCCTGACTCCAGTCGATGGTGGCTGGTAGCGGCACCAACATTGCAGGGCCCAATGGAGGCTGCTTACTTCCAACAGGACCTCAGAGTAAGGGGCAAAATCTACCTATTGCTCGGAGCTCGCCTTGCTGCCATCAGGAGGTTGACGCTCATGTCACGCAAATTGTCGAAGCGTTGGAGGGCATTCCTATTGACTCGCCCCCGGAGCATCTGGTCACGGAGAGCATCTGCTGCGCGAAGTGCCGGGGAAAAGGCCGGCCTGGCCGCTCATGCTTCTTCTGTCGTTTGGATCCACATTTTGAAGGATATCAAAGAGTCGCCAAACTACCGCGGTTCAAGAAAATCGGCCAAGAGGCAGCCAGTGGTTCCGAACTGTTCAAGTGAGCTGTGCGAATGAGCCGGATCTGCCTCCATCCAGCTCAGGTACTTTCGAACGATAAAGAGCATAGTGTCATCCCTACGGAGCTGGAGGAATTCTTGCAGTTATCGGCTTGGCTGCTTCGATGAGCTCCGACAGACTCGTCTAACATACCGTTGGCCGTCGGAAGGGGACGTGCAGCAGACCCGGCCAATCGAAGGATGGGCCCTGAACCAAGACCTCGTTGTGTGGAGCCCTGAAGAGCTCGAAGCCAAGCTTGCCGAGCTGAAGGCGGAGGAGAATGGTGCTGAGGTTACACTGAGACGGAACCTCGGACATCTGCGGTAAGCATTCGACTTAGCTATGCACAGTCGAAAATGATTCAAAAGGAACGTTTTTTTCTTTGACAAATTTGAAAGTTCAGTATTTTGTGACAACGAAGTAGTGTCTTAGGCTAAAATTTCAACAAGGCTCTGACGTGTCACACTGCAGGAAGGTCCACTCCTTACGTTCAAGTGCAGGTTCTTGAAGACCCAGCTTCCCACTGAGTCAGAGGATCGCCCCGGCCTTGAACTCTGCCCAGTATGTGCCACAGAGAAGCCAACAACAGTCTGCATGCTACCCTGCGGTCACAGCTACTGCCAACAGTGTATCAGCACCCTCCTCCAAAGAGGACGAGGGAGTCTCCGTTGCCCAGAATGTAGAGTCTTCACACGACGCAACGAGATTGGCCATATTGCTGGCGAATCTACTGAGCCAGGGGACAGCGACTCGTCCCCTGTGCCCAGCGAAAGCGTCAGTGGTTCTGTTCTTAACGAGGCCTTCAGTCCGCTGCCTGAGGCCGCGCTCAGAGCCATGGATGTCTCATGTCGATTGGTCGGCCAGTGGGGCACTCGGATATCGAGTGTCACCCTCTTGGTGAAGTACATTACTGAGACCCTTAGCGAGTCTGTATGTGTGTTTTCTAAGTGGGTTCCGGTCCTAAACTTACTGGGCTCGGCGCTCAAAAGCAATCACGTGCCATTCGTTCTCTGGTCCGTCAGCAAGTCGAAAATGGTTGAGAGGTTCTTCGACGGCCGAGTCCGGACACTCCTCTGTCCACTAGCGTCTGCCGGACAAGGACTGAATCTCACCGTGGCGTCACATGCAATACTCCTGGAGCCCCCACCAAAATACTCCCAAACTGCACAGGCGGCTGCGAGGATCTGGCGACTCGGGCAACAGAAGGAGGCAACCGTCTGGCACTTCGTGTCGTGCAGGACGGTCGAGGAGGCGATGTGGACGTTGAGTCGACGAGCCGACCAAGAAGAGGATGCCGAGCTCCTGCGGGACATTTTTAGCGGCCTCACTGGCGAGCGAGTTCCATAGAAATACATTACACTGTATGTTAATTTGATTGTTATAAATCTCACCGTCGTTGCATTGTCAATAGGGAGAAGCAAAGCTCTTGGTAGCGCAAGTGGGTAGAGGTAGTCTAACTCACCAGTTGTGTACGATCGCCAGGAATGTCGTCAAGCAGGCGGTCACGAATCCCCTCACAGAGAACTCCCATTGGTTTCACCCCAGCGAATCGCCTTCGTGGCTTGTTCAGTACGCAGCAAGGCACATTTCTGCATACGCCCAGCAAGTCTGCAGCCCAAGTTAGAGGTGGGACCGTGTCCAGCTTAGCAACCTTATCGGCTACCTCTACTCCATCTATCTCAGGGCTCACGCTTGGTAACGTGCTGTGCTCCTTCAAGAAGTCAGAAGATAAATATCAGTGGCTGGAGAATGCTCATGGCGCTCTTGTTGAGCCCAATGCATGGGAGACCGTGTCCGAAGGGCAGCTAAAGGCCTTTACTGAGGTGCATTGAGCCGTCTAGTGGTGTCGCGAAAGCACTGACTTAGGCGCTTGGGTCTCTTCCGACCTCAGCAATACATCCAGCTGAGTTGACTCCGTTTGTGGCCACCATTCTCCCCCAACTTGGCAATCTGTCTGTGCACGCAACGCGCTTCCTGTGCGATCGAGCTTCCTCGTGGACTCCAAATGTTTGTGAAGCTATGGCCTCATGGGTGTCTAAGTCCTGTCCTAGTGTACGAGAGCTAGAGTTCATCATCAGGGCTCTGCCAGTAGCTCCTGCCTCTTGTGCTGATGCTGTGGCAACCCTCTTGGGATCCATCCCGGCTCAAGAGGCCCTCAAGGACATGGTGGCCGAGTATTGCATCGTTATCCCCACTAATGTAAAGCTAGTCAACGTTGCCGTTGAGAAGCACGTCACGGCAGAGGCGGATCTTTTGACAATATCCATACAGGGTGCCGTTGAGCATCTGCAGCGGATCGCGGAACTCGCCCATAGTGGGCACTCAGCATCTGGACTGAACAAGCACTTCATGGTTTTGAGGACACACAGGCGACTTCTCGACAAAAGTGCCAATGACACAACAAGAGACACTTGCTTGGTGGCAGCAGACGCAGAACTCACTGACAGGCTTATCAAGGCCATCCAGGGTATCGTGGCCGCCGACCGCGGCGAGAATGCTGAGATGTACTCGAAACTCTATCGGGAGGTTACAATGATATTGGTCACGTGCTTTTGGCGGGAGATACTCGACGAAGGGCTGCACGCAATTCCCGAGGTCCTTCCACTCAGGCGGCTTCTCATGTGCTGCCATTTGGTTTCTGGAAAGTGCAGCCCTCAGCTGGCCGGTCGCCTCGTGCTGAGCATTCTTCTCGATGAGATCACTAATGATAATTCTGATAAGATTTGCGGAGCTCCTAGTCTCAACGGTGGTCTCCCTCTCGCCTGTGCTCTTGCATGCAATGGGTCGGCTTGGCACGTCGAGCTAGTCCGATGGAGTCTATCCCAAGTCATCCCTATGAGGTTTTTCGCGGCAGAAACGTTGCTCCACATGGGAGAAGTGAATCCAGCCTTTGGCGAGCAACACGCTAGACTGCTGGCCAACTTAGGGAAGTCACTATCAGGGTCGAGCGTGGCGAGGCTCGCGTTTGCCTTTGCGGCATTGGCCTCAGTTCATCCGAATATTATATCCATCTTATGCAACCATATAGACCACAATGGGTCGGCATTTGCCCGTGGTGTTCTCGAGCTTCTTCCCGATCATCTGCTCTCTGAGCCCGGTCTCACATCGGCCCTCTTGTCAAGACTAGAAGGCTCTGAGGCAGAGTCGCTTCCTTGGTTGCTGGCAATCCTGCGGCCCCGCCCGTGTGATGCTCTTCGAAGGGTCGCACCGACGCTACTGGCCGAAAGCAGAGTGAAGTCCTCCATGCGGTTGAGGTCAGGTTTAGGCAGAAGCCTTGTGGCGCTTTCTGGAGTGTCTGCAGTCGTACCCTCGGCCACCAGTGACCGAATGCTCCGAGCCCTGCTTATTTTCGCTGAGAAAAAATTGAGTGAGGCTGGCGACTCTGAGGCCGATGTGAGTTTGCGACTAACTCATGTGGATCTCACGCCCTCATCGTTGCAGGCCCCATGGCTGCAGCTCTTGCATATCTTGGCGACTCATTCCGTCCACCAGAGGCTTGAGGAAGGCAAGACAGTCATTGATAGACTGGCACGGAAAGCCGGTGTAGGCAGCCTGAACCCGCGTGGTTGACGAGCTGTGGTAGATACTATCCAATCTTTGGTTGAGAACAGACGAGGCCGTCGGTAGCCATCAAATGCCTCTCGCACTCCGGATGGAAGTGGCGGGACGATGGTCCGAGGCGCTGACTCTCAACGGAGGAGCTCGCGGCCTTCCATCGCCCTATAAGCGGCTCAAAAGACTGCTGAGCTCGGAAAATGTCGATCTGGAACGAGTTCGAGAGGTAGCATCCGAGGTCGCCGCTCTAAGTGATATGAGTCAGTGATTGCTCACCTACACGTGGCGGGCTTTGCGAGTTTCCCGAGAGATCGTACAGATCTTGAGTTGGCTGGTCACAGTCAGACGCTCTTGATATGTCTACCGAGTCAACTTGTATCTCCGATAATTCGACCTTCGCTTATAGCACTGTAGCATCCTGCCAATGGGAGCTGGCATATGTCGACCAGGTGAGTGAGTGCAGTGGACCTTCAATTCTTTGCCTTTCCTCCATCCTAACAGATATTCATCTCGCGAGTCGAACTGTTTATAGGCCACATTCCCTTCGAGAAATGTTGAGGATGACTATGTATAGAATGTTACAGTACAACTGTTGTACTACAACATGTTTAACTTTTCCTCTCATTAACCAGGGCTCTTGTGCGAATAGTACAAGATGCGCCAGTACAAAAGGCATTTAATTGAGTCTTTTCATTACACTACAGCTCCTTAAAAGAGCGATAGCGATTAAAATACCTCCTATGGATGTTGCGTTTGTTCGAACGAGCAAACTGAGAGTATTCCTAAGACTACTGGTACCACCAAGAGAGCAACAACATCGCTGCATGCAACGACACTCATTCCTGCCCTTCTTCCTCACACTGCCGCGTATTCATCTTGATTTCTTAACCATCCGGTGTAGTCGGCAAAGTTTTTTCTCTTGAAGTAGTGCATGCTAGTACCTTGGCATTAGCGATGGTGGCTTGCACTGAAATGCTCTCTGTGTGTTTGCTGCGATACCAGGTTTGGGTGATAGTCCCATATCATGTGGCTCAATAGAACCGTAGTCACCCCACACGGAACACTAATCTGACGAATCGTCAGTATGACACATCCCGAGGGAAGTTGGTCTGAGACATTCTGATTGTATACGACTGTATCTCTCACAATGCCTCTCGGTAGCTCCCGATCGAGGAAGTAGTAGTCGAGGAAACAGACTGCCAGTAGCAATAGATGATGCGGGAACCTCTGTTTTTCGTGAACTTCTAGGCCATATACGGTACTGTTTCGATTGAGAGACTGTACCTCGTTCCATGAGTGTCGCTACCCAGTGTCGTGTTCGTGGCTAGCATTGATCGACACTGACATTGTAAACACAAACTCCGATTTGTGGGAAAGGCACTAGAGCATGCGGCGCTACAGCTAGCAACGGCAGATAGAGTTGGACGAATAATACTTGCCTTCTAAGATGCTGACTAATTCACTTGATATCTCAGCGAGTACCACACCCGCTACACCAGCCTCTTCCTTGTTGGCCTTGCCCAACTCCCCCTGACCTGCTCCGGTTCACCGAGAACGCGCCCGCTTTGATCGCATCTTGCTCCTGCTCGTGCGGCAGAAGCTTCGCTGGGAACAAGACACGAATAGGATAGAGCTCGACTGAGATATCCTACCGATTTCGACAAAAACATGATGTACGTTAGCTCCGGTCTTGGCGCTGGTCTCGACGAAAAGGAGATCATTTTCCTGTGCATATTCAGCCCCTCGCTGGGTTGGGACCTCCCGCTCCTCCGCCAAATCAGACTTGTTGCCACAGAAGGCTGCAACAAGGAAGAGTCATGGTAAGCCCGAGTCGTGGGCTCTACCTATGACGACATCTGGGTTGTGGGAGCTGCGGAGCTCATTGACCCATCGCTTGGCGCCCTCGAAAGATTCCCGGCTGGTAATATCATAAACTACTACAGCCGCTGCAGCACCTCTGAGAAGGGAACCCATCATGATCCCTTTCCCAGTTCGACGACAATCTTGGTTTCGTCTACACTACGGAAAACGTTCGCAGAAAAAAAAGCCTGTTCTTCTCACTGTAAGCGGAATGAGAAGTTCAACTTGAGGAAGTGACGAGTAAACAGCCTTGGAGGAGTATCGGGGATATTCCGTCGTGAAAGTTTGAGAGTAGTAGTCTCAGGCTTATGATACAGTATATGCGTGTTACCTGTAATACATAGGAGCCAGGCTCCTGTAGCGCTCCTGGCCCGCTGTATCCCAAATCTCGAACTTTATCTGGACGGGCGAGTCAGGAAAAGGACTGACCGTCTGCGTCATAAAGGCCGCCCCTATAGTGGGCTCTTGATATTCATAGAACTCTCCACGGGCGAACCTTAGAACAGCTGCCAGCTCTCGTGGAGACCTCCGGTATCACCTGACCACCATACAGCTTTTCCCAACGCTGGCATCCCCTAGTAAGACGAGCTTATGGTGGAGTACGGTCAATGGCGTAGCGGAGGCAATCTGTGTTGGAGTGGCGCGATCTCCACTGTCCATTCAGAGGAGAGGCAACAAGGAGTCTGAGGCGCTCCTGTCTTGAATAAAGAAAGCCCAACTTTGCTGGGACGTCGAACTTCAGCAAAGAGACGATGTTCCACGCGTAAAAACGCTGCGTAAACGGATATTTTCGCGCATATACAATCGTCCTGCCCTCCAAGTTCTCATCGTAGGGGTCACATCGGTATATAGACCTATCCGTTCCAGCCTCTATTAGACTATTGTGTAAGGGATCGTCAATAGCGGGCATATTAATACCTCGGTTTAGCTGTTCTTTTCCAAAGCTGCTTACCACAATGGCCGAAACGTCGGACCTACTGCGGAACACCGAGTGTGACACCGAGAAGGTAGTAGTGGGTAGTCTAAGTCCTCTGGGGTGGTATTGAGGTCCGTTGCTCCTCAGCTCAATGCAGCCTTGAAGGCCATCAGCTATGGAGTGCCCCAAGGTCTCTCACGAGTGCCGTGGATCGAGACGCTGGCTCTTACCAGCACACAGGAGCCCATCTCTGAGAAAGGCTTAAAGCCTGACGATCGAGTCGAGATCGAAAAGGCTATGTAGCATCACAAGGAGGTTCCTTTCCAACTATCCAGAGGCTGGTCTATGTAGGTACAGCCAAGCCCAGGAGAGTGTAGTAGAGGCTTTCCGGAGGTTCGCTGCTATGGGCATCGAGGCAAATCGCCCTGATGACTTCTATGCTGAGATGCTCAAGACCGATCAGCAGATGGGCAAGGTACACTTGGGAGGGAGCCCTACTGGTGAGTGGAACTTTCTTATTCTTCTTGCTGCAGATTCGAGAGAACCTCGCTGACCAACAGAAGCGCATTGACGTTGTGGAGGAGAGGAAACGGAGGCAGGCCGAGAAGAAGTGAGTAGCCTTACTCTCTTCATGGCTTCCAGCTGCTGTTGAATTCTACACGATTGATTTTGTATGTCAACTTGCGTGTTGCTTGATCGTCTTACTTCAGGTTTGGGAAGAAGATGCAGGTGGCGGCAGCTCAAGCTCGTGCTGCACAGAAACGCGAGAACTTGGCTGAGATTGAGAAATGGAAGGAGGCCAAGGGGGGAGGTACTAAGGCGCTCTCTTAAGTCATACCATTCCTTCGAGAGTAGCCACTTACGAGCTTTAAGGTGTCCAAGAGGGCCAGTCATAAGCCGGCACGTCACCAGTCACTTGGTAGTTGCTGTTCTTCAGATGAGTCTGCTAGCGTTGGGAAGACTCTCGAGAAAGTCTCTAAGAAGGGTGTTCAGCAGGCACCTGCAGTTGAGGATCCTACTGCTCGCTATGGCAAGGGAGGAAAGGGAGGAAAAGGAGGAGAGGGAGGAAAGGGAGGGAAAGGGAAGGTGAATAAGAAGCGCCAGGCAAAGGACAAGAAGTAGTAAGAGGCCGTTCGTGGCTGCGGCTATTGGTGTTCATAGATACGGTCATGGTGGTCCGAAGCGGGTGCTGAAGAACAACTCAGCGGATAGTTGTCGTGACGTATCCTCTTTCAAGGCGTCGAAACATTCTCCTATGGGGAAGGGTAGGGGAAAAGGAAAGGGTAAAGGAAAGGGCGTTAAGAAGCCCATTAAAAAGGCTGCTGGCAAACGATGAAGAGTCTCTTAGCCATTCTGGCAGCGTCCAATATAACTTGTTGCCATCTTGGTAGCGCTGTTCCTACTTACGATATTCTCTACGTTGTACTCGTGCCAATTGAGTTACTGCAGTACGGAGTGTGGCGGTAGGGACTGTCTAGTGTTGACTGTGTTATGGTAAGAACTCGAGGGAAATGGCGGCAAAGAGACGTTGAAAGAATCAACCCTCATTGCGCTGATCATAATGAGCGAATAGCAATCATTTCGGTGTGGTCTGAATAGGCGACAAGCGTCATTATGTTCGAAAGCTGACCCTTCGGGCCCCTGACCCTCTCGAACCGTCGACGTTATCACATTACAACTAACTCCGCGGAGCCATACGATTGGAGTTTAACGCCGAGAACCGGCTCAGTCAGACTAGCACCGATGTATCTTGCTCCAAGAGGGATGAGTTTAGGCAAGTTCATAGAGCATGCACACTAACGCTTAGGCAGAGGATCCGGCTCGATGGCGCTCGCATGTTGGGCATGAACATGGAATGGTCGACCAGGGCTTGCGACTGCAAAATGCTCCCCCTCGATGCTGTTATCGGAGATTCGCTTGAGCAATGCCGTTACTGAAGTCTGCCCGCTCGTGATCGATATCTGCACTATGGCCGGCAATGCGGAATAACATGGGTTAGAGCTTCTATATTGGCTAATGGCACTTGTCAGCAACAGCTCCCTGCTTATTATGGTTCACTCGATGGCTCTGCTGTAGCCTGAATGCTCCACCTGCTGTAATCACTCTATCTCCGACACCTTCTGGGTATTCATAAACGAACACTTCCGACGCTGTCATTGTTGGGTTCGAATTCCTTCTCTTTACGCGGTCCCATTGTAGTGGCCGTTGATGTGTGTGAGGGAGGATGAGATCAGAACACCAGGCATCCGAATCAATGATGACGTGGCTCTCTAGACTGATGTTATATCATTGACGTGGCTCAGTAGAGTTACATAGCGGCCACAGGTTTGATATGATGCTACGCGTACAAGGAGCCATGTGCGTTGGGCAAATCCTCCGTTCGACTCAATAACTCGGCACAGTAGGAGACATCCACATCGATGGGAAACTGTCATTCCGTTGTAACCACCGATAATAGATCATGTTCTTGCACCCTCTAGCTCTCATTCCTCCCCCTGTGAACTCTCGATGATCGTGGCACTTTGTACTCCTGGGAACGTACTGTATCTGGAGTGGTACGCTTAACCCTGGATTTCTCGGTTCATGAGGGAGTCACCTCGCCACCGCTCCATCTCCTGTCTCCTTCTAGTCGCCTCTCGCACTCTTTCTGTCGCGGCTTCATAACCGAGGGGCTGCTGTGAGCTGTTCTTCTTCCCATGAAGAAGTCTCTCCACAGATAGCTTGCTGGCTGCGGTGTCAGGCTTGAACGTACACTCCGCCTCCTAAGCGCCGAATTCATCACGAATCGGTCAACCATTATCGCACTTCCCGCTCTCGTTCGGCGACCATAGCAGCCTCAGCTCTCCCTAATAGCCGTTCGTCTCGAGTCCGACCATCTATGTACAGCTCTTCAAAACGCTTGTGAGCTTGAGAGCAGTGGGAATCAGTCGACTCATGCTCAGGACATTCAGTGCTCTGAGCACGACTATCGCGCCTCATCTTGAGTATCACTCTCACCCTAGGTCTCCGTCTACTGGTGAGCTGTGGGTTGAAGGTGCAATCCTTCAGCTCTGAGACGGCCATCTCTTCGGCTCTTGCCGTGAGCCGATCCTGGGCCTGGCACGCGAGGAGTGTTCCCCTGGCATTATGTGGATCTCACCAGCCGCTTCCTGAGTATCATAAGATCGGCATGATCCACTACGCCATACTCTCGCCGAAGCTCCTCGTTCGCCGCCTCCGCCATGCGCTTACTCGATTGAAGGATTGAGGGACTCTCCGTATCACTTTCACCTATAAGACGATTTTCCTACACCGACACGCTTCAGGCAATGTGCCCAGGAAGAGCGAAATTGAGGCGTCCTTCTCAAGGACCAGACGGGCTTAGTCCTATTTCGAACATTTTGACATGCATGTGGTTCAACTTGAGATTGCTTCTCATGGCTGATCTACCGGCTGGACTGTTCATATCAGGGGTCGCAGCCGTATTCTGCTTGAAAAAGCTGCTCAGATTGAACCTGTTAGCGAGTGCATCTGAAGTGCACTGACTTTGGAGACTAACCCAGGTGGCAGACTTTTCCTGACTTCTTCGCGGAATGCCTTCAAAGATTGATCCGCTGCGACGGGCCCTGCATCGAAAGCCAGCGAGAGTAAATAATCAGCTTCATTCTGTCTCAACGACCTGCATCCTCGGACGGTTCATCTGAGTAGCCACCAAGTAAGTGGAGCATCATGTTGATACATGTGGCAGGGGTCGAGGTGTCCTGATACGGAGCGTTCCGTTTTGCAGTCTTCGTCGAGCTCACAGCGTCCGGTAGTTTTATAAGTCTCCACAATCTGCGAGCGAGAGATCTTTCTGAGAGTTCTCTTTCATCATCATCCTCCTCAACACCAAGGACAACAAGGAAGTCCGCGAAGTGAGCAAGTGACAAAATATCGTCATCGCCAAGAATGGAAGTGAGAGCCGCTCGAAGGTGCCGCCGGAGTAAAGCTCGATAGGCCCTATACAAAGCAGCGGCTCAGGACGCCGACCAGGAATGGAATTTGTATATCTCACTTGCGACTCCTTCTCGAGAGCTTTGAACTCTGGGATGCTTGCTGAGTGAAAACTGCCTGGCGCTCTGAAGCTGCTTTAGTTCGACGACTCTGGCGCTCCACAGCCTCGCTGTACCTGGGTATCAATCTCACTGAGGAGCAGTACAGCACTTATGGTCAGCGGCTTCCCAGAGTGGTTGCGGGGGGCTCCAGTGAACAGCAATATACCAGTGAGAGACAGAAAAAACAAATCCCCGGCGACTCACAGAGCGTTCGATCTACGGCAACCTTTCTTGCTGGCTTCTGCTGTGTGCGGCATCGGATGCGTACTCGATTCGGAATCCCCTCGATTCTAGATAGTTAACAACATGTTAAAGTTCTCATGGACTTCCTAGTGTGTCACCTTGGAGGAACGGGAGTGTTCAGACTCATACAGACGCTCATGTACGGCACGGCTATCGTGATTGCGTGATCTAGCCAGCCTGGTAGATCGGGGGCATATCTGAGGAGTTATCGGGTCCAGGGAGTCTGGGACCATCGTCATTGTGGCTGCAGTGATGACCTTGGGATGATGGTAGCATTCTTTATTCATATCTTCCTCTACTTTGGCTAAATGTCGTTGCCTGTTCACACTGTGGGCGAAATTCTGACTGCGAGGGCTGACAGGAGATCATGGTGAATCAAAATGGCAATCCTACACCGTTATGATCCGGTTCAACAGCCGTGGTGTAAATGTGCATTCTTGGAGTTCTTTCGACTCTATCTCCGTCTTTAATCGTCGACGATTAGCCTCCATCCTCAAGATGAAGTCGCGGTTACTCGCCTAAGGATTCGTATCGTCATCATGCGGGATTTGCAATACATCCCCACTGCAAAGTTGGGTCTGGCAGGTGTACACTTGTCCATGTCCGGCTGAAAACAGTAACCCCTGGGAGGATATAAGAACTGGGGAATATATGACCAGTAGAACTATACGACTATATATATCCAATATATGACCAGTAGAACTTCTACTAGCTCCCGTTGTTGTATTCAGCCTACCCTTTCAACATGCTACAGACAACGGTTGAGGGCTTAACCTCAGATATGATACGGCATTTCCAGAAGAACAGAAGTTCGATCATGTCGACATGAGGCGAATCGTAACGACCACCTTGCTCTGCATTGTTGTTGTTAGAGAGACTTCCTCGTTGTCTAGCGTCGAGTTGGATGCAACTTCCGATGCTAGGGATTCAGGAGGATCCTCTGAAACCATTCAAGGAGTAGTTACAACTGCCCGATGGTATAGCCGAATTCGCGATGGACACGTCGCTCGACACTGTGACGGACGGTGCGGTTTAGTCGAGTAGTTGACCAGAACAGACGGAGACCGAATAGATGTACACGCATGAACCTGAGTATTCGTCCTCCTCTTCATCCTCTTCTTTGGGTGGACAGAATGCTTTATGGCTCTCCAGTTCCGAGGCCCGAACGGTAGACTAAGAAGTGCCAGGCATGAGGTGTCCGATGTCCTACCGAGGCAGGGCTACCCGACAGATTGTGCAGCGGTACATCTCCTCTGGCACATGTGGAGGAGGGCTTGGATGATCAGCAGCAGTAGACTCCGTAGTTTGCCGAGACTCTCTGTTCGCTTCTGGGGAGGAACGATAATTCTCGAGAGGTCCGTCCACCGTTGCTCGCCGGGCCGATAGACTCTCCTGAGAGGATGTGAGCTGAAAGGAAGACCTCGGGCGGATGCTTCAGCGTTAGCAGCCTTAGGATCCTCACACGCGGACTCAGCTCGGGCACAGGCAACATGACACTGAAAGAATGACGGGTCAGGTCAAATGGTAATGTTGGTGATGTTAAACTGTTGCGTACGGATGCTGCTGTCTGAGACGTGGTAGAAGTGACGAGGAGTGTATGATAGCAGCTCCTACACTCATAGGCTCTGAATTTTGGGGACTGTTCCTGCCGACGCTATATGGCATATGGATCGGCGGCATCGTCGTACTGGCTCTACGAGGATCGGGGTGGTAGGACATCATCATCCCTGTATAACCCTGCGATGCTCTAGGTGAATGTCACACGGTAGACTCATGTGGCACTTTCCCACTCGATACCAGAATCCGGCTGAATTCGGCACAAAGCTAGAAGATTGATCGATGAGGCTGAGTTGAGATTGTTTCGTCTGTTATTGTGTGGATTATGACATTGACTGACAAGCAAGGCGGCTATTTAGTGGTCATAGGAAAAGTAAAGACGTGCATGAAGCTCTTTACGGCAGCTGCATAAAACTGTAGATTTTTGCAATACTAATAATACGACGACACTAAACCATCTCCACATTGATAAGAGGGACCGTGAAGCTTTACTAAAGACACACGAATATTCCAATTCGCGACACTCACCCCGGAGTGAAAGCCGCACATGCAACGACAAGGAGGGATAGAATAGTGAGTACTAGCAGATATGAGTGATATTTAGTTACTATTCGTACACCTGATTAGAGTAACATTCGAGTTCACGAATGTGACTACTGAGTGTCAGTTGAGGTAACCCCCGAGACTCCACCTCCGGATCGAGCATTCAGAAGACTCTGCAATAGATCGGACGATGATGGCGGGACTCCCCGAATAACCCGCCTGTTGATAAGCTGCTTGTTGAGCGAATGTTGGTATCATGAGCGGTGCATTAGATGAGTGAGTTCCGTCCGGACGAGCCGTTCCATGCGAGCTGTGAGGGAGGCTGCGTTACGGGTGAGAAGCTGCGTCCTCGAAATGCCACCTTTGCTTACGTAGTTCAGGCTGCCCGTTGGGCGATGGCTGGTCAGCCCAACAGATAACGAGGCGCCACTTCGCGTGGAGAACTCCATCACGATACGCAATAGAGACACTTCTTATGTGAGTCTAGTGCTACAATCAAAGGTCGTTGTTGCCAGAAGATATCCGAAACGAAATCAACGACGGCCACACTAAGCAACGAGTTAAGCGGGCTAGCATTCCCTGAGGGCAAAATACGGGGGTGATGTACAAAATCCAAGGGAGACAAGTTGATGGGTAAACCCGAAACCCGACAAGGCAACCAGAAACCCGACCTGTTATACGGGTGAAAGCTGTTACCTAAGGCAGCCAGAAACCCGAACTGTTATACGCGTGAAAGCTGTTACCTAAGGCAGCCAGAAACCCGAACTGTTATACGGGTGAAAGCTGTTACCTAAGGCAACCAGAAACCCGAACTGTTATACGGGTGAAAGCTGTTACCTAAGGCAGCCAGAAACCCGAACTGTTATACGGGTGAAAGCTGTTACCTAAGGCAGCCAGAAACCCGAACTGTTATACGCGTGAAAGCTGTTACCTAAGGCAGCCAGAAACCCGAACTGTTATACGCGTGAAAGCTGTTACCTAAGGCAGCCAGAAACTCGAACTGTTATACGGGTGAAAGCTGTTACCTAAGGCAACCAGAAACCCGAACTGTTATACGCGTGAAAGCTGTTACCTAAGGCAGCCAGAAACCCGAACTGCTGAGAGCGAGCGACAAACCACCTTGGATTTTGTCGTTCTTCCTTGGACACGAGCGAGATGAAAAACTACTTGCCCACTTGAAGATTCTCGTACTTCCCTCAACGTTACAGAGTAGATCGGGGAGATGATGTTGTTGACTTGACGGCTTTCGTGAGAGCTAGGACGTGACTTCTATGAATGGCGGATACGTTTGAACTCCTGGGAGGATTAGTGAGAACCCGTGGAAAAATGTTGACCCAAATCACACAACACAGCGATGGGTGAGCCTGGTGAGGTTGAAGTCAACTCTCGATCGCCTTATGCATACCTCTTCTAATGCCTGGGGCGTTCTTGATGATGTACCCTTTGCAGCTGTTTTTATTCGCTATGGACGAGTTCAGGGGGTACAGCGACTCTGAAATCGAAAATAACGATGGCGTAGGGTCGGAGACAGGATCATTGAGCGGAGGTAGTACAGGGGTGATAGGCCAATCGGTGTCACCATCACTCCGTAGAGTTCGACAATGATGGTGATATCGAGATGAATGCTGAAGATTTAGAGACCTAAGATCTTCTAAGACCTAAGATATCTAAGATCTTGGCGTTAAACATACCGTCATTCATAACGCGTTGACATAACGCATGAGAGGCAAGTTAATTAAAATTCCACAAGCGCAAACCATCCTGTGGGGCTTATTTCCAGCTCTGTGCACATGGCCTCTGGCTCTCGTGTCCAGAATATCGAAGCGTTTCAAAAAGCAGAACGCTCGCTCTACTATACTCTTCACGCTCGTATTAAAAACGTTCTACGTTACGCTCAGTTAAGTCTCGTGAATCGCGTGGATCACTTTCCATAACGAGTCGTGATGGAAAGTGATCCATGCGTTGTGTTGTGTTTTACGCGTTTAACACTTCGCGTAACGCGGTAAACACGTTATGACGCGTTATCGCGTTAGAGTTTTTCGTGATATTGCGTTTCACGCGTGCGTTTTGACGCGAAGTGTTATCTCAATACAACATATCGCGTTTCTCGCGTAAAACACTTCGCGTAAAACAGTTTTACGCGTAAAACAGTTTTACGCGTAAAACAGGTGAAACTCCAATGATTTGTTGTGGTAGATCATCCAGAAGCACTGCAGCCGGTCACGCCAAACGATGATGTTCAGCGCCACTATGAATCAGGAGGTGTTGCTGTTTCTCGCGGCTGAAAGTTAACTTTCGTTGCGCATTGCTGTAGGTGTTGAAACTTGCCAAGGTGGTCTTATCCAAACCTCTCACTATTGCGACCACCAAGGCCAACCGGGTAGCCCCCACGTTGACACAGGAATTCGTAAGATTCTTCGGGCGAGCGGTAAGGGAGGCTGCCGCATCACTGTCCCCTCCTCAGATTCGAGTCACTTCTGAGCGACAGCGAGAGGCCACACTCCTGGCTGCGTGCACGAAGCATTCTACGTAGTATCGGCTACCGTTAGTTTATTCCGGATCTCTAGCGGAGCGAACCAGATGAAGATGTCGCTTTTCAGGAAGCGTTGTCTGATTTTCTGTGCACAGAAGACCGCTCATCGTATGGCTGTCCTGCTGGGTCTAGTGGGAAAGGTCAAGTTTGCGGAGCTGCATGGCAACCTGCCATGGAAGCGACACTGTTGGCTTCGAGGGTGATGAGGACCGAACTGATATGGCCCCTAGTAAAAAGAAGAAGACCAGCGAGAAGGTGGAAGCAGCCGCTCGTGGGGTTCGAACCTGTGCGGGGAAGGCCTCTTCAGGTTTCGAGAGGCGCTCCCACCTTTGCTGCCAAACCGAAGGCTGGCGGTGTCGATAGGTCTATTAAGAAGCAGAAGGGACCAAAGGGAAAGTCCCGCTATAGAAAACGATGAGACACCGCTTACGTGTTTACCACGTTCCTTAATGCTTGACGTTTGCACTCATTACTGAGCTCTTCTGTTGGGTCACTAGGGGGAGGGGGCAAAGCAGTACCCAGGCTGATGGCATCATCTTCGATTTTCGATTCTTATGCGAGTGAGTGTAGACGGCAAGTGGCTGAGGCAACGTCGCTAGAAGAAGTGGAGCGTAAGGGGTTCGGGGAGGTCTGTGGGTAGTGGGTATATGAGTAGGGATGGTCGCGAGATTGGAGCAGCTGGCTCGGTCGGGTCCACAGGCTGAGCGGTCAAGGCGGATGGCCGTTGTAGGGGAGCTCAGGGCCTTGGTACGGCAAGCAAAGGGTAGTGGGGTTTGGTAATAGGGGGGAAAGAGGAGTTTTGTAGGAGGGGTGGAATCGACACAGCGTCTGGTGGCGTTGGGGGAGGCCTCCTCGTCTGCGCTGAATCAGGCTATACTCAATACGGTAGATACGGAGAGGACGGCTTTAGGTGAGGGGGAGGGGGCTTGTGTGGGGAAGAGGAGGAGGAGGGACGTGTTTAGGGATAACGAGTGAGCTGGCAAGGCAGCGACAGACTTTAAGCAGGGCTAAGGCTAATGCTGACATGCTCGAGGACGATCTATCAGTGGCTCGAGGGAGCGTGGGTGTAGAGGGAGGTGGCCGTGGGGTAGTTCAGTGGGATAGGTACAGAGGATGGAGAGCAATGCCACGCAGTGTTGTGTGATGTAGCAGCGAAAACCGTTCGACATCTCACTGCATGCCGTTTGCTTCCCTAGTGTGTTAGAGGCTGCAGTGCTTTTCTTATGGTTGTAGTCTTTGCATGGGAGGAGGGAATATTCGATATTGTCGACTGACACGACGTGAATGTAGTTGCTACAATGGACCATGCTTGGGCCTACTCCCTGCCCAATACCCCTACCAAGGCTGCCAAGGCGGTTTCGCCAGCAGGAGCAGCCCCGAAGGTCCTCACTCCAGCTGAGGTGAGGGCTAGAGCTAGTCGAAAGCGCTTTCATGTGAGCCTGGTGACGATCGTGGATAGATGGGAGCGTAGGAGGGCGGTTGCATCCACTACTAGCAGTACGTGAGGGTGCGTAGGTACGTGTAGTGGTGGCTGTCTGAAACAAGTCAGGAAGATGGCTGAGCTGAGGCGGCAGCGCTCGGCTATAAGGGGCATGGCCACGAGGAAGTAACTCTATTGGTGCCGAGGATGGCATCCGGGATGCTATTCTTATAGGACGTTTTCTCCCTGTACATCATTTCGTGTGAGGTCTGTGGCCCTTGGCAACACTGAGGAGCTGATCGAGACTGCTAGAGGGGAGCTGAATAAGGCACTACATGACTTGGTGAGAGCTCCCAGTGTTGACAACAGTCTAGGCCTCAGCTGCAGGCACTTACTCTGGAAGACCTTCACACTTTATGCGCTGAGTATGATGGAGAGGCTTGTGCTGCACTTCACTTCGCCACGAAATTAGAAGATGCATATCGAGAGGAGCTCTCCCTACGGCGAGATCTGGTAGAGGCAATGGCACGGCTAGAGTACCCGGAAAATTTCAGCGGCTTTCAGCGGATCCTCGTAGTGTTTGCAGGTAGGGGTTGATACTGTTACTACTGACATTAGTTTCTCTCAGAGCTGAGCAGCACGGGCTACTCTCTGTACCAAGCGTGTTGCGCCGTAGTCGATTTCCACGCATGTGTGGTGGTGGAGGCGGGGGAGAGCAGCGAGCTGGTGGACCGTGTAAAGGCTCGGCTGAGGCATCTTGCTGAGGACTGAGGGAGTAGCTACGCTCAGCTTTACCAGTGTCTCTGCGGTCACTAGCCTTGTGTTAGTGTGTGAGGGGATGGTCAGTGAAGGTAGTGCTTTTGGAGAGATGCGTTATAAGATCAATGCGACTGATATTATAATAGCAACTATAGTTGGAGGGGGTAGCATGCTGTACACTTGCTATCCCATAATGAGGAGGCTAGAAGACCACGACAAAGTAGGGGGGACTGTAGCCACCAGTGTAGGAAAATATGTATATGGTCAACTACATGTGAGTATGAATTCTGAGGAAATTTGGTGAAATTTTCCTTGTTTTCTGTACACTTCGACCAGAATTTGAATGCCAACTTGCATAGTTAGTGAGAAACTGTTGAGGTCAGCTGAGGAAAGCGGACGTGTATTCGGACGCTGGTAGCGACTGTATAAACCTCACTGCTCACCGATGCGGACTAGGCTAGCTCTGCGAGCGTATGAGACTGGTCATTGACGCTCATGTTAGAGAGCAGGCCACTGTCAATAGGGGTATACGCCGCGAACCGAACAGTTGTAAATTTCCGACATGCCGTATTTCAATTTGAAAGTAGTACAACAATACACTACGGAACGCTTCCAAGACTTAATCGATTCATACTGTTATCATGTTGATATCACTCAAAGTTGACTTTCGAACTGCCGAGAATTGCATCGGAAATTGTTCTTTGCATGACGGGTTGGTTCACACTGTAGACATATAGACGCTATCTTCACTTCCTATCAGGCCATTCTAGAAGCTCGTAAACGGCGAGCCGAGCGGAAGGAGGCGGAAGCTGCTACTGCATTAGGGCCGAGGGCAGATGATGATGGTGTTGATAATGGTGATGAGGAGGTGTATCCGAGGACGAGCATCTACGACCCTCTCGGGCCCCCAATCGAGGTCCCAACGGCCTCTAAACCGTCTGGGGTGTGGAGCAAGCTACGGTTCTGGTAGGGCGATCGCTGCATGGCACAGCTTATACTGTTTCTGATCACCCTTGCTTGTGTTAGCTAGGGACAGCCCACTTGTGTGAATTCCACTTGAGTAGTTTCCTATATTTTCCCGAATATGCCTGTGATCCCTGATAAGAGCACTATGCTGGGCGCCGTCATTCACTGTGATCGGAGGGAGTCTTCAGCTAAGCATAGTGGCAGTGGAGATCTCTTCCCAGCGTTGGAGCTTAGCCAGGATCTGCCTATACCAGGTGAGGAGTTGGGAAAGGTGTGGTATGCTCTTTCGAAGGGTCATTGTGGAATTGTTCGTTACAGATGCCGCAGAAGTCCGCCAGGCTATTGGAGAGGAAGCCTACGAGTCACTTGTTAATTGCGGGGAGAGTGGTGCTGCCGGCGGGGACCTTAGACTGGTCAAAGTCCTCCGAGGTGGCATCTGCGGCACCGACATCCACATGTTGAAAGGCTATGTGGATGATGCTGTGGCCGTCGATGGCAAGAGCCCTCTGGTGCTAGGACATGAGTTCGTGGGTAGAAGGAATCGAGCACCCGAGTTCGATCCCTGGTGACGGCTTTTTTCCTTGTGTTAGGCATCGACACCAGAACAGAGAAGAGAGTGGTGGCTGGTATCAACATACCCTGTGGAAGATGCCCTCTATGTCATCAGGCAGCTGCGGAAGGCCGCGAGGACCTGCTAATAAGGCGTCGCAATCACTGTCCCCATCGCCACTGCATCGGCATCCATAAATGGTCCGGCTGCCATGCTGAGTACCTCCTGGTCCCCTCTGGCAACCTTTTCATCGTGCCTGAGTCTTTGACCGACCTCGAGGCTTGCTGTACTGAGCCCCTAGCAGCGGCCCTGCGCATAGTTGAACAAGGCATTGTCAAGGCTGGGGATAGGGTAGGAAGTCACGAGGCTTCTCAGTGAAGGTGGACTATTTCCCCATAGGTATGCATCATAGGAGGTGGTCGACTTGGTCTCATGATAGCTGAGGTCCTCATGCGTCTGCCGTTGGCCCAGCGAGTGACGAACGATGAGGCAGAGGAGAGGAGTGCACAGCCGTTGAAGGAACTGTGTGTTATTGGCAGCGACGTTCAAAGGATGCGCGATGTCTTAGGCCTGGTTGAAGGTAGACGGGAGATCACAATTCTCTTCCATCGTCGTGATCGTCCCATCCAAGTTACTTCATCATAGGTCCGGCTTCCATCGATCGATCATGCTACAGAGCCCTGATGAAGTCTGCTGATGGGGCTAGTGTGATGGAGATGAAGCTAGTCTCGAGATACAGCCTCCAGTGCGCTACTGCTGGTGCCGAGGGTGACGATTCTAGACTTTTTGATGTTGTTATTGAATCCACCGGTAGCAGTAGCTACGCTGCTGCCTTGAGCGGTGCCATGAACCTCTGCCGCAAAATGGGTGGGTGGAGAGCTCCTCATTAGCCTGCCTCCTTCTATGATCTCTCCATGCAGGCACGATTGTTATGAAGACTACGGCGTCGGCGGAGGAGACTCCCAGTCTTGACCAAAGCCTCTCAGTGGGCTCCCTTATGACGCGCTGTGTCGTGGACGAAATGAAATTAGTCGGCTCCCGCTGTGGCCCTATGGGTAGAGGCATCGTCTGCTCCCTCTCGTATCCATGCTGTTGTCTCAGGTGCTGCTCTCCGCTTTATCGAGGAGGCTAAGAAGTCTTCTAGTGCCGACTGCGTAGCTGACCCATCCCCTGTCCCCTCACCGTGCGAGGCATGTGGAAGCTCTGTTGTGTCGTCTCTCGCCTCCCCACCTCCCCTGTCTCTGTCACGACATATCGGCGCGGTTCTCCCCCTCTCAGAAGCGGTCAAGGCATATACCTTGGCAGCAGTACATCACACGAAAGGCGGTGTCGCTGGCAGGGTTCAACTCGTTGCTCCACAAGAGTGATTCTCGTGTGTCTTTGAGGCGTGTATTTTCTCAACTGGTATTTGTTCAGTTTCTATCAGCACGTTAATTTATCTTGTGTTCAATGAGCAGTTGATGATCAGAATAAAATGAGGGAGTGGGCCTGTGCGGCCTCCGAATATACCTTTTATGAGGCGTAGCCTCGTCAGTGTCCGATGAGTTACATGGGAGTGTCCGCCAGTGGTTCCTCCCGGCAGTGTCGGCAGATGAAATCCCTAAAACTTGCAAGGTTGCTAGGATCATTCGTGAGTCCATAAGGTCGAGCTGATAGCCTTTCCCCTTGGATGGTTAGCCCTGAGGGGAGAGGACTTAGTGACTGAGGGAGAAGATAAATCGATTTATGTGCGAACCCTTGAGCAGTGTCAGAGTTAAGCAACTTCTTATTCTTCCCGATCTTCATTACAATAGCATTTCTGATAAGGGCTAAGTTGGTGCTCCAAATTTGGATAATACGACCATCGATAATACGACTGCCGATAGTACTAATGCCTAACTAGTGCCAAGTACTAGTGCCGATAATACGACAGTTACTTTCTCAATAATCACTTCTCGAAAGAACCTCTACCTGAATCAATCTTCGAAAAACGTATCGCGCATTCGCATTCACAAACCATATACTGATTCCGTGGAACACAACAAAACTGAACAGGATTTATCACAAGATGCAAACGAGGGGAAATGAAGACATTTCCGCATACGAAGGAAACACAGCAGTAGAAAGCGTTCAGACAGATGACGAGCTCAGTAGAGACGCTCTGGCTCATGATGAGTCTGCTGAAGTAGATGAGTTTCAGCAACTGCAAGGAATATCCGTACCGTGACAGACATTCGGTAACTTGTAAGTCATACAGAAGCTGCCTGGCTGCTGTAGGGCACAGAAGGCATCACACTGCCTACCAGTAGTCGGAGGATTCTGAGTGGATGTCCAGACGGCACTCGATTCAGTAGGCATCGGTGTAGTAGGGACGCCTTCGCAGCTGCAGGGCAGGGTAGTGCCGAAGCAGACTGAAGGGTCCTGCCAGTATTTACAGTAAGAACCAGGTTTGACGCTCTCACAGTAGTCGTCACAGGTCGGCACAGCAGTTGCGTAGACTGCAGTGAAAATGATGAGATAAAATGTGGCGATGATATTGAGACGTGATATCATGTTTATCGATAAACAAGGGCTTAACTTTGTTAGAATCGATGAAGATAATGGGAAAAATCTATGAAATCATTAACCGCTGATCCGCCTGCTATAGCCACGTTGTGACACTTTGCACGACTTGTGTTCACACGATCTGTCTATGTGGTGTATGGCACCAATAAGGTTGGAGACTTGATGAAAATACCGCTACGGATGTCGTGCGGTTCTATCATATGGTGCGACTTGTGAGGACCCAAGAAGTGTTCATTGCGATCTGGACTACCAACTGGATAGATTTCCAGCCGAGCTGCTTCATCGCCGTAATATCCCGTGCCATCGCCCGCACGCTATCTCCCTATCCTCAGAAGGAAATACCTTAACAAATAATCGACACCATTGAGATAATCTCGATAGGAAGAAAGGTAGAGGAGCTTGAGTTTGAGACTCTTGGGGATATCTTCAGCTTAGAAGCATTCATATTTTCATCCTTGTACGCTACGCCACTATACTTGAGTATCCTTCACGTGGTAGTTGCAAGTCAATTGCAACAGACTTCGCAAGACTTTGCAAGTCAATTAGGACACTCTGATAACTTAGTAGTTACGACCACGCGGCCCACGACTTGGCCCAGGAAGGTCGCCTCCAGGTTGCTAGCGCAGACACACATAACTTGAAAGTCATGACGCTGGTACACAGAGAGAACCTTTCACATGAGGGGGTCACCCGTTGACCAAATTCGGTTTACTGCCCTGGTCCAGCTTGGAACTCGCGTTGCCAACCGTCATCACGACCTTGCCGGATCTGCTAAGTCATCACTTCTACCCCTTTTAAAGGCCTATTTCGCGTTTAGTAAGATCAATTTCGCAGGTCGAACGATCATTCGAGCCAAGATATGCCTTAGTAATATCAAATTCCCCGGCGCGCTCGATAGAAAAATCAATTTCGACGACACGTGTCGTTAGTACAATCAATTTCGCCGGCACGTCTGGAGTAAGTTCCATTTCGACGAAGCGCGGGAATCAATTTTGCTGATAGGACATCCTGTGAAAAGCTGTTTAAAAGCTTTGAAACTGTTAAACAGCTTCAAAGCTCACTCATGTTCGTCATCATTTCGTTCGTCGAGGATGTTCAATCGTTATCATGCACATCCTCGCCGCGTTACGATTCGTCTCATTCGGTTACCCTTCTTCTCGTGGTCATCCTCCTCTGTTGAGTTCAAGTCCGTTATTCCTCTAACCACAACACTCATCGTTTCCTCATAACACTGCTACGAAGTTGAGTCCTTCACCCCAAAGGTGCCTATGGCGATTCGAGACTGAGAATCGTCGCTGATAGGAGAGTATAAGAAAGTAGAGACAGAGCATGGCGACGAAAGAGAGGGGTGGGGGGCCCACTGCTCATCAATTCAGAGTCGCGTCACCACGAACACGGGGCCGATTGCCACCAGGCGACTATAAAACACAAGAGAGTAGTACAGTAAAGAGAGACAGTTGGAGTGGTATTAAATCTCCCTCGTACCCTCCTCTTCCTTCTTGACGTTACGCTAGAGCTGAAGGGACTATACGCAGAGCCTATAGGTGACGTAGCGACCAGCGGTCTCCGAGGGACGGATGATCTTCATAACCTGGCCTTTCTTCAAGCCGTAGTACCTGGCAGGAGAACTATCCAACTGTGAGATTACCATCGACAGTACCTCGCCACTGGGTCGGAACTCTGTATTCTAGGCAGCTGATTTTCCTTCACCTTATACCTCTCGAGCAACAGACGCTTCTCCTGAGGATTGACACGAATCTTTTAGGTCCGTGGTGACACGGTAGAGTCACCTCGGGCGTAAGGGGCTTGTGCTCCGGTACTAGCTCGTGATGGGTGATGTTCACAACCAATTCGGACTCGTTGAACACCTCTATTTCCATCTGTGGACTGGCCTCCTGGATCTGAGGCGTGAAATCTCGAGGGACTTCCCTCTCTATAGGGTATCATTACAGCGGTCTTGGCAAATGCAGTGAGAGGCTGCTGGACCACTAGGATGGCTCGAGAGAGCCTCTGTTCCTCCATCTTCAGGGCGAGTCTGTGCGGAGAGGAAAGTGGACGGAAGTTCGGATGGGAATATCCTTACGTTCTGATCGGTTTCACACCAACACGTTTGTTTTCATCAGGGAAGAATACGATGAGTTGATCGCTGGGGTCGTCTTGTTTAGAGACCTGTAGATGCAGAGTCGGAAGGCGCTGTGGGAGGGGATGTAAGTACCAGTATGATGAGGTCGTGCCGGCCACCCTTCCTCTCTTGAATTTCATTCCACTGTTGAGCAAAGGACTCCTTGGTCTCGTTCAAGTACCTATGGATACTAGATGATACGCCAGGCTGTAGGCAGTAGTACTCAAGATGTGACGAAGGAGTGGTATGAAATAAAATGTAATTCAGATTGGACTCGATCTGTCGCCCAGTGTGTGGACTTGAACTATCCGAAACTCCTCCATCGCAGCGCCAATTTTCCCACATTTTCCCACCAGCTATTACTTCTGAGCCACCACATATCCTCTATCCTGTAGCAGCTCGAAAATAGTCTTCCGTACGCGCCACAGACGGATGGTCGTGTCGTCAATAGGCCCTGACGACATTTTTGAAGGGAATATCAATGGATTGCTTGGGCGCGCGCGGTATGACGAAGAGTGATTCCAAGGCTGGCTTTGGGTAGTGTCTTATCGAAACAGTTGTGTTAGGTTGTGTTACCTGATGGCTTCTACTACTACACCGTTCGTTACTACTCCTACACCGTCTTCTACTACCAATAGTAGCAGAGATACACTTTTGATCGTCACCAGTGTGGCGATGGCAATAGCCACTCTGGCACTTGTCTTTATAGTAATACCCACACCTGGGAAAGTCTACAGGGTGGAGTATTGATGATGGGTCAGGTCCGCGTACTGGATAGGTGCTCACCTGGAAGTGGGTCTACAGTTGAATCGGAGCCTCGAAGGCGCGAAAGCCCTGCGGAAAGAGCTGAGCGCTTACAAGATCTCATCGACGAGCAGGCCACGAGGCTGTCGTATCGGCTGTGGGTCTCCAAGAAACGCGGCTTGCTGAACTCAACGGAGGTAGACACTTTCATCGAAGCCTCATTTCGATATCATTATAGGAAACTGCTGAGGACGCAGCGAAGGCCGATGAGGAGGCTAGTGTTGGAGCTCAAAAAATTCCATCATTTTCCATGAAGTCAGTATCGTTCAATCTGGGTGCTGATGTGGTGAGCTCTGATGAGCCACCTTCCACGGAGGGCGCAGGAGAGGATAACGAGTAGGATAGAAGGCATGGGTCGTCTCCGATGGGGGTATGGTCAGATCGGACTGGACTTGCGACTGTGCTATATGCCTGGGAGAATTCGAGAATGATGAAATGGTTTGCGAACTTAAATGTGGTCACATTTTTCACGAAGAATGCGTTCACGGGTAATAACATTTCCCAGTGGTAGTGTGTACGACTTCTTGCCCTCAGGTGGTTCGTCAGTTCTCGCAAACCTCGTTGTCCTGTATGCAGGATGGAGGTTGGTGGAAGCCTGAGTTCACCGTGGTGTGGTATTGGTGTTGGTCAGGTTAAATCTGAGAAGGACGATGTAGAGGACGTCGAGCAATCCTCTAACGTGCCTGAGCAATCTGTCTCCGACCTCGAAGGCAGCGATGGGTTGACTCATAGAATGCAACCCGTGATTGCGATTTAATAGAAGCTTTTGTATCAGCTCGATTTCACCCTTATTAATCGTTACTCCTTACCGTATGCTGTAACATGTTGTCATCTCTAGATGGGATCAGCTTAGTTTTTGAAAGATGGTGCCGTTCCTGCGAACGGGGTCGTTCTTCTATGAGTACCCTCGCGCCTAAACGGCCGCTTTACGTTTCATTGTCATTCGATGATGGCTTGGAGTTATTAGTTCGCCCAGGGAGGGTGGAGCACGCCATCTGACGAATAGAAGTGATCGGTTTTACATGAGAGTAGGGAAGGATGAATATCTTCTTGGATATTTATTGGACGCTTTCTTGTATTGTTCATCGTGTGTGCACTGCGTTGATCATGTTTTCTCTAGCGTCTCATAGTAGCAGGCTAGACAGTATTGCTGCTCGACCGAGACAAAAATGGCGATGTTTTGTGATGAGTAGTGTCGATGATGTTCATTCCAGAGAGTCCCAGACGACAGCGGCCTTGTTCATCATTATAGGAAGCAGGGGTCATAAGTATCTGCTCATAGCTGGGTGTTGTCGCTCTAGCGATTGGAGTTTGGGTACGTCAAGGAAACCCCTCGGGGACTTCATTTGACGCTGGCTCTTATGTAGGGGGGTACACAGGGGAATGGGATGGATATGCTGATAAAGAGTCCAACAGGGCGACATGCAGACAGGTGTTGTCGTTACTACAACGGAAATGCAAATGTGAGGAGTATCGGACGTTACACCGCAGGCGATGCAGGGACTCATCCGAAGTAGTAAAACTACTATCACTATTGCTCCTTGGCTTGCTTCTCGGAACACGAAGTGCTTGGATGGCAATGAGGATGTCGTGAAGTGCTACTATGAGTGCTACTATATGTGCTACTATACGGCCCGCAGCTGTGTTTGCCGAAATGTATCGCATTATAGCAGTAGAGTGAATTCCTATGTACTCAGTACAGTACCTCTATGGTGGTGTTCAACATCCCTGCTATTCTTCCATTTTTTTAGAGTAAAACAACAAGACTGCATGTTCGTTATGTGATTGCTACACAGGGACTCGCGACCTGATGGTGGTTCACACCTTTAGCCTTTTCTAAATAACTAGGATGGTTAAGTTGTGCTGTGCGTCGTACTCTATGGATTGGTGTATACGGGAGGGATGTTGTGTTAGTCTCCCTTTTGTAAGAACGCCTATCATCAATATGATCATCATCACTACTACTACCCCAACAATGGTAGCAATAGCATCTGTGACCGAGGACTCACAGTCAGAGACACACAAGACACTTTATATGATCATCGCGGCTATAGCCGCCATTGCTGTCATGGGATCTGTCTTTCTGGTAGGCCGCTCAACGCGCAGTACATCGATAGTTGTTGTTGATGTTCAGCTCCGAGTGTATTTCTGTGGCTCATCTGAGCGTGGTGAATCGTATGATGAAGAATGCCAGGACCCAACGACGAGGCGGAAGAGGCGACTGAAGTCGTTGGTGGAGGAGAAGACTCTTCGTGCGGAGTACAAGGACTATAAGCTCTTGCAACGAAGTCGGATGAGCACTATGGTATGCTGGCGAGTGGCGTTACAATGAGGATTGTTGTTGACTCTTGGACGGTTGTTCTTATAGTGATGATATTGTGATCGATGTGGTTGAGGACATCGTGGCGGTTCACAGGTCTCTTCCTTCGACGAGGGCTCCTTGTATGAAACCTCAGCCGAAGCTGACTCGGTCATCACCGGTAGAGGGATGGCCTCCTCTATGTTCCACTTGGAGAACGATGATGACGCTGAGGAGTTGTACCCGTCAGGAAAAATGTAAGCACGAGGTTAGTCGTACTGGGGGTGATTTCATGTGTCTAGGGGTGCTGGAAGAGCAACGGAGTGCGCAGTTTGTCTCGGCGAATATAAGTCTGATGACCTCGTGTGTGAGCTCGAATGTGGTCATGTGTTCCATGAGGATTGCCTTTTCAAGTAGCATCCATAATTTTGTGGCGCGCGGTCACGACTCTCGATCATTTTAGGTGGTTCCTGAGGTCCGGCAACGCCCAGTGCCCGCTCTGTCGCTATAATGTAAGTAATCATCTCGCTCTCTGTTCGGGTATGATGTCTCTCTCAGTTGGAGGACGAGTCGAATCCCCTTCCTCCTCCCCCTCTGGATAGTCTCCAGTCAGAAGATGGCCCTATTGTAGGGTTATCCCGGTTGAATAACGTGTGATGATGCCTTGATGATGATATCAAGCACCACAATTTTGCATCCCTGCCCTACTGCGTATCCAGGCGAATTTTGATGCTGACCTCGCACGCCTGATTATAGCTATGACCCGCTTTTTACTGTTCTTTTCCTTCTATGACTAGTGCTGCTCTTAGCTTGCGATTAATTTTATAAGCCCGTTCCTACTGCTAGCACTACTTCGAAGGACTGTCATAAGTACTCTACTATATCCTACCCTTGGTTTCTCTGTCCACCTATCGGTGTTCCCGATAGTATGTATTATTTTGGTCAGTGATGATGGTGCCAGGCGTCATCATGTGCAGCATTCAGTTCGTTGTCATCGCAGTGGTGCCGTATTTGATTGTACGACTGTTCTATTTGCGGTCAACCAATGTTGTCGTCTTTTTTGTGCACTAGTAGCATCTCATCTTAACTGTTTCTCGAGTTAATAGCTTCCGTAGGGGAGAGAAAGCCGTGTACAAGCACCGCTTCATCGGCATAGTCTTATCGTGCAACAGTGGAGATGATTCACATGTATGCATCGATTGTTGATAGTATGTTGTCATTATGGGTTCGTAAGTGTATAACCTATGATAGTAACTCCATCTCAGTAGTGGTGCATAACGCCTTTTTTCAATCATCCCTTCATATTGCGTTCATCAGTGTGCGCGTGACACCGTATTGTGCGCTATGTGTTGGGGTCCCAACCATACTAGCAACGCGACGAGATGAGGATATGTGTGAGCTGCACTTAGATCTACTTCTAAGCTATTGTCCTATGTCTCGATCAGGCCATGGGCGTTGGCGGAATATACGAAGAGCGCAGCGGAGAGTGGAGGCTCCTTACACTGTGTGCTGTCTATTTTGAAGTAGCAGCATGCGTTACCTAGCTCGGCAGATGAGCTACATGAATCCAGCGTATTTCGTAACAGTACATACTGGAGTTTTACCCGAGAAATGAAAAAACTAGTGAAAAACATAGCTCCACAGTTCATTTGGCGGAAAACATATGAGAGCAGTGGACAACGCGTAGAATACGTGATGTGTTCTACGTGAAATCGGGTGATTTGCCTAATAAAATTCGCGAAGTGTTTTCAGTTCACTTCACGTTTTCACATGGAGTATTATACTACTCCACATGGAGCGGGGGATTTCCGACCTGGACAACTATCGGGCTGGGAATTGTGAGAATGAGACTAAGAAGTGTACACATGTTCTCGCCAGTAATCCTCGCTGTTCGAGGAGGCCGGTGTACACATTACTATTGGATATAATCAGTCACTTCACCATATAAATTTCAAAATCTGTTACATAATTAGTTGTATAATTTGATAAATAACAGATCGATATATAGTATTGCATACGCCATGTGTACATTTCATATCAGAACAACATATTGGGATGAATCGAGTTTAATCGCGATCATGTTAGAGAGTAGAATGATTATTAATACGCTCTTACTGGCCGCAGCGACATTTCACTTGAATGGGCGAGTTGAGCCATTTCTTGCCTTTGAGTATTGGATTTTGTTCCATCGTCAATGGTCGGCCAAGCACCGCAGCAAAAAGACCATGACCGTTTCGGGCTCATCACCAAAGGTACGTAGATCCTCCATCTTTGTCTGGTTGAACAGTCGGCTCAGATTTCGCTACTCTTTTTGGCCTACGAGAAGTACGTCTCCTAAGCGTGCTGCCGTCAGAACGAGATGAGAATTTCCTGTCGATGGTGACACCACATACTTCTGGCGATGAAATACAAGTCGTTGTTAAAATATTCGAGGCTGACATTGATGCCATCACGTTGAGGTAAGGGAGTCCTTTCCTTCCTCGAGTATCAGCAGCCGGCATCAGCGCGGAGCTGCGGTCTGATTCCGGTTCTACGAGATCCGCTCGCTCTCCTCACGCGGATCGGATCCATCAACAGGTTGCGTTTGCGAGGCTTATCGGCAGTCTCGAAGGACCACGCTGGTCTCGTCCAGACCATAATTCCTCCTTTGCCGGGCAAGGGCGACTACTGCGTCGAGATCGATGGTCGCTTCGTTGCCGTGGTTGAATTCCTCCCGGGTAGGTATCGTCCTTACTCCTCCGAGTTCATTGATGTGTAGCTATCAGGCCAGCCTCTCGCTGACTACTGTCGCTCTAACAAAGTGGCTGTTGATCTGTTGAAGTCTATCGGACGGGCAGTGGGGGTCATTGGCACGTGCTTGGACCGGGAGTTTCTAGAGATTCCGCGCGAGCTTGATCTCCCTGATTTCACATGGGATATCAGAAACTACTCTAAAGTCCGACTTCCTCATCATTTCAAGAACGAGCGAATCTCCTCAGGTTGTCGCCGCGAATGCGCATCTCATTGCCGATGAAGAACTACGGAAAATAGTCATATCGCAGACAGAGGCAGCAAGCGGGGCTCTCCGTGGATTGGAACTCCCTTGCCAAGTCTGCCAAAATGATGCCAATGAGTAACAGGTGTTGAGAACGTCGTCATCGAGGTGTGCCTTGTCCAGATACAACATCATCATAAGCGAACTCGAGGGAGAAAGAAGATCAGTCGGAATTTTGGACTTCGGTGACCTGTAGGTCAGTCTCAGGAGTTCCCTGAAGTATGGTGTGCTCAGGTGTCTCACTTACCGTGTGGCAGACATTGCTATATGTCTGGCCTACCTTTGGCTGGTCTTGGTAGACCAATGGCAACCGGCTGAGCTTGCTCAAGCGGTGATGTCTGGTTTCAAGTCGGAATTACATTTGACAGATGATGAAAAGAAGGCTTTGATCCCTCTCGCGGTGGGTAGGCTTGCTCACGACAAGCGATGTCCGCTCCTTTCGATCGCAGCGTGTCATTCGAGTGCACTGTAACTACACGCTCACTCTTCCACACATGTCACTTTGAATACTACAGGGACCTGTGCGACAGAGTGGGGTTGTTGGAAAAATCTCTCCCTTGCGGAACTGCAAACTGCCTTCTCGATAATCGAGACTCGACTCGGACATTGAGAGTTTATTTGTCTGCTCTCTTCAGATTGCCCGAATATGCGTATCTATCTCTGTGGGGGCAAGGAACATCGCTCAGCAGCCGGAGAACACATATCACCGAGTCTCCCAAGCCAATGCTATCAAGTTGATGAAGTCGACTTGGCTTGATGTTATTTGGCGCATGCAATAATGTTTCAACGTGCCACGTATTGATTCAGCGTTCAACGATAGAATTACTTGCGAGATATTCGTCGAGTCTGAGTGTAGGAGAGCGATTAAATAGGAGAGACTGCAGCGCACCGCTTGGCCAACCGCTGACCAGCTCTCCGGGGTGAACCTTCTGAATGCGCTCCTACAAATTTTTGGTTTGCTAGATAGCTCCAGGGAGAACTTCTCCCTAGGATAATCCTGGGCGGAAGGATCGGTCACTTGCTACTGATATTGCTATAGCTGTGGTTGGGTGGTCGGTTTCCAAGTTGCTATAGCAACTAGCTATACCTGTTGCTGAACATGAAATAGATGCTCAAGCTGAGCAGAGCAAACCTATGAAATACCACCGA